AAATTGTGTTTGAATTGTTGCTTTTTTTAATGTTAAACTATTTATCATGAATGTGTTTATTGAAATGTGTTGCTGTATGTTTTGTGCTGTTTAAACTATACATGGGAAAGATTTGTAAATGATATCTTATCCTTGTAAGAATAAATATTTTTAATTCGTGAAATACCTGCTATTTGATAGTTTCATCATTTGTTGTTAAGTTCTGCCAGTTGTATTAAGTAATTTGTATACCTGGAAAGCGGTCTGTAAGCTGTTTAAAAAATTAAATTTTTTGCATATAATTACACAAGCATGCAAAATTTGAGTTATAAAAATCGATTGTAACTGATGGTTTTTGAACTTATTTCAAAGATGATATCCATATTTTTCTGTTATGTAAGGATTTTTTACAATATATGGAGGAAAATGCCTATTTCACATATTCTGGAGTGAGGTAGACTAATGAGGTATTGTTTCTGATGTATTTTTTTATGCTGAATCAATTGACAAAAATTCAAAGTCTGTGAGACTAATAGTTAATAAGTTAAGTTTGTGAAAGTTTTATGTATCAAAAGTACAATTTTATACTTTATCACTTTATATTACACATGATATTGAGAGTGCAAATCGAAAGAAAACAAAAAACGAATAAAACATTAAATGAGGTTCCCAATTTTTTTTGGGTATGGAACCCTAAACGATCGAACTTCTTTCGGTAGACCCTGATCATTAAAAAAAGTTAATTAGCAGGTGTATTTATGCTAACCAGAAGGAAAAAAATCACCCTCAAAACAATTTAGAAACCTTAAATGTGAAGAAAATGAAATTTTTTTCAATGTTTCATCAATAAGTCTTAAATTACGTTTATTAGTTTTTAGTCTTTTTTTTTTGGTGTATGCATAAATCAAATTGAATAAAAGAAGCAAAATTATAGTTTTTTGAAGAAGAAAAAACTTATAAAATGTGAGATTAGTTAGAGAAAAATAATTTGGAATTCTTGAATTAGGTTATTTTTGAATTCTGAAGTGCGATGAGAAATGCTGATACAATCCTTAACAAATGCATATCCTTTTACCAATTTATTCAATATATTATTATTGAAAAAATATATAAGTATATATTTTAAAATTTTTATTGGCATTTTACTCAAATAATATTATGAAAATAACCTAATTATTAGAAATAATCGATTATTGGTTAAATACAAATTTATTACAGGTTTCGAAAACTTTCACTGGTTTAAAAAAAGGCCCTAACTCACTGAACTGTGATTTTTTAAAGAAACCTTAAGGCTCCACAGAACATCTTTTGACAACCGCTGAATTAGATAGACAGTAGCATAAAAGAAAAGATTTTGTGATAAGTTTTTTTTCTCTTAAAAGAAACCCAGACGACAGCTGAAATTTATATTTTTTCAAAGAATATTGAAGAAATACGATTACTTACTGTAGAATTATTTACATCGATTACTTATAGTACTTTTTTTTAAATAAAATTTTAATAAATTCTCTAATTAAAGTGTAATTTCATCAAGCTTAATGATCATAATTTCGCTTTTATATAATCTTTTTCATATTAATAACATATTACCAAAAAAAATATTTATTCTAATAATTGAGTGCATATTAGTAAATAATTATAAAAAATTACATTTGTTCAATATGTGATCAACTCTGTTTTAAGAAACTCGGGTCGCCATTTTTCCACATTTTGTATCCCAAAAGTCTTAACAGACCTGAAACCTTATCTAATATTTCTTTTCAAGTTACCGCTCAATAACTTTCAAACATCTAAAATTATCTTTGAAGGAAGAAAGAGTGACAGGTATACTGTACCCTTACCTAGGTATTCCTTAGCGCAATCTATGGTTAAAAAGAAAAACAAAAGTTATTCAGGGTGAGTTCTCTTTTCAATTTTGCAATTGCACACTGAGGAGCGCGGGAGAAAATTTTCGTCGCTATTTCTCTTTTTCCTTCAGTACTAATTTAAAAAAGAAAAAAGTAAGTTCAGACAAGTTTTCTCTTTTTCCTTCAATACTAATTTTTTAAAAAAAGAAAAAGTAAGTTCAGACAAAATTTTCGTAGCCAATTCTCTTTTACCTTCAATACTAATTTATTTTTTTTAAAAAAAAGGAAGAAGTAAGTTCAGACAAGTTTTCTGAACAAGTGAACTGACTTTGAAGTTTCCTTCAATACTAATTTTTTTAAAAAAAAGAAAAAGTAAGTTCAGACAAAATTTTCGTCGCTAATTCTCTTTTTCTTTCAATACTAATTTTTTTAAAAATAAAGAAAAAGTAAGTTCAGATAAGTTTTCTCTTTTTCCTTCAATACTAATTTTAAAAAATAAAAAAAAGAAGTAAATTCATTAAGTTTTAGTTGCTGAAGAAAAAAAATACTTCAAAATATTAAAATCCAAACATATTATTGGAAGAGAACTTTTCCGTTGGGAAATCCTGAGTTATCATCTCATAATTTAATTTCATTTTTATAATTTAAAATTTTCGTTTCATTATTTGAAACTTCGTGGCTTACTCTAAGTTTGTCAAGGTTGTAATTTTTTCTACACTTTAAATTAGTAATGAAGGAGAAAGAGAATTTGCCACGAAAATTTTCTTCCTCGGTATGGTGTCATCTTAATTTTAAAAATTAGATCGTCAGAGAGCTTTTTGTTTTAGACATGGATCAAAATGCTTATTAAAGAAAATGGGCACTGCTCAAAATGCTTATTTAAGAAAATGAACTCGGATCAAAATGTTTATTTAAGAAAATAGAAGCAGCTCAAAATGCTTATTTAAGAAAATGGACACAGCTCAAAGTACGTATATAAGAAAATGAACACAGCTCAAAATAAATCTTTTTAACTCACATTTTAACAACTGAACTAGGAATTTCGCTTATTATTTATTTATTTTTTAAACATTAATATCGAAAAACACAATCAAGAAACTAATGAGAAAATGAACAAACTCAAAGGCTTCGCGTACAGTGTGCCTTTGTATTTTACAAATATAATTTTTCAAATGATCTTTTCATATTCATATCTCTAAACTATAAAGTGGTATATATAAAAAATTAAACTTCTTCAAGTATTAACGTATATTTACAACCATTAATATAAATTTATAAAACCCGCGACAACCATATAAAAAGAACTGTAAATCTTAATATTCTTTTGAAAAAAGAATAAATGTCAAAAAAATAATAATGAACTAAGTGATTTCGGTAATTGAACGACTTCACAGATTGCGAATTCAGTTTGATTCATTAGCTAATTATTTAAAAGAAAACAATACTTATAAGAGTAGCTTATAAAACGAAATCAGATGACATATATTTTCTTAAATACGCATTTTGAGCTGTGTCCATTACCTTAAATGCGCATTTCGAGCTGTACCAATTTTCTTAAACATTCATTTTGAAGCTGTGTCCAAAATAAAGAGCTCATCGACGAGACGCAAGTAATGAATTAATTAAGTTGTCACTTTTTTATTTCCTTTTTTTTAAAAAAAAACTTTTTTGGAAAAAGAACACGTGCTCCAAATGAGAACGTTGCTTTGTCCGTTGAGACAGGAAACGCACGCTATAACATGAGCTATTATTTAATCAGCTTGTTTACTTATGAAATATCTGAATCTCATATCTTTTCATGAAACATTAAAATCATTCCAGATACAACTTTCTGCGGAGTTACAGATTATAGTTGAATAAATAAAAATGTTATTTGAAATGCTATTTTCAAAGATAGGCTCATACGTAGCGTGCAAAAAGAGTTTGCGAGTTTATAAAATAACTTGAAGAATGAAATTAAAACAATAATCGTTGCACTTTATATTGCATAAATATGAATAAGTATGTACACTATTTTTGACTCTTTTGATTTGGTTAAATAATAGCTTTGAAATGAAAATGCTTCTGATATAACTTCCACTAATGCTTCCTACGATAATATTTCTAGAATTAAATTATTATAACCTAAATTAATCTATATATCTTATCTAACAATAATTATGCATATAATAAACAGATTATTCTTTTTTTTAATGTAAAGTTTTTTTTAACCCCTAGTAAAAAAATATGCATATTGTGGGCCACTATTTTATATTTAAATTGGTCAAACTGGAAGAAAATAAAGTGCTTTCAGAAGCATAGTTATGTCTATTGTAACAGACTTGTTTTAGTTTCACTTAATTTTTATCATATGTAATTTATATTAGTTCTGAGAATACTCATTAAATATTGTTTAAAAGCAAGCCGCGGGGACATAAAAAAGAGTCAAAATATTGTTATCCTACTGACAAAAATAAATCGATTGCGAAAATAATCTGGCTACTCCTAAATTCTTTTACCCTGAGACTGTAGCCACTCTAAACGAGGAATGAAATAAAGATTTTATCAAATTTTGTTGAATAAGTATTGAGACATCTAAAAACATTAAAACTGAATAAATGGACTTTTCCAATCTCTACATTCAATATGCATACTCTTTTTTATTTTATTTATTTTTTACTTTCTTTTCAACAACGGATTATAAAAAATATATTTTAAGGGAAATGATTACAGAACATGTATAGTGCCATTTTCTATACAGCCAAATCATAAGCTTTAACATTTTATTTTAAACATGTTTTATAATTTTTAGAATAATTATTTTTATAAAATATAATTCTTATTTTTGAAGGAATTTCAGAATTATNTACTCTTTTTTATTTTATTTATTTTTTACTTTCTTTTCAACAACGGATTATAAAAAATATATTTTAAGGGAAATGATTACAGAACATGTATAGTGCCAATTTCTATACAGTCAAATCATAAGCTTTAATATTTTATTTTAAACACGTTTCATAATTTTTAGAATAATTATTTTTATAAAATATAATTCTTATTTTTGAACTAATTTCAGAATTATGACGATATTGTCAAAAAAAGAGGGAAAAGAAACACGTTTTTTTTTTTTTTTTTAATTTTTTTGTTTTATTTTATAAAAATGTCAAGTAATAAATTGAAGAACTGAGTGGACAAGGATTCTTAAAGTATACATTAAGGGTGACGTTTACAGATCACCTATTATATCTTTTCTCCTGAAGGCCGCTAATGATAGAATAAAACTTATGAATCAGGATACAAACAATTAATTTCTTTCTAAGGCAAAAATGTATGTTTAACCAGTAACATTTCAAATAATCTTGTATTTCAGCAACAGTGTAATAGTAGTTAACTAAAGTAAAGTTTTTTTCACTGAAGTTACCACATCGTTAAAGGGTGGATTGAATCTAAAATTATCAAAAATAATTTTTGATCAACAATTATGAAATTATCTGTAGATTTTTTACTCAAGTCTCTTCATTTTTATTTTATTGTAACCTCTGAAATTTTAATCCATTCAACGGGAAAAAAAACTAATTTAAAGAATTTCCACATTGAATTATTTCTTTCCTTTCTATCAACTACTATTCCTAAGAAACTGACACGGAAATAAAATAACATAACTACAGTTCAAAAATAGAAATTTAGAATTACATATGGTTAATTTTGAAATTGATTAATTGTCTTAATCTTACAAAATTCTCTTAAAATTTAGCATATTAACAAAGTTGACCTTACGAGCACATTATACTAAAAAATACTATTATTTTTTTTTTAAACTTAAGATTATGAAGAGAAAATAAATAATATATGTTCATTTAAAGTTCCGTAACCACGTACCACCTCAACCTCACTGAAAAGTACCGGAACGTAGTACCGGCACATTCCGGCCCCACTACACCCTTGCTCATTAATAATTCTAACTTATAACAATATGTAAACAACTTTTGCTCCAGAAAAATTAAATTTCTCAAGTGGAGTTTCTTAACTTCAATCAAGCAACATTATTCAAAATTCTTATCATCACTTTTTATCAGACAAGTTATCAAAAACTAAACCTCAACTCTTAACTTTCTTCAAGTGCTATTCTTTGATGAAAATTTGTTACACCAGCCTGAAAAACATTTCAAAAATATGATGGAGTTCGATTGTTTAAAAAATGATTGTAAGTATAGCAGTTTCTATTATTATTTTGACTATCTATTAATTCTTTATCTTTTGAAACTAATTCCTTTTAGATCTGAGTTTTGAGACCCTGAAAAATAAAGTAGTTTCATAAAGGTGGATTTAGTCTTTCGAATGTGTAATACTTTGAATTCAAAGAATTTACAAACAAAAATTAAATAATCCAACAATGAAAAACCTTTAATATTTTATTCAAGGCCTAATTACCCCACACAGACCAATTCGATTGTTTGAAAACTAATTGTAAGTATATAGAAGTTTTGATTGTTGTTATGTGCATGATAGAAAAATATATCGGTATATTTTAAATTTAAACACACATCCTTTCTATCTAAGAGTTTTCGGACACAAAAAACAAACTAGTCACATTATTTTAATTTAATCGATGAATTTAGTCGCATTTATTTTACATTATTATAAAGACTCTGAATTCAAAGAATTAATAAGCAAAAAGAAAAAAAAATCCAACAATGAAAAACTTGAACTTTCCACAAAAAGGCTAATCAGACCTGAGCCTGAATTTCTGAGCTTTGAGGTTCTCCAAATCTCTTAAAGTCTTCAGAAGTATAAACCACGTCAAAATTGTAAATTTCATGAATGTATTTTAAAAAAAATTCAATTTGTGATACATATGCAGAATATTACAAATAAATTCAGGTAAAATTGGTTCTTGGAAATAACAAACTGCAAAACGTGTTGATTTAATACTCTGGACTTCAAAATCCTTACGGTCGGCCTGATTTTGGTCAAAATAAAATTACGAAGTTTATGTTCGAAAAGTTGCAGGACAAATAAAAGTAATATTTTTGTTAATTAAATCAACTTTTTAATCAAACAATTGAAAGTTTATGTGTGAAATATAGAAACATTTTTTTCATATTAAAACAGCTAAAAATAGATAATAAAAATTAAAAAGGTTATTTTTATTGTAAAAACATGATTTCATGGTCATTTTTTAAATCAGAAAGAAAAATCTTTTATGAATTTTTTAACTTGAAAGTAACAAAATTTTTACTATTAATTTTTCATCACACTTTCCAGATCGTTTCGTGGTAGAAGGCAACAAAGTCCTTCAGAAACAATCAATCCTCCTGCTTCAATTATTTCTGCATGTTCTCCTAAAAAGAGGAAGAAGAGAAATCGTCGAAAACCTTACAAAGTAAGTGTATTAATTATATCACAAAAATAACATGGATTTAACTACAAATTAAGGTAAACGACGTTTAGGAGCACAAAAATATTTAAATATTTTTCTGCTCCTAAACGTCGTTTACCTTAGTTTGTATTTTAGCACAAAGGTCGCCCACTTGTGTTTTTATGGATTTAACTAACCTGTTTATGAAGAGTCTGAATAGAAGAAAAAAATTTCGGTAAACATGATTCTCTGTGAAAAAAAGTTTAATTTTGCTTGTGACATCAGAAGAGCGTGGTATTCAATATTGTTTATTCACAGATTTCATACCTTTCAGTTATGGTATTCTTTAGTTAGATTACTTTTTATATATAATTTAATTATACAAAAATTTTGTTTATATTTGTTCAAAGAAATAAAAAGAGAGAAAAAAGATTACATCAAGTACTTCTCCCTCCTCCAGCACGGGGTGAAACGGATTGTGAAGGAAAATTAATTAAAAATAACCTATTGATCATGGGGCAAGAAGTTACCAATGTACCAATGTTTAAAAAATGATAGTACATTTATCGTTTTAAACCATGTTTACATAATTGGCAACCACTTTAAGTTTGAAAAGAAATCGCAGCTGCAATATAAATATATATATTGAAAGGAGTACTTCCTCATTCCGCCAAGACATATGATTCAGATTGAAAAGGTAAGATCACTCAAAACATATACGTTAACAAATGTTTAATTACACTAAATTAAGACACTATTAACCTGAATTTAAATATATACTAACTATAGTTGTAATTTTTACAAGTATGTGCCTCATATCTTAGTAATAGAGTTATCACAAGAAGTTACAATACAGAAGTAAAAAAAAAAGTACCTGACTACACACTCCTGAAATCTCAGTTTCCGTGGTTGAGCAGTAACATGAACCGATTTCCCTTTTAAGTTAAAATTTAAATATTTTTAAATAGATAAAAAAATTTTAACCTAGAAAACTGTATGGAATTAAAAATAACATGGAATATAATTCGAAGACGTTTTTTTAAAAAAATATCTTCGACAATTAAATACGAAAAGTATTAAAAAAGAAGTAAATATGGTTGTCCGAGATGAGGAAGAGAGAGGGCTAGGACATGAAACCGGTCTTCTCCCCAGATGGTCGAGCGTTGCGATCGCGAATTGTTTTAATTTATTTTTCTTTCAAAGCAGCGATGAACTAGCAGACTGTTTTAAATTATATTGTCTGAACTATATTTCACCATTTTCCATAAAAAAAAAACTTGTGCTACCGAAAAAAAGGAAGTAAGTTCTTCCTTTTTTCAAAGCTTTACAAAATGTTTACACAGTGGCGCCCTCAAACCTAGTTGATCTTCATTCTTCTCCACTTGGAATAATTTTTTGCGCTGACCGTAACTGTAAATCTTTGTTTTCAGTTCTTGTTTTTGAAGTGTTTTGTGTCGATTTATGGAAATCATAAAATTATTCATTTTACGAAAACTTTTTACGATGTCGAAACAATTTTATTTATTAATGTTGAATTTAAAGTGTTTATTTTTGTACCAGCACGAAAACTTTTCTCTTAAGCGTGAAACGTTCTAATATAAATTTTGTCCGGTAAGTTATAATTTGTTTGATTTTTGATATCCGATATTACACCAATGAAAATCAAAACATGCTATTACTTTTCCGTATTGTGATTTTGTTTTACTGTTTTATATATTTCAGGTGCTTCTCCACTTTTCCTTTAAGTTGAATTTTCTCCTATTAATTTTCTATTATTATTAAGAAATCAATGTTACTTGAAATTAAGTTTTTAATAGTTGACTGTTTTATGTTACAACCTGTTTTTTTTTCTTCTGTGTTGTCTAGTTTTCTAGAAAAAGAATTATAAATTTATATTTTATCAATTTTAAGTTATCTACCTATTTTTTGCATACTTTTCTTGTTAAATGTATTACAAATTTGATAATGCTAATTTTAATAACAATTAATTTGTTAAGTCCAAAGTTATTACTTTTTTTTATTGATTGTTCTGAAATCCGCAATTCGAATTTCGTTTGTCATATTAATATCCCTGTTTTTTAAAAAATCGCGAGAGTATCAGGAATAATTGAGCAATATAAGACATGAAGTAAATTGGGCAATGTAAGACATCGATAAGACCCTAAAAAGTTATCAAAACATGACGTAAATTTACGACGGAATCTGCGCGAGATGTGAGCAATAAAGGTGAAGATTTAAATGCGTAAACTAAAATTTCCATGTGTAATATATTACAATTGGGATATTTCCGTAATTCGCAGTGCTCAATTGTATATTTAATTAATAATGCAATGATTCTATAAATTTTTTTGGTTGTTATTGCCTTTGATTTCCACATAATTTCTAAATTCGATATTTTTAATATAATATTTATTGCAACTACTGAATCTGAAAACAAAATAAGAATTTACTAATATCCGCTTTGAAATATCTGATTTGCATGATTTCGCTTTTGATCCTTTTTTCGGTAGTTACTATTACAGATGCACCAAGTGCAGAAAAGGTCAAAAAAGGAAGCGCGAAAAGATTATTCTATTGGCATGACAGCCCTTTGTGGGCCAGAGCCTTCCCTTAAACCTTCCTCCTTTCTGCTCTTTTCTTTGCAATTGTTCTCCAGTTAGTAATGCTTAGGATTTTAAAATCTTTTTCCACACAGTCAAGCCAAATGATCTTACTTCAAGATCTTAAGTGTCAAGGAAGAAGGGTCCATTCGACTGGTGTGACCTGTAAGCACACGAGGGGGGGGATCAAAATTAGGTATATTAACAAAACAAATAAGTAAATTCAAATGTATTCAAAATATTTATGAATGGATTTTATTTAAAAAGCTCTTTTTGAAGATCTCGTAAATAGATAGACAACCTCTCATGTCACAGCCAGAGTCCACTGAAGATGATGCTATCAATGATTGAGTTTTAAAGTTTAACTAGAAAAAAAAGTTATTTTAGAAACATCTCAAACAAATCAACCTCTCATTTCTTAAAGTAAATTAATTTTTGTGATATAAAATTAAATGCAAACCTAAGTAAAATTTATAATCGTTGATTTATTTAAAATAGTTTTATCATTCATAATTGATAAATTTGTTTTTATAGATAATTATATCAGTGGGGTCCATATTTATTGACTCTAAATTTTATTCATCGATTCGGTTTTTGTGACGCCAACACAAGTGGCATTTCTGCATCATGAAAACGACACTCTGTAAAATAAAAATCTTTTGCGAAATATCGTGTACCTTCGTGTATTTTGAAGTAAATGGAAGTAACCCCTAAGAAAAACCAACCTCCATTAACGACCATTTCATCGTGGAACAGGGAGTGGTCCCTCCTGAGACATTTCGCTGTATTATTTATTTCTATTTTAACGCAGTGATATAATATAATTTTAAAGATATAAACTAAACTAAACTCAGTGGCGCGACAGCCCATAGAGGGCCAAAGCCTACTGTGCCCATCTCAGTTTTCTTAACCTTGGGCTCTGGGGTGCAGGAGCAGATGTTCCGGTTAGGTGGTCTGCCGAACGCGAAACCCCAGTGTTTAGCTCCCAAGCATGCTTGGTACTGATTTATCGATCCACTGAAGGAATGAAAGGCTGGGTCAACCTTGCCCTGCCCAAGGATGGAACCCAGGACCTGTGGCACGGGAGTGCTACCGCTCAGCCACCGGGCGTCAATTTTAAAGATATAGTTATTATTTATTTTTTATAATATTTCAAATATGATAATGTTTATTATTTTTAACAATTTATAAAAGCTCCCATGGTTATTTTTCAAAACTTAAATCACTTAACATTTTCTCCTTTGAAATTTTTTTTTTTTAAATAAAATTATAAAATATTTTAAAGCATTTTTTACTACACAGTATTTAAATTTTTGTGCTGTTTCGTATTCTCAATGTCATAAAAATGAATCAAGCATTAATTGTTTATCAATTCAGGTGAAACATAAACTCTACAAATGAAATAAACATTTGATTTGATGCATCATCTTCTCTTGCCTAATTCAACAAAGCAAATTCAGGTCAAAAGGCAAAGACACTATCCAACTGTAAGCTGAAACATAGGCCTATGAATCACTTGATTGATGTTGATTCAATCGTTGGTTTACATATTCTTATCATTTGTTTTTTTCTTTAAAGTATTGCAACATGCAAATTTCAAATTGCATCTATGAGTAAACATTATTTTACGTACTTGATATGTAATAATTCTAAGGTTTAATTCAAAATTTAGGGATAATATTTTATTGAAAATCTTGATATTTTAAAAGTCATGAGGAAATCTAACAAATAACTGGAGGGAAAAAAAATCAAAATATCACATGTATTTTTAGATATCACAAATCTTCTCGTAGTTTTGTAAATCTCATTCTTTATTAAACTGAAGTGTTGTGTCACGCAAATTTCAAATTGCACTTTTGAGCAATCACTTTTTCCTGGGCTCGATTTATGGCAATTATGATCAAATAATATTTCTACTTTAAAAAAAATAAAAAATTTTATATAACAGGGATAATTACAAAAGAAAATTCAGAAAACAGTTTTTTTCAGGTGAGCAAAATTTTGGGTAAATAGGGTGAAAGTTTATGAAGTTATCAATTTACGTTGTTTTAAAAAACATTATTTGTTGTTTCATTATCTTATACAATGAAAAGTTTAACAATCCAATGCCAAGTATGATGAAGTTCTGTTGTTACGTAATCTAAAGCTTAAAATGGTCCCAAAAAGACCCTTAAGTTTGAGATTATATTGCAAGGGGTTCACAAAAACTGAGCTTGTCCCTAATTTACTTCTGTCAAGAATATTTAGCGCATTCAATACTTATTGTTTTTTTCATTTCTAATATTAAGAATATTGAACTAAATTACAAATTTTAGTAGAAAATCGAGTAGTTCATTAGTTTACATTTGTGATGCAAATAAGTTTGCTAAATTTGTTACACATTTTCCTCAATTTAGTGGGACAGATGATTGTACTCCGGAAAAAATCCGGATTTTTCGCTAACCATGATCCGGAAATTTTCGGAAGTCCAGAAGCTTACAGAAATCATCAATTGCATTTATGTTTAAAAATTCTTATAATTATGTATTAAAATTATTATTATTTTTTTTAAATTACTAGATTATTAGAACTAGAGTTTATACTTGGCATCTCTTTAATTTGTAAATGTTTTTTCGGGTAGAAATATAAAATGTGATTAGATAAAAATAAACTAATACATAATTATTAATTTAAATTATGCTGCACATAATTTATTTAGAATTTCACTTTGTGAAAATATCAATGATTTAAATTTATAAAGACATTAATTTTTGGAAATACGTCGTTAATGATTTTATACAGGAAATTTTCAGGATTTTTGAGCTGGGCTCACAATTACCCCTGGTATGATAAGTAATTATTAATCTTGTAAATGTTTTTGTTGCATTTATACATAATTTTTATTTAAATCAAAAAAATACCCCTTATAATTTATTAAAATTAGAGTTTAACTAATTATATCTTGAAGTAAACTTTTTTTTTGCATAATTAAATATTGTAATTATTAATTTTAAAAAAAATTGGATGAGCAACTTGATATTGAATATATTCAAAAAAAATTTTTATGGTGGCTTATAAAATCAAGAATCTTTGCCAGAAACTAGTTATTTTATCATGATTTTGTAAATGTTTTTTGAATTTTATTAGTAATTATATCTAGGAAGAACTTTCATCAAAAGAAATAATTTTTTTTTAATTAATGATCCTATCCTGATTAGGATTTTCTTTTGTATGAGTAACTATTTAAATTTTTTTTCAATTACTTAAAAAGTATTTTAAAGGTGTTTGTTTTGTGTTAAAAAAATTTAGCTATGCAACTTTTCTTCTTTTTCAGGCTCTCTAATTTTTTTTTTAAATTCATTAAAAAATAAGAAATTTTTTTTTTTTTTTTTNTTTTTTTTTTTTTTTTGAACTGATGGCAGAAACACTTTTAAATGATAAAAATAAGAATGGTGCTTTTACTGCAATTTTACTTTCACCCAGCAATCGATGAATTTAGTTTTTGTCCAAGCAATTCTAGTTGCAATGGTTAAATAATATGACTATTGCCAATAATATTTATTATTATTTTAATTCCGTCTTTTTTTTCTTTGCTTTATTAAGCCTAATGAGTTTTGCTGTCCAATACAAAAAAGAGGCATTTTTGAGCATGGAAAGTGTCTTGAAATATGAAGAAGTGCTGGCATATTGAGGGGCAGACTAGTTCCAGAGATACTTGACATTCTTGTCAACATGCTCCTCAAGAAAGTCAGCAAGTTCAATATAATGCAGACGTGCCTGTTGAAAGTAGTTCCAGTCAGTAGCCTGAAGCACAAATTTGCATTAGCCGTAGAGATTGCGAATAATTATAAGATAGATATTAAAATTTATATTATTTTATAGATTTTTCTTTTCCATATTCATTCTTCTCAAATAACCGCAGTGGTGTTATTTGGCAACATTTTAGTCAAATAATGCTAATACTATTACACTTTTGTTTTTGTGTATTTATATATTTATTTATTTTTAATTTTGATCTTGTAGTTAAAATGTGAACTTTTATTTATTTATTCAAATGTTCATTTTTGATATTAATAAAAATTAGGTTCATGAAATTAATTTCATAAAAGAAGCAGTCTCACTCTTTTTTTAATCTGGTAACTCCATTATTTGACTGTTCATTATACTGTTTCATTATTTTACCGTATTCTGGGTGTTTCAAAACAACTTAAGTGAAAGGTCGATGCAGAGATTTCGGTATTAGTTACACTTATATTAGTTGTACTACATATGAGGCTGACAGTTTTTGTCTCAATTGCATCAGTATTCCATGGAATGGCACACCCTCTCTCTTTGTGACTCCTTGTTCCTATGTGATTTTTTATATTTTTCTATGTCTGTTTTGTCTTTCATTTTGGCTAGATTTTTTGGAAGCAGTCTGCATAAGTATGATTTAAACATATACAGTCGAACTCGTTTATAACGAGCACAAAGGGACCGTAACAAGTACTCGTTAAATCTGAGTGCTCGTAATAAACGGGTACTTAAGGCAGGCGGGCAACCAGAAGAGGGGGGGAGGCTAGGGAGGTCAAATGATTCAATTTACTTAAAATTTCATTAATACTTACTTACTTTAATTACATTAATTAATTTAATCGCGTTTTTTTTTATTTCGCACCCATTTCTTATCATTTTGAAAAAAGATAAGAATAGAAAGATGAGAAAAAAGATTGCAAGACAGAAAAATATTGCTCGCTAAAACCGGGTCTTGCTCATTAAAAGCGACTTCTGTTCCATAGACTTAACATTGATCCAACCAAATATTCTCGTTTCCCTCGGTAAATCCGAGCTCTTTATAAACGAGTTCGACTGTAATTTCTAATTAAGAACAAGAAGGTTTTACCCTGCTTATGATTATTTTATTTTAATTTTAAAAGTGTTTGTTTTAATCTAACAATAATTTTTTAGTGTAGTTTTTTTTTATTTTTTTATTATCTAATGTTGTATGAAAATATTAGAAAAATTCTCAGTCTTCTGTTTCAGATTGAACTTTTTGACAAAAATAATTTACTTAGGTAATGAAGACAAGATCTTGGCAATAATTTTTAGATTCTAATTCTCCTGTTCTAAATTTATAATATAAATTATTTCTTAACAAAAGTATTTAGATTAGTGACTTTATTGTTAGACCAATTGGATTACTTCTAGTTTCTTCTCTATCCTAAAAAAATTGTAGTCTTAAATATTTTGTTTGTTACAATCAGTTTAATAATTCTAATTTCTGGATATTAATCATGACTATCTTTTGTTCATTAGATGGAGCAGAATCTTAAAAAAAAGGAAACTCTACCGGATAGAGATGATTTAAGTTTTCCTGTTTCATTAAGTGATGTTGTTAAAACAGAGGATAGTGATCACAACCATCTTGCTGTATCAACATTCCTGCCAGAACCAAATAAAACCTATGCAGCCTGTAAAAAAGACTCTGATACTGAGAAATTTCGCCAAAGTCTTAAATATCAGGATAAGGAAAGCTATGTGTCACAAAGAGACCACAAAATAGGTATTGGTCTTTTTAATACTGACGAGATTGAAGATTTGCCACCAAGACATAGAAAGAAAGTTGTTTCCGTCTATGAGAAATTAAGAGCATATGAAGAATATTTACTAGATGAGAAGTCTAAGGCTAATGATCCAAATATACTACCACCTCCAGATTTATCTAATGATCATGATAATGTTTGTTTAGTAACTAAATCAACAGAAAACAAAAGGAACTCTCCCATTTCAAATAAACTAAAGCTGAAAGAAACTCTAAAACATTCACGTAAAAATAAATACACAGAGTCAAAAAGCGATAAATTTAGTGATAACCATGTAAATAATGCATCAAAACCTAAGTGTACAAGTAATAAGTTCGAGAATATGAGTCAAAAAAATTCTCAGACGAGGGTGAAAACACAAATTTTTGAATCCCATGAGATGTCTACAAAAAATTATAATACTGATAATAGCTTAGTTTCTGTTGATAACAGTGTACAATCAGTACATCCCAAGCATAAATGTCTAGTAAAAGACTCTGTAACTGGTTCTGACATCAGGCAGTGTTCTGAAACTCAAAAAGAGTATAAAAAAGATGTTGAGCAAACTGTAAAATTACCAATACCTAAATCACCGAGAAAACAAAACAATCATAATTTTCATGCAAATCATGCTTATAATCCATCAAACCAACATATCACACAAAATAAAAATTTTAATTTAAAAGATCATGAAAATACTCATAGTAAATTAAAAGTGAGCAGAAATGTTAATTATCTAGGTGACAGTAAATCAAATCTTAAGCAAAACGACCTCAATAAAACTCTGAAATCTGAATCAGAACATTCTGTTGATGAAACAAATCTAACTCTAGTTAATTATCAAAAAACTAAGAATGAAAAAATTAAAAAAGACAAAAGCAATTTATCAAATGAAGCTGATTCAAATGTAAACTTTCCTCATTATGAGAAAAATAATCAAATGTGTAGCGAGACATTTTATTCAAGTGCTAACTCACAAGATGATAAAACTAATAATCAGAAAACAAAAAAGTATCCACCTAAAGAAAGTGGCTATCATAAAGAAGCTTACCATAAATTTGATTATGATAATACTAGCTTATCAAGAACAAATAAAAATAGTGCTAATACTGAAAAAAGAAAAAAGAACCGCTATGACAGTGACCATTTTAGTGATAGTTGCTCCATTACATCAAATAACTTATCTGTTCGAAATTTTTCCGAAGATTTAAAAAATGATAACACTAGCTTATCACGAGCAAATAAAAATAGTGCCAATACTGAAAAAAGAAATAGGAGCCGTTATGACAGTGACCATTTTAGTGATAGTTGCTCCATCACATCAAATAATAACTTATCTATTCGGAATTTTTCCAAAGATTTTAAAAATGATAACACTAGTTTATCACGAACAAATAAAAATAGTACAAATACTGAAAAAAGAAATGGAAGAAGCTATGACAGTGACCATTTTAGTGATATTTGCTCCATTACATCAAATGACTTATCTGTTCAGAATTTTTCCAAAGGATTTAAAAATACTCATCACAAATCCTGCGAAACCGCTGAGATTAGTGAGGGGGGAAATTCTGAAGGTATTTTTGATCCTTCTGAAAGAAAACCTTACTTTTCATCAACATTTAGGAATAAAAATAATCAAACGTGTAATAGTAAAATAGATACTTCAGATGAAAGTAGAATAGAAAAATACAAAGAAGGACCGCAATTGGGTAGTAAAAAGTATTATGGGGGAAAAAATGTGACCTCTCCTAATAGAAACAATTCTCTAGATAGTTCTAGTGATAACGTCCACAGGAAACAATCATTTAATAGGACTAAAAATTTAAATACTGAGTCTGATTCAGTGTTTGATTGTAATGCTCCTCCAAGAAAGCCCCATAATAAACAAAGACAATATAAAGGCAATAGATCTTACATTCAAGAAAGCTTAAATGAAACTGCAGCGAACTTAGACTTAAGTAATGTTATAAATAAAGAATTTTCAAGCTATTTATCAAATACTTCTGTATCTACATTAATCGACAAAAATTTCAATTGTATGTATGACAATAAAGAGCAGTTTTCAATGAGCCATACTCCGCAAAAGGAGAGAGATATCCATTCGCAATTTGCAAGTTGTTCTCAGTCTGGCAGGGAAAATGATAGAATTTATTCTAGAGAAGAAAAAAGAATTGATGCCTCTAAAATGCCACAAGTAAAAGATATAGGATTTTTCGTACATATCACAGTATCTGAGGATCCTAAAGAATTAGATTCGTGGGAGTTATTTTTCAAAAAACATTTAGGGTTCATGAACTTTGATGTCTTTAGGTGTTGTGATTTTGCTGAATCTTTAATTCTTCAGTTTGAAACTAATGAAGATGCTTTGAAAGCTCATTGGCTACTCTATAAATTAAAACGTAGGAACAGGAATATTTCTGACCGTCATATCAAATCACTGAGTTCAGTGAAGAAACATCTGGTGAGACCTTGTTTGTGTGAGAATGTCTTAATTGAGCACTGTGATAAGTATTTTGATGAATTTGCCTATAAATATATCTCTACTCATAAAACTAAAATGGATATAATTATAGATAAATTAAATTCGTTAACTTTAAAGAAGTCCGGTAATACCTCTAACGAGGAATATTTGAGTTTAAAAGATGCTTTTGATACCTTCAAAGCTATGGAGACAGTTTTTAATAATTATGTTAGAAAAGCTAAAGACTTGGCAAGGCAGTGTTCTGTGTCTGAGACAGGATCTGCTGAATTGAAAAAACTTAAGCTCAATTTTAGTAGAGAATGTAATTCTTTTGAAAGAGGCTTGCCAATATATTCTCAAAAAGATGTTATTCTCAATGCCATTAAAAACTATCCAGTATCTGTTATTGTTGCCGAAACTGGGTCAGGAAAAAGCACTCAGTTGACTCAATACCTCCTGCAAACTTCGTTTGCCGATAATGGTTCAATTATTATTTGCACTCAACCACGAAAAATAGCTGCAGTCAGCATTACTAAATTTGTATGTACTCAGGTAGGATCTTCAGTTGGAAACGAAGTGGGATATGATGTTGGAATAGAAAAGAAGTTTGGTGATTCAACTAAGATTATTTATATGACTGATTACGCTTTATTGAGGAAGTGTTTACGAAATAGAAATCTGAAAAAAGTATCGTGTGTCATCATTGATGAAGCCCACGAAAGAACTCTTTATACAGATTTATTGCTTGGCTTGTTGAAGCAGTGTTTAGGGTTTAGGCAAGATTTGAGAATCATTATAACATCAGCGACTATAAATCCATCTGTATTTGTTAAGTATTTCAATCTTCCGGACGGTGCCGTTATAAATGTGCCTGGGCGTGCTTACCCTGTTGAAGTAATTTGGTCTAAACATAATGTAAATGAAGAAAATATGTACGTAAAGGAATGTGTCAGAACAGCTGTTAGGGTGCACCAAAGAGAATCGAAAGGGGATGTTCTTGTATTTTTGTCATCACCAGCAGAAATTGATGAAGCTATTTTATTGTTTGAAGAAATGTGTCCTGAAAATAGCATGCCAGAGCTAATGAGTTTGCATGGCAAGTCTGATATAAAAGATCAAATGCTTGTTTTTGAAACTAGTACTAATGATAAACGTAGAATAATTTTTGCTACTAACGCTGCTGAGACTTCATTGACTATTCCTGGAATTAAATACGTTATTGATAGTGGAATGGCTAAAGAGATGATATTTTACCCTGAAAAAAATAAAAGTTGCTTGATGCCTACTTTAATTAATAAAAGTTCTGCCGAACAACGAAAAGGTAGAGCTGGACGTACTCAACCTGGAGTCTGTTATCGTTTATATTCTAAAAAAGATTTTGAAAATATGCCTGAGCGAGCTCTCCCAGAGTTGCTGAAAACAGATTTACTTAATGCATTATTGAAAGTTTATGAATTTGGTATTAAACCCAGTAGTTTCGATTTTGTTGAATCTCCCTCTAGAGAAGCCATAACAAAATCAATTGATTCATTGGAGGTTTTAGAATTGATTGAAAATAATGATTTAACTAAATTAGGAAAACAAGTTGTTCAGCTTTCTATAGAACCTAGACTTGCTAAATTTATTCTATTAGGTGTTGAATCTGGCATGGGTCATGAAGCTGCTATAATTGCAGCTCTAGTTTCTGAAGCGGGAAGAATATTTTTGAGATTTGATGACAACAAGGAAAAATCTGATCAAAAGAAAAAAAGCTTTTGTCAAAAAAGTGGTGATCTATGTACCTTTTTAGAAATCTATAAAAGATGGCTAGAAGTGTCCCAAACAGATAGATTTAACTGGTGTGTTTCAAACTATGTAAGCTTCAAAGCATTAAGCTCTGCTCGCAAGACTGTCAAAGAAATTTTATTCACTCTGCGACAAGACCTTGGTATCAAAGTATCAAGTCGATATAATAACTTATCTTTTAAAAATAATTTTGAAATAATTCTTTTTAGCAGCTTTATTGAAAATTTATGTATATATTCAGGACATCCTTCCCTTGGGTATCAGTCTCCCAACTTCAAAGAATCATTATTTATTCATCCATCCTCATCATTGAAATACCTCAGAATAGTACCTCCTAAATTTCTTGTATATACAGTTTTTATGGAAACTTCAAGAAATTATATCCTCGATGTTACACCCTTAAAAGAAGAAACAGTTAATAAGGCATTTTCGAAAGGTAATTATGCATTAGCTGTGGAGGATCTAAAACGGCTGCAAATTCCACCTATAACTTTGGGACCTTTTGGAGAAAAAATTCTGTATCGTCACATTTTAGGTAAAGGTGGCTCTGTAATTAATAATATTGAGTATCTGTTAGAAAAATTAACTAAAAATAGAAATTTTAGAATTGATATTTGTAGAGACAAAGGATTGGTTATTATTCATGTTGAGGAAAAATTTCATGAAAGAGTGTCTAATTTTATTCAAGACATAGTGAATGATGCAAGAGAGGAAATGGCAAAAGAGGCTGATGTCATCAAGATGGATGATGGATTTTATTACTATTGTTTATCGACAGGTGGATTGATTCATGATATTGTAATGCCTGGAGAATTTCGTGAGATTACGATTGAGCCCATCAATCAAAGATCAATAAGTGAGTTAGAATCTATTTTGAGACAATTTGGTCCTGTACAGAATCTTGAGAAAAAAAGCTTGAAATATAAGCATAGTATTAATGTGACTTATTTAACTGTTTCTGATGCCCAAAATGCTCTCAAATGTTTAAATAAAAAAAATGTTGCAGGTGTTAAAGTTCAAAATATTGTTCCAAAACTCAATAAATCTTCTAAGCCTTTATATAAATTGAAGTTTACATGGCCTCGTTTGCTTGCAAAAGGTACCGGTTCCATACTTTTCTCCTCTGCTGAGGATCGTGTGATGGTTTCTGGAAAATTGTCTACCAAATCTTTGTATGTTGATAACAATCGTATCAGTGTGACACCCTCTCAAAATGATCTCTGCCTTAACTTGAAAAATATACCTCAATCAGCAAATGAAAGATTGCTGCAAGAAAAGATATCCGAAGCACTTCCTGATTTCTTAAGGGAACTTGTAAAATGTGTTGAAATAAATCGACAAGATTCTTTAGCTGTTTCAAAAAATGATATCATTAAGATTAAAGACCAACTGTCCCAGAGCCTAAGTAGGTTCACTCCACCGAGTAAAGTTGCCATTGACGTTGTGTACCCAACATCTACTTCCAAAAATTATGAAGCATTTGCTTATTTTGAGTGTGATGAAGATGGGAGTACTGCTTTTCAGCAATTGCGTGGTAAGTTGAAGCTTAACAATATTCAAGTTGATATTTTGGAGATATTGGAGTCACAGGTCGAATGCAAAGAACATGTATATCATTTTCTACGGAGGGATATACAAACTGTTATCACAAAACATGAAGGAAAGGTTAAAGTAACAAAATTGTCTAATTCTCTCGAAGATAAAGTTGCTATTCAATTTTCTTGCAGAAGTCATGAAAAACTAAAAACCGTAAATAAAGAGATTTTAAGTCTGGTACGTGATCGTAAAGTAGAATGCCGTCATAACAAAAAATATTTTTATCTCTTCACTGATAGTGGCGAAAAAATATTAAATGCAATCCAGGCTCGGACAAAAACTCTTATCGAACGTGACACTGATAACAAGGTTGTTTTTATATATGGTCAAAGTAAAATGAGTTATACGGCTGAGGCAGAAATTCATTCGTTCTTTGAAACTGCAAAGTTACTCAAGACAAAGATCTATGATCTAAAAAGTTCGCATATACCACCAGGATTTTTGAAGGAACTTTATTCTAGATATGGATTTGATTTGTATGGCTTAATCACGAAATTTGATTTAAAAACAGCAAACATTGATATGAAATTTGGTAATCTTACAGTTGAAGGTGAAGTTCGCAACATTAGAAAAGTAAGTTTTTTTTTTTATCCTCAATTAAATGTTTATTTTTGATTACATTTTTTTTTAAATGTCATAGGGAAAAAATCATGTTTTGTAGCAATCACTTTCTCTTATAACTTAATGAAATTGAAATGAACTGTTTTGAAAGTATTATCTTAAAGTTTATTCTATTTCTCTTTTCAATCAAATTCAGTTATTTAATTGCAAAAGTTTAACAAGAAATACCATTTTTGTTCTGTTTGGAAAATAATATGGTGATGTCATTAAAATAAAAATAATTTTTTTTAAATTAGTTTTTTTTTTATTTAATTATGTAAATAAATATTGATTTTTTTAAATTCTTCTCTTGATTGTTCTCTTTTAGATGTGCTTTTTTAAAAATAGTAACTGATTGAGAATAATAATTATTTTGGGTTATAAAATCACAAAAGAATGTAGAAACTAAAAAATAATAAAATTGAATGACAGTTTTTGCGAAGTAAAAATAATATTAACTCATAAAGTTGCCGTAAGGTTTTAATGCTTCCATTATCATCCTTATGTCATAGAGTCATTAAAATAAGAAAATTACCAGAAAATCAAAATATCATAAATACTTTTAACACTTTGTGTTTATGTACCTGTGTCTTTTGGCTCTAAAATGTCATTTGTCAATTGCGGTCCTAATGTCTAACTCTATTCAGGGAGGAGAGCTCAATTTATGAAAATTCTGTCTTTAGTCTATTTCGACTTCTGTACAATAAAAGTGTAAACAGAATCACGTCAGCAAAGTTATCCGAAAAGAACTGCAAAACAATTCCTGAAGTTGGTGAGCGACAGTGAACACAACCTCTGATGTATTCAAAATAAAGCATAAAAGAATTTAGAGTAAAAATTTAAGGTATTTAATAAAATTCAGGTAAAGTGTGTGGTCGCATCGAGTTCAGATTATGAAGCGATTTCATAAGAACTATGTAAGTACAAGTAGACCTTTAATTAGCTGAGTTTGCTGTTAACTAAGCAGATGACGAAGTCTGTTTTTCTTTCTTTTTCTGAATGAGTCCTGAAAAAGACCATACTTTTTAGTTCTCTGTCCGACTCTATTGCCCATGAAAACACTCAACTTCCAAGAAATATTGCACCCTGAAGCGGCGAACAATGCTTTGTTTCCAGTGGCCCTATTGAACACTTGGTGCAATGTGTTGTCGAGCATTTACATCCCCTCCTTTTTGACTGGCAACTGTGGGGCGACAATTTCTTGAGATTTGTGTTACTTTTGAGAATGCATCTTTAAAATGCGTTTCATTTAGCATTTGGGTACAAAAGAAAAAACGCATTTTTGTGCATATTAAAAAAAAAACAAAGGAAAAAAGGCGTTTCTCTTTTTAAAAAATCTTTTTTAGTTGGGGGTGTTTCCCCAAATGACCATCAACGTTGAACATCTTTGAGTCATTGAGCTATTAAATGAGGGACTCTAATATTCTGTCCCACTCTTCCAGAAGAGCTCTTTCTAGTTCTTGGAGAATTTGTAGGGGTGGTTGGCGTCCAGCAATTCGTGCTCAATTGCCCAAACATGCTCAATTGCGTTTATGTCTGGAATACGAGCTGGCCAATCCATTTGTATGATTCCTTTTTCCAAAAGGAAATAATTCACCCAGTTAGCACAATGTGTTCCGCAATTGGCGTCAATTGACATAAAGTCATCTCCAATTGCTGCAGCATAAGGAACTACAATTGGTGTCTGGATCTCATCCCTAAATCGACGACCAGTCAGAGCTCCATTTTGAGTGATATGTAAATCGGTGTGCCCATCAATAAAGATGCCAGTATAGATCATCACTCCCCCACCACCGAATCTTACTCTTTCGTGAACGAACAAAGGATTGTTTCTAGTGCCATGTTCCCTTCAGATGAAAATATGTCTATTATCAGGATGAACAGAAAAACGAGACTCGTTAGAGAAAAGAATATTGCACCATTCATTTCTCCTCCAGTTCAAATGCTCTGTTGCCCACTCCCTAGGGATGCGACCCTGCCTTGCTGTTAACTTGGCACAAAGCATTAGTCAGTGAGCACACAGATCCACAACATGATGGTGATTTCAGACAGTTGGTGTCGAAACTGTGGTGCCACCCTAAATGTGCAATCTGAATTCAGTTATAAAGATTGGTGCACATTTAGTTGTCTTTACTTAATAACCCTTCCTTGAAAGCATGTTAATATATTTTCTTTCTTTCAAAAAATCATAAGAGTTGCTACCATTGCAGTTTGGATATTCGACTTACATTTTGGTAACATGCATAATAACTATAGTTTTAAGAAACTTAAAATTACGAAGATGTATATTAAAAAAAAATTTACTGCTGTGGAACAAAAATATTTAGCATTTGATTATAATTTGCTCAAGAATTAACTTCAGCGTGTAGTAAAAATACATGCAGGCCCCTGCATCTCCTAGAAATGCAAATTACATAGTTAAAATTTAGATGTCGAATGGACTAATTTTAATTGTATACTTAACACAAATTTCTTTCGAATTCCAATTTGCTTTAAAATTGTTACAAAATGTATATATATATATATATATATATATTTAATGAATTTTTTTCACTTATTTTGCTTTGTATAATTTATTTTGTGTTCCTGAACAAACTATCAGAAATCAAAATTACTAAGGAGTGAAGAAGTACAATTACAATAAATAAAATTTGATTAGTTCTACTTCTTATTAGCTTAGTGATGATCCCTGTGGCAGAATTTTTTCTGACTTTCTGCGACAAACCTTATTAGAACCAATATCTTTCTGCAAGATATTTTTATCGTTATAAATGTATGTGTAATGAATTTATAATAATAGATGAAATTCGTGTTTATAAAATAAGTCTACATGCATAGAATAAAACTGTGTAGATTTTTTTTCTTAATTTCATGATATAAGTTTACATTTCTTAATAAGTTTAAATTGTTTAAGTATAAATTTGCATAATCTTCGATAATAACGAAAAGTTATAAATGTATAGATCTGCAGACAAAAATGCTTACTAGAGCATAAATAAAGATTACCCAGAACCTGTAATAAGATAGAACTTATAGAAATAGCTAAGAATGGACAAAAAGATTAAATTTATAAAACAAGATAACTGAATTTGAAGTATCAGTTTAAAACAGTATGATTTAATGTTTCACTATAGTAGTTATATCAGGTACAGAAACAAATCAGGTGAAAAAATTAATATTGAAGTTGAGTAATCAAAATAATAAAATAGTATTGACTATAACCGAATTCTAAAAGCAAAAAAATTAAAGCAATGTTTGTTTCAATTTTTTCTACATCTAATTAATTTTATCTAATTAATTAGATGCGATTAATATTGTACTGACTTATTGAAAGATTTTTTTTTAAAAAAAGGAGGTAAATAAAACTTTTTTCGTGATCAGATTAAGTTCAGAACGAAAAAAATACACAGCGCTTGTGATTTCGCACTGTATTGTGTAAATATATAGCACTGATTCCACACGAAGTATGCAGAAGCAGTTTCCGACTCAATATGCTCAAGTCTATTCAACATCTCGAAACGAAATAGTCTTTATCAGTACTGAAACATCGGTATTAGAGCCATATTCATTGGATGCGATTTTTTTCGCATGCGTATGGAAACCTGTTTGAAAGTGACCAGTAAATATTTTTCACCAATCTGGTTTTCATTCGCATGCTAAAAAATCGTAGATAGTGAGATATCTTTCAGGCTTTATTTCATTTATCGTTAGATTGTTTTTTTTTTTTTTATCGACGATTTAATTCAAAGCATATAGGCATTTTTAGATGTTGTCGACTTCCATCTTATTTCTTTTTCGGAATGCCACCTTAATAAATCAGTTTTCAAATTTGTTTTAACTATTGTGGCTTCACAATTGCAACAAATAACCTTTTCGCTAGACATGATTTTTTTAAAAAAAGAATCTTTTTACGCTGAAATTTTCCACATAAGTGCAAAAAATATAAAATGCTCTGGTCTCATAAAAAAACACAAAGCAAATTACTGCGCCAGCGATAGAGGCCGAAGTTGGCAAATTTCCAAAAATAGCTTAATAAAGGGGAAAATAAATCTCCCCTTTTTATCCAGTAACTGTTTGTGTTGGAGATTAACTGAGAATTACGAGCGCTTTCTCCTTCCGCGGTACGCTAGGAAAAAAAATATTTAAAACAATTCTGTAAGAAAAAAATTTTGCAGAACCATTATTGCTTCTGCAGAAATTTTTTGTTTCTGAAGAAAATGTTTTTTTTTTTGTTGGTAAAACAGCTTCTGTTTCTGCAGAATTTATTTTGAGAACTTTTGTTTATGGCAAACCAAAAATTTTTATTTCCCAAATAAAAAAATTCTTTCTGCAAGAACTCAGTCGCTTTCTGCGACAATGTCGCTGTGTCGCCGTGTTTCTGCCACGGGGGTGATGATTAACTATTATCTGAAGTGTAGAATTGTTTTTAATATTCTGCATCAAGACTTTTGATAACTAGCAATATTCTTAGAGTATTTATCAAAAATAAGTAAACGATTTTCACTAATAAGTTATTACCATTTTTTTATAATTAATTATTTTATTTTACAGTATGTGTTTGTATTTGTTAAAATACAACTTTGAAAAACATAAACAGTTATCTCTTATATAATTATCTGTTTTAATTGTCTATAATTATCTATCTTAATTTTTTAATATCAAATTCTAAGGTTGATGAACATTTAGAAAATATTTGTGCCAAGCTTTATACAACTAAACCGAAGAAAACAGATGATGATGTTGGATTTGGTATGTGTGCTATATGTCTAGATCCTGTAAAATTTGATTATTATAGACTTGAAAACTGTGGTCATTCCTTCTGCAAATCCTGTCTACTTTTACAACTAGAAAGCAAGATTATTCCTGTTACCTGTGCTCAAGAGGTATATTTTGTCTCTAATTTTTCACAAATTTGTAAGATTCATGTAATTTTTTAATTCGGACAAATTATTTTTCTTTGACTAGCATGTTATTGGACAGTTTTAAAAAGTTTTTATAATAAATATATAAGATATAAAGTAAGTATCATCTTCACCATTTATTTTGAAAGAAGTATTTTATACATTACAGTCATTACATTTTTTTAGATACATGATAAATGAATTTCCAGAGATATATTAAATAATCAGGAGTTTGTCCAAGCCAAATTTACTACCGTTTAGCGGTACCTTCACAAATTCAACTTTAGGGAAAATGGAAGTTTCACAAAATACTTTTTCTTTCAATTTTATTCTTTATCTCGTAAGAAACGATAAATCCATATTTTTACCATTTTTTTGTGTAGATTTTTTAATATAATTTTTAATATTCACAAATTATGTCTAAATTTTCACAAAACAGGTACCTCTCAGAAAAACCTAGACCCTGGTAATGCAATTATGCAAGTTATAATTCTGATAAACATCTAAATTTGGTATGTTTTTTCGAAATTTTTTACTTTTCAAGATTTTTTTTAAAAACAAAAGTTTTTTTTAAAGAAATTATTAATTTTTTTTTAATTACTTGTAATTATTTTGTATATTTTAATTATAGATTGTATTGCATTTAGAATAGGTCCTGTAATGATTATAAAATATCACCTTTCTGGGAAATGATCTTGTATTTGACCATACTTTAAAAGATTTTACCAACTATAGTAAACAAAAATCTATATTTAGATTGTTTGTGAAAATAAAATCAAAATTATAAAAAGTACATTAAACTTTCTCTCATCGTCCACACATTTTTGATGGTTGAGTTTCATCAAGAGGAAAAGAGCATCTTTAAATTAAAAAATATTATTTGAATTTGTAAAGAGTTGTATTATTCAAGGGTAATTGTGCAGTGGAGAAAAAACTCAAAATTGAGAGTTTTTATACTTTTTCAACAAGAATTTTACATTAGCCAAGGAAAAAGAGATAGTATGATACCTATAACAGAGCGAGACAAACCATTGTGATCGTTAATGGATTTTGTTTTAAGTAAGATGGATATTTGAACATCAAAAGATTGGATATATGTATGTTTATATATTTTTAAACAAATTTCATTTAGCAAGTTGAGATGGTCATGAGTTGAAATTCTGTCATCAGTTTTTAATAAATTATTTTGTAATTGATGCTAATCAATTAATTCAAAGTACTCATCGATATCGTTTGGATATGTAATCTCTTTCCAAGTAGGCCAAACAAAAGCCTATGAAGCTGTTCCTGGCATTTACTGTTCTAAGTTGTCAAATAAAACTCAAAAGGTAAATTTCCAGCAAGCTTTAGTGCCTGACAATTTATTATTCAAGCATGACTTTCCTGTCGCAGCATATAAAAATCATTGATTTTTGTAAAATTTAAAATATCCCATCTAAGATGTCATTGCTACTGAGTAGTATAAAGAGACTCTAAGTATTTTTGAAGTGTTAAATGAATATTCATACAAAAAGGTCGAAAACTTGATAATATCACACTTTTAATACTTTAATTTTTCTGTTTCAGACAATCTTATGCCAAGATATTCATGTATTGATATGCAGTACAGGCTTTCAGCGCTACAGGACATGGATGACCACTGTTGTCGTTTAAAACCTATGACCTCTTTAAGCATAGTCATACCTAGCATATACATATTGATATAGTTTTTTCCCCCCTTCCTGATTAGAGTAAAAAAAGAAAAGAGAAAAAGAAATTGCTTTTAGAAGCTAAAATAATTTTCTGTCAGATTATTAACAGATTTGCATATATTTAATTCCCATTTGAAGTATCAACACACTTTTGAGTTCAACAGTATGCATTGATATCTAAAAGATAGCATAACTTATACATAAAGGAGGCATGCACTTTTTTCTAATCATCTTAGAATGCAACTGTGTTAAAAACGGTCGCATTTAGAGAAGTATATTTTTAAATAGGATTTGATGCCCATTGTGTTGGGTACATTTTAAATAACTCATTTGTTGATTTTATGAAAAAAGATCTTGAATTATTTTATTTATTAGAATAAATTATGTTCACTTTCAACTTGTGTAATGCTATAGATGAAGTGTTATATATTAATCTTTAAAGCTAAAGTTTATTCATATTTCCTGAAGATGAATGCCTATAAATAATACAATTCCTGTAATCCAGCCTATTAAATAATGTGAATGATTCAGAAGATGAAACGAAAATGATTGAATGAATAAGTTAATTAAAAAAGAATAAGGAATAGTTAATTGTAATTAGTATTGTATGTATCAAGTTATGTAACAGGGTTGCCACAGACTACTAAAATGCGACTATTTGCTACTATTTTTGGCCTTAGGCAACTATGGCGACTTTTTTGCCTGAAAAGGCTAAAAAAGCAACTATTTTCAGGAGTAGGCGACTATTGGGAGACTTTTTTAATCTTAGCGAAGTTTTTTTGCAAAAATGAAAGTTACTTTTCAGACCCCTTGGTAACACGTACGCATTGCCGCCTAGCATGTGCGTAGTACTCAGTGACGTCATCACGCTAACCTCTCCCTTGTTATTTCACCCCCACTGAAAGAAACCGCTGACAGGTTGTCAGAAGAAGTGAATGAAGGACTTAAAGAAGCCCTTTGACTAAAGATATGCAAGGAATTAGACTTGCACAAGGCATGATTGAAGGTAGTCTGCAATTACGACAAAGAGAAAAAGAGCATGAAACAAATGAACAAAAAATAAACTAAATTGTTAATAAAATAAATCAAACTCTTATACAATCATTTCTTTCCAAAAAGCCAAAAATTTAAATTTCCATTAGATTTAGTAAAGTACTTGTTATTTTTACTCTCTGAGGGGCTGTTTAGTTCTAATTAATTGTTTTTTCCTTCTATTAACATTAATATTTTATTATAATTCGACTTTTATTTAGTTACCTATTTTCTGACCTTTAACCTTTTTATATTTGTACGAAACTTTTTTTTAATTGCAGCATAGTTAGGACTGGGCGATAAATGGATGTATCGCAAAGTATTGATTTAACGCATATATCGGTAGGCCGATATAGTAACTTTCGTTTTAGGCGATGCGTCAGAAATCTGATTTAAGCCACTGGTATAAGACTGCAATCATGGTTTTAACGATTTAATATGCACGGATCCTTGACTACGCTAATGCTGTTATAGCACTGACGAAGACAATTTTGATTTAGTCTAGCTGCAGAGATGTAGAAAGCGTTTAGCTATAAAGACGACATTAGTTTTGAGATGTTGAATTGAATCAGAACTCCCGGTTTCGTGCGAGGATCATGTAATATAGAAAGCAATGCATAGTTTCTTTATGTCCATTTTTGTCTTTGGGATTTTGCGTTTTTTGAAGATTATTTTCAATGGGACTTAAGTCATTTTACGATTGTTGTGCATTTTATTTCTTCGGGAATAATTGTCAGGTTTCTTGAAAATTATTTTCAGTGAGACTTTTGCTACTTAGTGATCGTTTCTTTCTGCATTATTTCATGCCAGTTTTTTTTTTTCTATCTGGATTTAACGATTCTTGTCAATTATTTTTAGTAGACCTACTGTTACTTTGCGATTGCTGCACAATCCCGGTTATCTTAAATTTTCGTTCTAAACTCAATTGATCAATGAAAAAAAAATATAAATAAATAAAAAAAAGATTCTTCATTGTTTTTTTTTTCCAATTATTGTTTTTCATTTTAAGTGATACAATTTAATAGGGGTATTTTGTATTTTACTTTGTTGTATAAAAGTTATTTTTTTTAAATTTATTTAATCTAGGTAAGTATAATAATTTGATTATTTTTAAACCAATAAGTTTTCAGTCGTTTTTAATTATAAAAAAACTAAAACAAAGCTTAACTTCATTTAATTTGCTTTTACTTTTGAGAAACTGAAAACAAAGTTTTAAAAAAATTTGGCTATTGGTTAAAAAAATATTTTTTTTTCGTTAAATAAAGAGTTTAGTAATGTTTTGACGCTTTTTAAGAATTTAACATTAGTACTTAAAATATTTTTTTTTAAAAATTTTTATTAATATTCTTTCAATACTTGTTTATTTCATAATTTGTTAGATAGTCAATATCATTTTTAAACAAATAAATCTTTAGTCGATTTTATTTTCAGAAAAGAAAATAATAATAAATAAGTAAAAATATTTTTACATTTATTAAGTGCAGAATTTAATCATTACTTAATGCTACTTTTTATTATTTTAAATAAAAGAGTGTCTAATGATCTTTCAAAAGCATGATTTTTTTTTCAACAAATAATTAAAAATTTTTTTTTTTTTTGAAAGTGAAAGTTTTTTTTTGTTTGTTTTCTACTTTCGTTTTCTTCTAATTTTTAATGCATGTATGTATTATTTTTAAACCAATAAATCTTAAATCATTTTTAATTTAAGGAAAATGAAATAAAACTTGAGTTTGCTTTTCTTTGACTTCTTTATTATTTTAATTGAAAAAATTAATCAATGATATTGATGTCATAGTGGAATATGTTTAGAATTAATATTTTCTTTTGTAATAGATTTATTCTTTTTTATTTATTTTTGATTGATTTAAGGATTTGCCATAGGTAATTTTTGAACATATGCTATATCGCAATGTCTAACGGACGATTTATCACGATTTCAAATTTCTGACATCACCCATTCCTAATCATAGTATTTGACAATCAAGCTATAATTTTAGTTATTTGGCTACTATTTTTGATAAATTTTTGTTCCTGCTCAGGCAACTATTTTCATAGTTTTAGGCAACTATTTTCCTGCTTGAGGCTATTAAAAGCAACTATTTTTGCTGTGGCAACCCTGAAGAAAGCAAACTTTTATACAATCATTTATTTCCAAAGAGCCATAAATTTAAATTTCCATTGGATTTAATAAAGTACTTGTTATATGCTCTCTCTGAGGGGCAGTTTTGTTATTTTTAATTGTTTTTTCCTTCTATTAACATTCATATTTTATTGTAATTAGACTTTTATTTAGGTACCTATTTTCTAATATGTATACCTTTTATATTTGTACAAAACTTTTTTTAAATTGGAGCATAGTTAGAACTGAGCGATAAATCGATGTATCGCGAAATATCGATTTAACGCATATATCAGTAGGCCGATGTAGAGACTTTAGTTTTAGGCGATACATCAGAAATCTGATTTAAGCCTCCGGAATTAGATTACAATCGTGGTTTAGCGATTTAATATGCAAAGATGGTTGACTAGGCTAACGCTGCTACCGCACTAACGAAGACGATTTTGATTTTGTCTAGCTGCAAGGATGTAGATTGTGTTTTGCTATTAAAATGATGTTAGTTTTGTGATGTTGAATGACGAAGATTGAATTGAATCAGAACTCCCGGTTTCGTGCGAGGATCAGCGTTGTAATATAGAACGCAATGTATAGTTTCTTTATGCCCATTTTTATCTTTGGGATTTTGCGTTTTTTGAAGATTATTCTATTCAATGGGACTTAAGTAATTTTGCGATCGTTGTGCATTTTATTTTGTCGGAAATAATTGTCGGGTTTCTTGTAAATTATTTTCAATGAGACTTTTGCAACGATCGTTTCGTTCTGCATTATTTCATACCATTTTTTTTCTGTCTGGATTTAACGATTCTTGTCAATTATTTTTAGTAGACCTACTGTTACTTTGCGATTGCTGCACAATCGCTGTTATCTTAAATTTTCGTTCTAAACTCAATAGATCAAATCATTGATTTTTTTCAGTTTATTATTTTAAGCGATACAGTTTCATAGGGGTATTTTGTATTTAACTTTGTTGTAAAAAGTTTGTTTTTTTAAATTCATTAAATGTAGTTAAGTATAATAATTTGATTGTTTTTGAACCAATATATGCTCAGTCGTTTTTAATTATAAAAAAATTAAAACAAAGCTTGCCTTTATTTAAATTGCTTTTATTTTTGAGAAAATGAAGGCAAAGTTTTAAAAAAATTTGCCTATTAGTTAAAACAATTTTTTTTTTAATTAAATGAAAAGTTTAGTAATGTTTTGAAGTTTTTAATAATTTAACATTAGTACTTGAAGTATTTTTTTAAAATTTTTATTAAAATTCTTTCAATACTTGTTTGTTTTATAATTTGCTTGATAGTCAGTATCATTTTTAAACAAATAAATCTTTAGTTGATTTTATTTTCAAAAATGAAAATAATAATAAATAAGTAAAAATATATTTACATTTATTAAGTACACAATTTGACCATTAGTTAATACTACTTTTTATTATTTCAAATAAGTAAATAAAAAAGGGGCTAATGATGTTTCAAAAGCATGTTTTTTTTTTCAAGAAGGAATAAAAAAAAAATTTTTTTTTTCTAAAGTGAACATTTCCTTGTTTTTTTTTTTTCTTCTTTTAATTTTTACTTCATGTATGTAAAATAATTTGTTACAGTATTATTATTTTTAAACCAATGAATCTTAAATCATTTTTAATTTAAGAAAAATGAAATTTGGGTTTGCATTTACTTTGACTTCTTTATTAATTTAATTGAAAGAATTAAACAATGATATTGATGTCATAGTAAAATATGTTTAGAATTAATATTTTCTTTTGTACTATATTTATTCCTTTTGATTAATTTAAAGATTTCCCATAGGTAATTTTTGAATAAATGCTAAATTGCGATACATCACTATATCGGGATGTCTAACTGACGATGTATCACAATTTAAAATTTCTGACATCACCCAGTCCTAATAATAGTATTTGACAATTAAGCTATAATTTTAGTTATTTGGCTACTATTTCTGATAAATTTTTGTTCCTGTTCAGGCAACTATTTTCATAGTTTTAGGCAACTATTTTCATGCTTGAGGCTACTAAAAGCAACTATTTTTGTTCATTTTTTACTGTGGCAACCCTGTGTAAAGAAAATTAGTATATTTAGTAGTAAATATGTTACAGAAAGTTGGATATGGAGTTCTAAAAATTTTATTTTCTCTAAGAATCACTCTAATTAGTGTTTAACTTGATGCTTGCTAAAAAAGGATTATTATTTTAATAAACTATAATGTTACTATAATCTGCAGAAAGACTAACTATACTGCAATCATATTTGGATAACAAAACAATCATATTTGTATGAGAATTTCTCAACTGAATCATTAATTTGCAAGCAATGACGGTCGCTAGGTGATTAAATTGCATGAATTTTTAAATATAACTGTGACACTGCACAGGTTAAAAATAAGGCCAAAAAATGTCAGCAAGAGGACTGAATGGAATATATTATATATGTCATCCCACACTTTGTAAAAGAAATTTTTTGAGATACTTAGCTTGTTTTCTTCCTTCTTTAAACTACATGTTAAAATCTATTTTCTTTGAGGTTGTTTTATAAGGAATAGTTTTGTATTCTAATAATATATTAATAAAGAAATTTTTTTAATATTTTTTGTAGGATTTAGCTGCTACTAATTAAATTTTCTTATTATTTGTATATTTTTCTTTACAGAATTGTGGACAACCATTTTTCCTTATTGACATCAATAGAATTTTGTCTCTTGGAGGTGAAAAGCTCAGACGGGAATTTCAAAATGCAGCTCTTCAACATCATGTTAGTACTCATGCTGGTCAGATCAGCTATTGTCACTCCCCAGATTGTCCTACTGTCTATCGAGTTTCAAAAAAAAGTGATATTGTTTACAATTGTCCTGCTTGTTTAAATGACATCTGTGCATAGTAAGTTCTTTATTATTATATTTAAGGACCTATTCATTCATGTGTTTTAGGTTAATCATCTTTATTATAAAAATTTAGCATTCATAATAATTGTGATTTTAGTTTTCTCTAAGGAATTAAGAGAAATCTTTTGAAAACTATAATAGAAAATCTAAGTTTCTAATTCTATTTTTCATATTTCCCCCCATTTTTTTTCTTTTATTTTTTTATAAAATTGCATACAAAGCATTGATTGTAGAAACTTTTCATGCAATTTGAGACAAACGTATATTAATCTGTATTGTTATTTAAACACTTAATTGTTAATTATGCTATATGATCAAATGTATTGATGCTCAATCTACTTAAAGAAACATAACTTATTGAATTTCAATTTAATATTTCTTTGATTAAAATAGTTTCACCCTAAAATTCAAATAAATGCTATTGGTAGTTAAATTATCTAATTTTAATAGTAAAAAAAATCAATGAGAATTTTTTGAGTCATTCACTAGATATCAACATTTTTAGGCAATAGAAAATTCATGTAATTAAAATGTATTATTAATATAATAAATTCAAGCCATGATCTATAATTCCATTAAATTTGCTTTTGTATTTTACTTTTGAAACACTTGCACGATACTGAATATTCCGATATACAATATCAAATTGGTAAGATAGCAAAATGAGTACATAATGCAGTAATCTCGTAGCGGTCAGAATAGGAAGGCCTTTTTTTAAACTAACATGGCTACTAGTGGCTTATGATCTATAATTAGGGTGAATCACCTACTCTTTAAATAAAGATAAAACTTTTTTACAGCCCAAATGATAGAGAGAGAGCTTATTAATCAATCTGTGAATAATTCTTTTCTGTATTTTATAAAGCTCTGAATGCAAATGCAATGGGTCTCTCTGTTCCATCAGGTAAAAAATGCGAAAGGGCTGCTCTGATCCCTACTATCGATGTATCTAAAGCTAGTGTTCATTGTAATGACAGGTCATAGTAAATTAATACTCGGTCAGACAAATTCTTTTTTAATGTATTTTTTTTAAGGAATTTTGTCACTCTTTTGACCACACCCAATTAGCATCTTTTTGAGTTAATACTTATTAATACTCGGTCAGAGCAAATTCTTTTTTAATATATTTTTTTGAAGGAATTTTGTCACTCTTTTGACCACACCCAATTAACATCTTTTTGAGTTAATATATTTGGACGCCCAGTGACTGAGTGGTAGCACTTCGTGCTACAGGTCCTGGGTTCGACCCTCGGGCCGGGCAAGGTTGACTCAGCCTTTCGTTCCTTTAGTGGGTCAATAAATGAATACCAAGCATGTTTGGTAACTAAACACTGGGGGTTCCGTGTTTGACTGACCACCTAACCGGAGCATCTGCTCCTGCATCCCAAAGTCAAGAAAACTGAGATGGGCACAATAGACCCTGGCCCTCTTGTTGGAAAATGTAAACAAATAGATGGGCAGTATTTTCCTCTTTGCTGTGTCACTTCCTGTGAGAAGTTGGGTCACTTCCTGTTATCTCAGCTATAAGGAAGTGGATGTTTTTGTATGTAGTAAGTTATATCTTTGCTTTGGATAGAGTATGTTTATTCTCTTAATGTTATGTTTAGAGAGAGTTATGTTATGTTAAGTTTATGTTATGTTAAGTTTAATTGAATGTAGTTTTTCTTTCTTTATATTTAAAGTTTTATATTCAATAAATATAGTTGTACAGTTTTCTATGAAGTGAATTCTTTATTTGTAATATATGTCTTCAATATCTTTAACATAATAAGCTGGCTCCTATTTTTCAAACACTCTATGGGCTGTCGCCCAACTGAGTTTAGTTTAGAGTTAATATATTTAAAGGCATCATTATACATGCGAGATTCACGCAAAATTTGCCATAAAAATACACTAAACCTAAAAAAAATTATAATGTCCTGAACATTTTTTGGAACAGGTGCATTGAATATAGCTGAAATTTACTCATCAATTTTGTGCTCTAAGAAATTAATTTTGTTTTGAAAAAATTTTGATAAATTTAATTTTAATCCATGTTCTTTAAATTTTTTTTTTTTTTGAAAATTTTTTCGGATGCACCTTCAAATGCAATTCTTCTTTGCACGCAATGCATTTTGCAACAATTCCAATTATACAACAAAATATGAAAAATGACTTGTGTATGTTTTATTTATTTTATGGGGAATGCAGGTTAGTGTCAGTTGTGTTATCCATTCCACATATAACAACACTTTTATTACAAGTAACACATCAAACAAATTAGGAATGCTACTGAATGATTGACTGCTCTCAATCAGAACTTACACAACCTCTGGTGTCATTAAACCATATACTCAGCGTAATTACACATCACTGTCCGCCATCTGTCGGTATAAAAGGATAATACTTACTATTATTCATACACTAATACTTGGAACATCAGTATTTAGAGAAATAGCATTAGAGGATGCACTAAGTACCAGAATTTTTTTTACATTATTGATGTAGGAGATAAAAGGCAACCTAGCTGAAGAACGTTAAAAGCAGGAAATCATTATTCATGAGTGGCGTTAAATGTGGGTTTTACTGTAACAACAATAAAAAATAATTTTCAATATTTTTTTCAAATTTCAGAAAAAACATTTCAAATTTATTTTGGTCAAGTTAAAAAATGCGTTTATGGTGTGTATGAACTAATTGTTTTAACATGAGTGATTTCTGTTATGATTATTTTACTATATAACTATTCAATATATTTATATGCATGTATATTTACAGTTGTCAAACATTCTCCCATAAGGGCATGAACTGTGATATTTACCAGAATTCAAAAGAGGATGAAGACTATTCTTTAAAAGTAATTTATTTGCCATTAGTTTTATCTTAATATCCTTTCAATGATATTATTTTGATTTCCATTTTCTCGTTGAAGAATGTTTATGGAATTTTTTGTAAATGCCTATCCTTTCTTTAATTTATTCAATAGATCATTAATGAAAAAAAAAATTTACCCATATTTTGCTACCTTTCATCATTGGAAATTTACATAGACAAGTTCATAAATTATTGATGGATATAAATGTAAAAATTCCTGGTTAACCCCTTTAATTCTTTCATAGTACTCTTGGGTTATATGGAACATCTTTTGGGAACGTTTGGTTAAGAATTTATTATTTATAAAAAATACAGTTTTCTATTTCTGCCTATTCGCACTGACAGGTATTTGAAGGTACTATTCCCTTTGTATTTTTGTGCTTGAAATTGAATAAGACAAAAACAGAAACATTGAAGACAGCTTAAAAATTATAGAAGAAAATTTTATGTGTTAAAATACAATTTTATCTGTAGCAATAAAGGAAACGAAGGAAATAAAAATATGACCACCGAAGCCGATGCCTTCAGGGGGTACTGGCCCCGGTAGCCATAAAACAAAACCTTTTCTATTGAGGGGGAGGCAATTGCCTAAAGTAACACCCTCAGTACCCCAAAGGGTTTTGTAAAGAAGTCCAGGAAAAATCATGAATTACAAAGAACCAATTTAGAAAAGAAACTCAAACAAATTCATCAGAAAATAAAAACTTAAAACTCACTTTAACCAGGTCAAACATGGATTTCATAAGCACACTGAATGAAAAGGAAACATTCTGAATGAAAAGGAATTTCCTTTTCATTCAGTGTGCTTATGAAATCGATGTTTGACCAGGTTAAAGTGAGTTTTGAGTTTTTATTTTCTGATGAATTTGTTTGAGTTTCTTTTCTAAATTGGTTCTTTGTATTTCATGTTTTTTCCTTGACTTCTGTACAAAACCTTCGGGATACTGAGGGTGTTTCTTTAGGAAATTACCTCCCCCTTAATAGAAAAAGTTTTGTTTTATGGCTACTGGGGCCGGTACCCCCTGAAGACGTCAGCTTCGGTGGTCATATTTTTATTTCCTTTATTGCTACATTTATCCTTTTTGTGAAATTTCTGCTGCTTTTAAGCACGTTTTTTTACATAGAAGTTTTAATAATTTAGATTTTAAAAAATGTTTGTTTTCTTTTAATACAAATTTATACTTATTTACACACCTGACAATTGCTACATTTATATGTCGGGCATTTTTCCTTGTGTATTTTTATGCTCCCCTCCTAAAAAAAAATTTAAAAAAAAAAAAAAAAAAGGAGTCAGTAACACTAATAATTTTTATTCTTGGATTAGTATAAATTAATATTTTAATCTTCAAACATAAACAATCTAAACAATTATTCCTATTAACTTAATTTGAATTTTATTGGATTTAGCATAAAAGCAAAATGCATAAAAATCTATGCATCAGTTGTTCAGATGGCAATTACAGACGTATTAAGCGGTATTAGTCAAAACTAGTATAAACGAGCATAAAGCTGCACTTTTTATTCATAAAACATTTGTAACTTCTAAAATATTAGTACTATTAATTTGGAATTAGTTTTATTTAATTCAGCTTTATAAAATACATTATAAACAATAGCTTGATTGTCTAGAAAATGTAATTCTGGCCTTCAATAAGAGCCATTTTGAGCTAAAATCTATAAATGAAAGAAATGGCACATTATTATATTATTTAAGAATTTGTTTTTATTTAATTGCATCACAGATTTGCTTTAATACCACCAATTTCTGCCAGTAATGATGATTTCTGACATAAAATGATTATCCTTTTTCTTTTTTAGTAAATTAAAATACAATAGATTAATGGCTTCAAAAAACAAATGTTTTATTTTGTAATAAAATGTTGCATGATCGAAATTTTTCATTACTCTTCCTGAACTCATAATCAGCTATTGTTTTCTAAACTATTGGCTTTTCGCTTATATAGCTGCTTATCAGCAATATATATGGCTATTACTTTCTTGGTTGCTTTCTAGTGTTACATTTCAATAGATACTTCTGCAAATATTAATTAAAATATAAATTTTTACCATTTTTATAAATGGATAGAACTAAGGATAAATTTTCCTAGTTTCATAATATCAGTCTTTCTTATAATGAAATTGTAGCAACTCTCTCTTAGAAATCTAGAGATAGTAAATAAAAGTGGTGCTTAACATGATTCTAGGAAGTGGAAACTTTTAAGTGTTTAGGAATCATTGATATTTTTGAACTTCTGGATGCAGACTGGTTTTCGAAGCATTGCATTTCACTCTTTGTTGGGGATATCTCTCCTTACATTTTTACAAATTTAAAATGCTTTGATTGAAATTTAAATTTTTATGTTTTGTGTTATATAATAATGCTTTATTGAGATGTTTTTAAGGATCAGTAACCAAGCTCATTTTAATATACAATTAAAATAAGACTTTATTAATGTATACTTTTAAATAAAATCATTTAAAATCTTTATTAAAATAATTAATGAAAAGCTTTTTCCCTTTTTAAGCTTTTTTAAAAAATAGAGCTGAGAATATGTCTTCCTCATTAAATAATGTAATTAGGAGAACATTGTAAGAAAAAATAATAATAATTGAAAAATTAAGACTTTTATTGATAAAAATTTCTCTGATCTTTCTATTTTCATTCAATTTTGATTTCCTATTACAGTTTTTGCAAATAGAACCAAAAGATAGGACTCTTTTTTTTTATAATTATTAATATTTCTATGATGAGATGAATAAAAATATTCACTTAATTCTCCTTGAAATATGAATGTAACCTTTACTATTTGGTTTAATGTAGTAGGATATTTCTCCCCTCGTGACCGGATGGGTAAATCACAATGTATTGAAAGTAAAACACCTCATCTAAATTATCAAAAAGAGCTTCGGCTGCTAGATTTTTTTTATTGAGAGAAATGCAGCACATGACACTTCGAAACTAAACATATAAAAGAAATATCTATCCAAAAAAACATATCAGCGACAAAAGAAATAGTCCTGCTCCTTCCGAGCATTCGATCTCTACTACTCTGTCTCTCGCTTTGGCCTCTTCCCCCTTCCTCTCTCTCCTCCTTTCACTTCACAGTTACTTTCGCTTTCAATCTTTACAAATGTTAAGTAATTAAATATAACATAATTTCTTGCATAAAGTTCTCTTAATTCTAGTTACACTAATATGTATTTTATTTCAAAACAGGTATGGTTGAAAGATAATAAATCATGCAAACAGTGTCCCAACTGTAAAATGGTCATTGAGAAAATTGATGGTTGTAATCACATGGAATGTTTGAATTGTAAGAGCCACTTATGTTGGTTATGTTTGGAAATATTTAAGTCTGGTGATCTTGTGTATGATCACTTACCTTTCTGTCCGAAAAACCAGACTAGTTAAGGTGCCTTCTAACATTTAGGATAGCTATGTTGCCAATAATAATTTTCTGTACAAGAATAATTTTTAACAAAATATCATGATTGATATTGTTTTCTGTGATATACCTAAGTTATTATATTGTAATCTACTTATTTTTTTTTTTTTTTTTGCAAGTTTGATTGGTTGTTAAGTGTTTCTTTTTTTTTTTTTTTGTGAATTTTATGACTTATATTGCATTTAAATTTTTTTCTCTCAAACAAATTGTTTCTGACGTAATAGTGAACAATGATCATTATTTGTTTAAATTATTTATCTTTAAAATGGTACCACCTTTTTGTATGTATATATGTACTATTGGGCTTATTATTTTGCTATTTTCACATTAAAATTACAGATTATTAAAATAATATTTTTGTAAAAGAATAAATCAAAGAATGATTTTAGTTATTTTCTGTAAAGTGTAAATACTAAATTTTATTTTCAGTTTTAAAGGAATGAAAATTAATTAAAATTATTTTTGTTAAGCAAACACTATAAAATAGATTTTAAAAAATTATTTGATCATATAATTTTAAAATCATGAATGCAAAAAATGAGAATTGATTTTTCCTTTCTATTAATTGAGTATATTCACTAAAATGATATCCAATTAAAATTTTGTTTTAGTTTTAAGAAAGAACTTCAAAAAGATGTATATGAATAACAATATTTCCTTATGTAATGTATTTCTATCACACATGTTTTTGTATAATATTTGGTTTGTCAAAATAAAGTATTTTAGCTCATTAAAAATAAATATGTTTTATAACAGTTTTATTCTTTAAATAATTTGATTAGTGTAAATTTGGAACGTAAAGTAAAAAACTATAGCTAAAAGATAAAGTAAATAACATGAACGCTTTTATTCTTGTTCTGCAATTTAATGGTTTTCTTTTTGGACAATGATAATAAAGTTTGTCTACAGCATTAAAACAACTGCCAGTATCCAACTTTTTAGTTTACTTTTCCTGTATTATGTTAAAGGTTAATCAAATCTGCTAGTTACTCAAAAACTAGATTTCTATGTCAATAATTAATTAAAAAGTATTTGCATAAAAGATATCTAGAAGTTAACTTACAGAAAGTGTCAAGACATGATAATTAGAGAATCAAATTATTTTTAATTTTTCAAATTAGATTAGGATAAACATAATTTTCCATAACATTGAGCAAAATATATAGATTCTCTAGATTATATGAATTCTGTTATTTTATTTCTATTGCTCCAATTTAATTTTTTTTAAAAATTTTAATTTCAATTATTTTTTGCTTATTAAGTTTAATTAGTATTTAATTTGTGATGAAAAGTTTGATATCAATTATTTTTACACACATTAAATAAGCATAATTTTTATGAAATGAAGTGTATAAGTTTTATATGTATCCATTTTTTTCAAATAAACTAGTTTTGTTTTTGAAAAGAAAAGTTATTGCCTATAAAACATCTCTAATAAAGTGTATATTTTGATAAAATAAATTGTCTAGAGACGTTTTGTGGCCTGCTTTATTGTTTTTTTAGATTATTTAGAGAAATAAAAAACTTATATTAAATTAACATGTTATTGTTACTTTGTAACTTAATTTCTAAACTTTATATAACCTGTCACTGTTTTTATTTCTGTATAGTAAGCTTTAATTTTTATATTAAGTTTCTAATAAACCAAAAATCATTAAACAAGTTTCCACATTTGGTTTGTAAGAGATCAGTTTCATAGTTGAAAAGTCTCATAATGACTTGATGCATAATTTTTAACAAAAAAATAAATAAATAAAGGAAGAGAAAAGCATTGACTTTTTTTTAGATTGAATGTGTGTGTATCTATATACAGTAGGGAACCGATTATCCGGAACGATCAGGACCATCGCTATTCCGGATAACTGATTTTTCCGGTTTTCTGAATCGATACAAAAAGCCGTTTTTTTTTTTTTTATTCTTAAACCCAACTAAAAAAATTAATAATTGGAAATAATCTTAAAAAGAAGAAAAAACGAAGTAATACACTAATGATTATTTCAAAAATGATAGTAANAAACATCTTTCCAAAAAGAAAGAAAAATCCTAAAATCTTATGAGGAAAAAAAAATTTTTTTTTTTTAAAATGGCGAGAAAATNAAAGAAAGAAAAATCTTGTGTGGAAAAAAAAAAATTTTTTTTTTTTTTTTTAAAATGGCGGGAAAATTTATTGAATTTCGTTCCGGTTTTCTGATTTCCGGATAACTGGTTTTTGTACTGTATATGTATATGTGTGTGTGTATATATATATATATTACTTTGATATAGTTAAATTTTAGTGTTAAAAGCTGTGAAATATTATAAATATAATGCGCCACATCTCAGTGTGATATTGCAGGGTAGTATAAATATCACACTGGCATGTGTGATATTTATACTACCCTGCCACTTGGAAATTAAACCACTTGGAAATTAAATTTAGGGAAAAGTTACTGTTATGATTGATTTAGGCTAAAGTAATTTAAGCTGTGAATAATTTAATGACAAGGGGCTTCTAAATACAATTTTGAATCGTAGAAAAGTGCTGGAAATTTTTATTGTGTGTAATCTGTGCATTCAATGCCGACATAAATTCTTATCCAACATAATCTAGTAGACACAAAACTGAAGAAAGAAAAATAATGAAGAAATCTAAATCCACTTAAAATGTTTAGAAATCTTAAGTTTTTTTTAATGGATTAAGAGGGGGTTATAATTCGCTTTTTGTGAGCCTATAAATAAAAAATGTAGAATACATTACTTTCATAATCATTATTGAAATCCCTCCATTCATATATTTTGTTTTAGATGTTACAAAAATAGAATTATTTTCTTTTTAGACCATTTGTAAAGCAAAGTTTTTAAAATTATCATTTTATTCATTTTGCCAAAATTTAAATTTTAAGTAGAAACTTTTATGTAAAAAAATGTCGAACTTATTGAATAATCAACAGTAGCTTAACGGAGCTAAGTGTCAGCAAAGACTTCCCTTTGAATAGATTTCCAAGTCATTCAAATGGTGCCATTAGTGCTTCAGTTCTTAATCTTTAACACTAGTGGTCATTTATTTTTCACTGACTAAAGTGCCAGTTCTTAACCTTTAGATTCTAAAATATATCTCAACTGCATTTATCTTAAAAGCGTGAATAAAATTTACTATTACGTGGTGTGTAGTGTTTTAAAAACTGCTTAAAGGTTCTTATTTTTGTTTTTCAAAAGATCTTAAAGGTGCTTAATTTTCCAATTTCGAAACAGAGTTTTTTTTTCTTCTTTACCATTTCTATTTTCGCCATGTATTATGCAAATCATTGTTCTATTCAACTTTTTTACCACATTCAACTACAATCCATTTCGTCATACCATTGGTCGATAGCGTATGAAAGCACTAATCGTTTTACATGTTTGATTAAATACTTGTGAGACTACTACTGAGCTGGGTTCGAGGAGATTCTTGCTCTCTCATTTGCAACTCTGCTGCATTTTGCAAGATATTCTCAATATCAGGCTTTATTTTTACCCTCTGAACCGAAAAATCTCTTGATCATTTTATAATAGCTAATATAATCATAAAAGGAGTTCTTTGTCAGAAACTAGTTATTTTATCATGATCATGTAATGTCTGAAAATTATTTTGTGTTTTGTTAATGTATATAGTGCTTAAAAATATTTTTTGAGTGCTTAAAAAGTACTTAATTTTTGTTGAAGGATTTGACTATGCAAGTTACTAAAAATATGAAGATATCATATATTAAAATTCAGGTATTGATATTTATCAGTAATTTCAGAAATATTTATTGTGTAGCATGTTTTAATAATCTTTTTGATAATTTGAGCAGAGATAGTACATAGCAAGGAAACTATTTAAAGAACAGGTTACCTAGCTAAAAATATGTTTTAAAAATAGTTATCTACAAGAATTTCTATGAACACATTATTCTTTCATATTCTTGATGTTGTTGTAGTTCATTTACGTCGCACTAGAGCTGCACAATGGGCTATTGGCGACGGCCTGGGAAACATCCCTGAGGATGATCCGAAGACATGCCATCGCAAGTTTGTTCCTCTGCAGAGGGGATGGCACCCCCGCTTCGGTAGCCCAACGACCTGCGCGCGAAGTCGAGCACTTTACAGTAGCACAGTTTAATGAGGAACAATACCGCACACCCTCGGTCCCTACGCAGACTGATCCAAGTGGGTCACCCACCAGCACACTGACCGCAGCCAGTGATGCTTGACTTCGATGATCTGCTGGGAACCGTGTCTTAATGATCAGTCCACTGCGGGACTTCCTATTCTTGAAGAAACAAAAGATAAGTATTTTTTCTGTATAAGAAAAGAAAATTAGATCAAGGACGGGATAGTAAGGAAAATTAAATGAAAAGAACAAGTAACACCAAGAGAAATCAGAAAAGGTATGTTTACCCTATATTTGTGTAGTTTTAAGTCTTAAAAGGTTTTTTTTTTATCTTAACAGTTTGTTCACCTGCAATTTTACACAAAAATTATATGTTACCGACTATCATAAATATCCAAATAAATTCTGAACTCCAATAAATTTTGTTTAAACTGAATAAAAGGAAATCAAACTTTAAAATATTCTGGATTGCCTTAAATTTCCTTAATTGAAATAGATAATGCAAAATGTAACGAAGAGCTAACTCGTAGTTAATACTGAACTTTTTAGACAAGCAAAAGAGGTAAGATATTACTAATATAATATGTAAAAAGTGGTGGAATACTTGTTTTAAAAACATTCCTAAACGACGGAATCCATTTCTTCTCTTGCCAACTACTTTAAAAGGAAATCACTGCTACTTTATTATAAATATGGACTGAATGAGGTACTTCCTTATGTAGTTTCATGTTAAAGAGGTAAGGTCACACAAGAAATATGTCTAAACGAACGTTTAACTACCATAAACCGAAGACAAATAAACGTGATTATTACAGTTATGTTAATAAGTATGATCACCTCACTTAGATAATAAAATCATTTGAAGTTATAGTACAGGAGTAACAGATTACCGAATGAAAACTACACACACCACCTTTCAAGAAATAGAAACTAATATGGTTGTCGTAATTGAGCAGTAACATTGTTGGTCTTAAAAGTTGTACTAATTTCCACTTCAGGGCAACGCCTCCCATACTGCACCGATAAACGTCCGGAATTGGTCCATGCGTTTCATTAGACGTCGCGTACCAAATAACGACGTCTACTAGACGTTTTCCTATAGCTTATTTATCGATAATCCACAATGGCTTAAGTTAAGCCGTCTTATAGATAACTATAATTGACGTAATATGGATGATACACTCGGTAGACCTTAGACAACTATTGAAAAACGTCTCACAGTGTTTCTCGTAGTCAAAAATAAGACGTAGGTAGGACATATTTAATAAATACTATTAACATTTGTTTACAATTTATACATAATGTATTTTATTTAAATTTGAGATAAAATATTTACGATGCGTATAGCACAGAAACGAAATAAAAGAACAAGAAAAGAAATTCCAAAACTAAGAATGAAATTTAATGTCAGAAATAGGGAGCTTTTTTTTCTAGATTCGCATGAATACTTTACACGCAAGTGCAAAAGACTCGCTTTAGTTCATTTTTTCCCAAATTAAAAATTGTTTTTGGTGTTCGAAAGTTGGTTATTATGCTACTGAGTTCAAGTCAAATATTTTTCGAGTTAAATATGATAAATAAGTAATTTACTAATTTATTTTAAAAACTAATATATTATTTCATTCATTAATTTTTACAAAATTATAATTGTTCAGTGTCTATAGTTAATTAACTCATTGCACAAAAAAGTGAATTTATTAATAGTCACTAAAATGAAAATCAGAGGCCATAATGTTAAAAGTCTGATTATTGACCAAATTTTGAAAATTGTTATTAGTTTATGTAGTCTATTTTTAAATCAAATCGTCAATTAACACAAATCATAACGTAAGTGATTTTTACTCAAACTGAAAATAACTTTTTTTTTATGTTCATATTATTAACTAAAATAAAATTCATGATTTAAAAAATGTAAATGCTAATTGCATTGCATTTATGCTTCAAAATCACATTTTGATATTAAAAATATAGTTATTAGTATATATTTTTTTCACCGGCCGAGTGGTTAAGAGTCTATAATTTTATATATCATCTTAAACATTCGGTTTCCTTAAAGTTTCATGTATTCAAAAAATCGAGCGCATATGCTCAAATATAACTGAAGAGTTTTAAAAAAAAGTTTAAACCAAATAAAGAGTTTTTACACTTTTATGAAATTACTGAGTTTGTATATGAACGATATTCAAAGGGCATATTTGTTAAATTTCTTCCAGCAGATCATGAATAGCTCCTGTGGCTGTCGATGATACTTATGTCTGAATAAAACATGGATCAAATTATCCATATATCATCTACGTAAAAACTACTGTGGCTGTCTTAAGGACGGCTGTTGGACTTCTAGATGAAATATGGATGTCTAGTTAATGTCCACCAGGCGACCATATAGACTTTTGTGCATGTTTGTTGTTGATTGGATGATTTTGTGCTATATGGGCATGACATAAATTTTTTTTTTATTCTGCATCGCTACCCCGTTTTGCGTTTTCCTTCCTATAAAAATATTTACTTGGTAAATTAAACAGTTATGTTAAAAGAAAACCTGAGACCTGCAGTAACCAGCAGATCTGCCGAGTTGACTTATGCGGAAATCGAAAATTACCCAGATAACTACAAAATATCGAAGTGCAATTTTTCGTCTTTTTTTTAAAAAATCTATAATAACGATGACATATACCAAAATTTAGCTTCATAACTTCGTGGAAAATGAGAAGATGAGTGATTGATTCAAATGAGTTTTTATTTATATTTATCTTATTTATATTATTATATGAGTTTTTATTATATTTAGTTCTTATTAAAAGGCTTAAATATTAGACATATCTAGGAAATATATAATTTTAAATTTTATGTTCAACTTCACGACATCGAAGTTTTGGTGCACTTGTGAGCATAGATTAGATTTTATATTGTACAGTCGAACCTGTTTATCTCGAATCTCACGAGAAAGGCAAAAAATTTGAGATAAAGAGGTTTCGAGCTATACAGGTACCTTAAAAAATTTAATTTAATTAAAAAAATTCTATTAACAGTGCTTTAATTGCTTTTAGTAGAAAAAATAGGCATTTCTTTAAATTAATTCTATTTACATAACATTTTTTTAACATACATTTAACACTGAAAATAATTTTTCAAAGATTTTTGACGTATACCTTATTTGTTTCGATTATTTTTGTAAGGTTAGAAAGACCGCAAATGCGTCTTAGCCAACATTTTTTCTATCCCTTTTGCATTCACTTTTGGTTCATCAATATTATTTTCTGCTTCTTCCTCTTCATCTGATATGCCTTTGACATTATCTATGATTTCCGCATCTGTCCACTTGTGAAAATCTTTAAAATCGGATTTCTTCTGGATTTATAAATCCTGATTTTATTGCATTCCATTCTGGCAAATCTGGCACAGCATTTTCAGCGTCCGCAATTTCGTCTTTTTTACTGACGCCTCTTATCTCGAATGATGCCTTCAACCTCTTGTTCATCATCATCAAGTCTATTCTTAAATCCAGCTTCTAAAAATCATTTTGACACTTTGGATAGTTCTTAGAGACATCTTTAAATCTAACATCTTTATTTTTGGAAGAGAACTTTTTTCATTAATGGTGTCTACAAGTTTGCGTACCAACGGTTTTATATAGTTCACTTTAAAAACCTTAATTATCCTTTGATCAGTTAAACTTTGGTTGCAATTTTGAGGTGAAAATGAATTTCTATTCTTATAGGTCACGAGTAAACACACGCTGAATCTCTCAGATTGGCGTGAATTCCTTAAAATATGCCAAGTTTGTAGGGTTACTACTTGTAGTTTTTTCCGGCCGTTCAGGCACTTTTCCCCTTAAAATGATTAAGAACCGTAATCGCTTTGCTTGCTCCCATAAAGTTTTATTTTGGTTTCAGTTCGTCAAACTTTTTATCGCGAGTTCGACAATGTAGTTTTATTACTCAATTTTATGTTTAATCAAATTTTATCAGTTTCAAGATACAGCATTTTTTATTTATTTCGAGGCTTAGTTTATGTGAATTTTATCTTGTAAGCTCTATTTCATTTATCCTCTTACATTGACATAATCACTGATTTCATAAATTTTTTCGTTGTTGTCTTTTCTTTTAAATTTTTGTCTTATGTGCAATTATCCAAAAATAATGTGAAACTTTTAAGTTGTTTGTGAATGTAGTTTTATCTAGGTTCTATTTTGTTCAATATTTTTTGTTTAAAATGTGATATATTATGTTTTTTTTGATAGAACTACTTTTGAAACTGGATTTTGCTAAGGATTCGCTGTTTACAATTGTGGAAAATGAATAAATATTTAGGTGACTAATAAGTTCTCTTAAACGTCTTTGACAATGAGTTTTTTTGTGCTGAGCCAGATTATTATTTTACTTAAATTTCTGCCCTTGAAAATGTCATTAATTGGCTTTGATTTTTTTATTCCTGTTAAAATTTTCTTTAGAAAAATTATGAAACATGTTTTGATGTTTATAATATTTATAATTGTAATGAGGATATTATTTCCATATCGTGATGCAATGTTTGTGGCAATTATTCTGCCTAGTCTGTGACCCACATCACAGAAAGTGACCAACACGAAAGGTATAATTCGTAGTCACCTCCGGGTAAACAACTGCACATTTTTTAAAAAAAATATCTGCAAGTTTAAAATCTATTTGGCACCTTGGCATTCGCAGTTGGCGCCTAATCAATATTATATATTTTTTCTCTTGTTTTATTTGGCTACATTTTTAATATGATAATACGACATTGAAATTTCAATGCCCTATATACGACCATAAATCAGTGGTTAGGTGGGACCATGGTTATTCTCATGATTTTTAAAATTACGATATTGTTATGACACGCAAAATTCAATTTGTGTATTTATTATTATGGCTTTTGACATGACGATCAATTACTGTTGTAATCGATTACTGTAATCGACGGCCAACTCTGGTGTCATATTTGAATCAGTTAAAATCTGTATTAATTTTTTTTCCGCTTTTTTTACGGAATTTCACTGCTTTTTTTAAAGAAAATTAATAAAAAGTAAGTTTCACCAATATAAAAAAAAGTTCGCATTTTTTGGATTCTCGAAAAAATAAATTTTTTATGCTTTTTTCTATGTAATGTAAATGCGATTTAAAATAACATTCAAGCAATTTAAAATCACATTCTGTTTCGTAGCCTTGCAATTAAAAATCACATGTTGTGATTTATAGTCACACAAGTTAAAACACATCACGATCCCTATCTGTTTAGTGAGATTTTACTGTACCTGAATTTCTTTGTTTGAGTAAAGCAATAGTAAATTTTCCCATAAAATTAATTTTTTATGATTTTTCCTACCTATGTAAATGGGATTTAAAATAACATTCAAGCGATTTAAAATCACACATTTTGATTCTTAATGATACAATTTAAAATCACATGTTGTGATTTATATTTACGCAATTTAAAAACACATCACGATCCCTATCTGTTTAGTGAGATTTTACTGTACCTGAATTTGCTTGTTTAAGTAAAGTAATAGTAAATTTTTCCATAAAAATGTTAAATTTTTAATTTAATAAAGAAATATTTTTTAAATGTTTGAGTTTCATTGGGTACCTGCAGAAATTTCTATATGAAATAAATTATTAAAAGAAAATTTAAGATTAGATCATATTGTGTTTAAAAAATGCTTAGAATATCTATCTATCTATCTATATATATATAGATATATATATATTAACCCTTTCACTACCAATTTTTATTTCTGCGAAAAAAATAAAATAAGTACTTAAATACATCAGTTACAATGCAAATATTGATAAAATTCTGAAAAAGGGAAAAAATTACTTACCAGATGGAAAGGGATGAGTGGGACATATGTCCCATTGGTATTTTTTTGTGGGACACATGCGTCCCAGTGGTACTGAAATAATGATTGAGAATGCCGAGAAAAGCTAAGTTACTTTTACTCATTTACACGTATTTTGCTATAATGAGGATATAATAATATGTATATAATGAGGATACAATAAGGATATAATGAAACTATAATAAGGATATAATAAACACTTATGCATTGTATACTGCAAAACAATCTTTGCAAAGTGCAATTTTGCACATTGTACATACAGTTTTTGTTCTATTTTCCTTTTTCAATTTGGCACTACATACACATCTTCAGCGAGTTGGACCTTCTACTGGCAAGTGATCGTCCACATTCAGCATAAGCTTTGATGTCTTTCCTTCCATCACTCAGTGCTCAAAATGGCGGCAAGACTGGACAAAATACGGGCATGTAGTGAGAATGAGCCCAGAACGAACAGCATTGAGAGTCTCTAATGCAACCCCCTCCAATAAAAGGCCAAGAGGAAGGCCCAAAAAGAGATGGAAGGACTGTGTGGATGAGGATTTTGCCATCCTAAAGGTAAAGAACTGGAAAACAATTGCTGGGAGAAGGGCAGAATGGGAAAAGCTTCTGAGGAAGGCCCAGGCTCACAAAGGGCTGTCGTGCCAATGCTGATGATGATTATTTAGCACCAATATGTTAAAACAAATGAAAAAAATGTATTTTATTCTTTATTTAATATTAAATCACTAGTGCTAAAACATACCTTCACTTTTATATCATGGATGCCAACTTCTCTGCTCTGTGTTAATTATTTTAAAAAAATAGTAGAGAGCGTTAGAAACTAAAATGTACAAAATTGTTTTTAAATTTGGCAACGTTTTAAAAAGTTCATTAGATAAAAATACTATTAGATAAGTGGACCTTTTTGGTCCACTTATCTAATAGTATTTTTGCGTGTATGTCAGAATTATTATTATTAAAATACCTTTGAACCAAATATAATATAAACACATTTGCAATATATGCAGCAAAGTTTTATTTATTTTTTTCGTAATATTTTCATAATAGATTTTTACTTAAAATTATTTTTACAACATTCATTTAAAACATTTTTAGTGTATTATTTTATTGATTGCTGTGATATGTTTGTAGGGATATGATTATAATTAAGCCCCGTTAAGTTAAAAGATAAGACAAAAATATTTTTAATTCTTTATTTAATATTAAATTACTAGTGCTAAAGCATGCCTATATTTTTATAACAGGGATGTTATCTTCTGTACTTTTTTTGAAGTATTTTATAAAGTGGTAGAGACCATTAAAAACTAAAATTTAACAAATTAACATTAAATTTGGGACCTTTTTAAAAAGCTCATATGATAAACATATGAAAGGGGTGTTTTTTTATGTATATTTCAGCATTATTATTAAAGTACTTTTGAATTCAATTCACTAAATTAATACATTGCTGACCGGATACAAGTTCACGCGTTATTGCACTTGCATAACGTATTTTAATTAATGAAACCTATTGTGATATACAGACTTTATAAAAACCTTTCTACGAACCAAAATCTCAATTTAAAAAAACTCTCTGTGAGCAATTGATTATAAGTTTTAACTAGCTTCAACCCTTTTGTCGTCGCCATATTTTGGTGAAATTTGTCCGAAAATCGCAAATTTTTAAAATATGTTTTAATTTTTATAAAACTCTTTAGTGATTCATACCACTGGGATTATTTTGGTAAAAAACAAAAGAAGCTGTAAATGGAAATCCTAAAATATATATAAGAAGCATTTATTCACAGAATATTACCAACGTATTAATAAAAATATCAATGTGAGGTTTTATTTGTTTAAATTGTGTAAATAATTGTGTAATTTCATTGTGTGTTTTTTAAATCACGCAAATATGAATCTCGATATTTAATTTTAAAATCGCATGAATATGAATCTCGATGTTTGATTTTAAAATCAAATTAATACAAATCGTGAGATTTGATTTTAAGATTGTGAAAATACGGATATCGATTTTGATTTTAAAATCACATGAATAAGAAAACTGATGCATAATTTTTAAGTCGAGTGATTTTCCATGTGATATTCCTGCACCTCTGAAATTCGAATGCAATGAGTAAAATTGTGAAAATGCAAAACATGATGCGCGATTGTAAATCACGTAGATATGAATTCTGATGTGTGATATTAAATTATGTGAATCTAATTTTAAATCGCGTTTGCATTGGTAGAAAAAAACGTTAAGATGATTTAATTTTAGGAATTCAAAATGGCCGATTATATTCAAATTTGCGGAAGACGAAATTTTTTCCAAAATTCGAGAGATTTGCACATTTTGAAATTGATTAATAGAGAGAACTTCGCCCGTTAATCATTTTTTAATGCGAGAAAAGAACAAAAATATGCGAGATTCTCGCGCTGTAGTGAAAACACTGCTTATAATTACATTATTTTCTAGTATTTTTTAATTGAAAAATGTATTGCCTCAAGAGAATATTATACTATGAAGAAAACTCTTTATTGTCTTTGTGGCTAATTTTCTTTCACCTACATAGGTAGTTAAAAAATTTTAAAATCTGGAATAAGTGGGTTCAGGTATACATAAATTACAAAGTTTCAAATGCTGAAATTTTTTTTTTTAAATATCAAAATTCAAATAAATTATTGCAGGATAATGCAGTGGAAAAATATTCCTGTAATAATAATTTACTCTAGGTTTACCATTAAACTTAAAATTTCGAATTGGAGGTGAAACAGAATCTGCCATGAAAAGTTTCTCTCACAGAATATCGTTTTTTCTTTAATACTTCGCGCTCCTTTATATAAATATTTGTACTAATTCCGCAGATATAAGAAAAACAAGAAATATTTGTTTTAAAAAAATTAATCAATACTAATGTTATAAATTGTAGTAACTGTTAAGTAATGACAACAATATAAGTAAGTGGAGTTGTGAAGTAATGTATAAGCATATTTAAAATCTTATGTTCAACTTTACCATGTTAGCATATTTACGGTGCAATAATAAATTATATATTAAATATATCAATTATTATCCAAACAAGGTTTTTATAAAATATTTTTTAATAGTGCAGTTGATTTTTATTCAGGGTTAAAATTATTATTTAACCTTAAAAAAATCTGGTTCAAACTAAAAAGAATAAAAAAAGCCTGATACTTTTTAATACAAACCTAATTTTTTCCTTGCCATGATCTTGACATTCTGAAATTTTATTAATCTTGCCAGAGACGAAAATAATGCCGAAAAATACTTAGCCAGGCCAGTTTTTATCATTGTCTTTCACTTTGACAAAAATTTGCTGACCCTGTTAAAAGTTATTATAATTACTCTTAAATTTTGATATTAATCAGGACTTCTTTTTGATATTGATCAATACTATTTTTTTTATTAGATGGAACAAAATCTTAAAGAAATAAAAGCTCTACCAGATGACTTCAGTTTTCCAGTTTCATTAAGTGATGTTAAAACAGAAGATGTAGCCAGTAGTGATCTTAGTTATCTTGCAATATCAACATCCCTGCCAAAACTAAATAAAACTTATGAAGCCTGTAAGAAAGAGAATGAATCTGAGAAAATTTGCCAAGATCTTAAATATCATGATAGGGAAAGCTATGTGTCACAAAGAGACCGCAAAATAGGTATTGGTCTTTTTAATATCAATGAGATTGAAGATTTACCACCAAGACATAAAAAGAAAGTTGTTTCAGCTTATGAGAAATTAAGATCATATGAGATTTATTTGCTAAGTAAGAAGTCTGAGTCTAATGCCTCTAGTATATCACCTCCTCCAGGATTTTTTGATCCTAAAACTGATCGTGATAGTACTTGTTTAGTATCTAAATCAACCAAAAACCTGAATAACTCCATTTCAAATTTGCCAAAAGTAAAAGAAACTCAAGAACATTCTTTTAACAATATGCTTACAGAATCTCAGAGTGATAAGTTTAGTAACGACCATATTTATAATACATCAAAACCTAAATATACGAACAACAGTTGTGAAAATATGCATCAAGAAAATCATTCTCAAATAAAGATGAAAACACGACGTTTTGAATCTCATAAAAAGTCAACAAATAACTGTGATGCTTTTAACACCTTAGTTCCTAGTGACAGCGCTATGCAATCTACACATCACAAACATAAATGTTCATTAAAAAACTGTGAAACTGATCCTGACATTGATCACATAAGAGATGGCTCTGAGAAGTCAGCAGTATCTATTGACCGTAGAGAAAGGAATAATCATTATTTTCATGCAAATCATGTTTACAATCCGTCAACACAATATGGTGGACAGAATGAAGACTTAGATGTAAAAAATTGTGAGGATTATGAAAATAGTAAGAAAAATAGTAAATTAAAAGTTAGTAGAGATACTAATTTTCAAAGCAAAAATGATCGGTCAAACCTTAACAGAAACCACTATAGAACTCAGAAATCTAAGTCAAAATATTCTATTGGTGAAACAAACCAAAATTCAAAACAGTATACAACTAAAGAAAGTAAGCATGAGGAATCTTACCATAGCTTTGGTTGTGAGGATACTAACTTATCATTTGCTACTGAAAGTAATTCCGATAATGCTAAAAAAGAAAGTAGTCATTATGATAGTGGCACATTTAGCAATAGGTCTAACCTTGCCAATAAAAGTACCAAGCAAACTTCTGAAACTATCGATTTAAAAAAAATATATTCAGATAAAGAATGTTATAGATCAAATCATTCTCGGAATGAAAAGTTTGAAGGGAAATGTTTAAATTTTTATCAAAACCCAGATACAAACAGGGGAATTCCTTGTCGAAAAAGGCATTCAAGCGATTTATCAAACACTTCTTACTCTGCCTTAAGTGACAAAAACTTCAAAGGTAAATGTAATTATGAGCAACAGTCAACATATTCTGATCAGAAAGATGAAAATTTTTACTCTCAATCAGCAAGTCAAAAAACTCGTCCTTCTAAGCAAGGTATTTTAAGTTCAGACCTTTCTCAAATTTTCAGGGACATCGATAGAGTTAAAGCTAGAGAAGAAACAAAAATTGATGCCAAAAGAATGCTTAGGGTTAAAGATGAAGGATTTTTCTTGCATATTTCTATATTTGAGCCTTCTAATAGTTTAGAAATGTGGGAAACATTTTTCAAAAAACATCTCAAAATGGAAAATTTTGAAGTGAGTAAGTGCTGTGATTTTACTGAGTCTGTAATTCTTAGTTTTAATAATATTAAAAATGCTCATCAAGCTCATTTTCTACTTTATAAATTAAAACATAAAACGAAAGATACTTCTAAGCGCTTGATTAAATCTTTGAGTAGTATTAAGAGACATCTGATTAAACCTTGTATGTGTGAAAATGATGTTATTGAGCATTGTGATAAATATTTTGATGAATTTGCTGCTAAATATATCAGTATTCAAAAAGCGAAAATCAATGCAGTTATAGGTGAGTTAAATTCATTACAGATTTCAAAGTCTAATATTGTCAAAGAGGAAAAATATTTAAGCTTAAAAGATACTCTTGATAATTTAAAAGCTATGGAGATAGTATTTCTAAACTGTTTAAGGAAGACTAAGAACGCTGCAGAGAAGTTAAAGAAAGTTGAAGTTGATGGTTCTATGTCGGACTTCATGGAATTAAAGCTAAATTTTTGTAAAGAATGTAACTCTTTCGAGAGAGGTTTACCTATATATTCTCAAAAAGATGTTATTCTCAATGCCATTAGAAACTTTCCTGTGACTGTTATTGTTGCCGAAACTGGGTCAGGAAAAAGCACACAGTTAACTCAATATCTTTGGCAAACTTATTTTGTTAATTATGGTTCTATTATTTGTACTCAACCTCGAAAAATAGCGGCAATTAGTATTACTAAGTTTGTAAGTACTCAAATTGGATCTTCAGTTGGAAAAGAAGTAGGATATGATGTTGGAATTGAAAAGAAGTTTGACAATTCAACTAAGATTATTTATATGACTGATTATGCCTTATTGAGAAAATGTTTACGAAATAGAAACTTAAGAGGAATTTCCTCTGTTATTATTGATGAAGCTCATGAGCGAACTCTTTATACAGATTTATTACTTGGCTTGTTGAAACAGTGCTTAGCATGTAGACCTGACTTGAGAATTATCATAACTTCAGCAACTATAAATCCCTCTGTATTTATTAAATATTTTAATCTACCTGATGGTGCAGTTATAAATGTTCCTGGGCGTGCACACCCCGTTAAAGTAATCTGGTCTGAGCATAATATAAGTGGAAGAAATACGTATGTAAGCGAATGTGTCAAAACTGCTGTTCGGGTGCACAAAAGAGAACCCATTGGAGATATTCTAGTGTTTTTGACATCGCCTGCAGAAATCGATGAAGCTATTTTATTATTTAAGGAAATGTGTGCTAAAGAGAACATGTCAGAACTTATGAGTTTGCATGGTAAATCGGATGTAAAAGATCAAATGCTTGTTTTTGAAACCAATACTAATGGCAAGCGTAGGATTATTTTTGCAACAAATGCTGCTGAGACTTCATTAACTATTCCTGGCATTAAATATGTAATTGACAGTGGAATGGCTAAAGAGATGATATTTTACCCAGAAAAAAATAAAAGTTGCTTAATGCCAACTTTAATTAATAAAAGTTCTGCTGAACAGCGAAAAGGTAGAGCTGGACGCACACAACCAGGTGTTTGCTATCGTCTATACAGTAAAAAGGATTACGAAAGTATGCCAGAAAGAGCCCTTCCAGAGTTGCTGAAGACAGATTTACTTAATGCATTATTGAAAGTTTATGAATTTGGTATTAAACCCAGTAGCTTCGATTTTGTTGAATCTCCATCAAAAGAAGCCATAGCAAGCTCAATCGAATCATTAGAGGTTTTAGAATTGATTGAAAATAATGAATTAACTGAGTTAGGAAAGCAAGTTGTTCAACTTTCTATTGAACCTAGACTTGCTAAATTTATTCTATTAGGTGTTGAATCTGGCATGGGTCATGAAGCTGCTATAATTGCAGCTCTAGTTTCTGAAGCGGGAAGAATATTTTTAAAATTTGATGACAACAAGGAAATAGCTGATCAAAGGAAAAAAAAATTCTGTCAAAAAAACGGTGATCTATGTACTTTTTTAGAAATCTATAAAAGATGGCTAGAAGTGCCCCAAACAGATCGATTTAATTGGTGTGTTTCAAACTATGTAAGCTCCAAAGCATTAAACTCTGCTCGCAAGACTGTCAAAGATATTTTATTCACTCTGCGACAAGATCTTGGCATCAAAGTGTCAAGTCGATATAATAACTTATCATTTAAAGAGAATTTTGAAACAATTCTTTTTAGCAGCTTTATTGAAAATTTATGTATATATTCAGGGCATCCTTCCTTTGGGTATCAATCTCCTAACTTCAAAGAATCATTATTTATTCATCCTTCCTCATCAGTGAAAAATCTCAGATTAGAACCTCCTAAATTTTTGGTTTATACAGTTTTTATGGAAACTACAAGAAATTTTATTCTTGATGTTACACCCTTAAAAGAAGAAACAGTTAATAAGGCATTTTCGAAAGGTAATTATGCATTAACTGTTAAGGATCTAAAACGACTACAAATTCCACCTATAACTTTGGGACCTTTTGGAGAAAAAATTCTGTCTCGTTACATTTTAGGTAAAGGTGGCGCTGTAATTAATAATATTAAGTATCTGTTAGAAAAATTAACTAAAAATAAACATTTTAGAATTGACATTTGTAGAGACAAGGGATTAGTTATTATTCATGTTGAGGAAAAATTTCATGAAAAAGTGTCTAATTTTATTCAAGATATCGTGAATGATGCAAGGAAGGAAATGGCAAAAGAAACTGATGTCATCAAGATGGATGATGGATTTTATTACTATTGTTTATCGACAGGTGGATTGATTCATGATATAGTAATGCCTGGAGAATTTCGTGAAATTATAATTGAACAAGTTGTGAAAAGTTTGTTAAGTGAATTAGAATCGATGTTAAAAAAGTGTGGTCCTATTCAGACCTTTGAGATAAATACTTTAAAAACTAATAAACATAGCATTAATGTGACATATTTAACTGTTGCTGATGCCCAAAATGCTCTTAGAAGTTTGTATAAAAATAACAATAAAGGTATTCAAGTTCGAAATATTGTTACTGAACAAGTCAATAACTCTTCTAAACCTGCATATAAACTTAAGTTTACATGGCCTCGTTTGCTTGGAAAAGGTACCGGCTCCATATTTTTCTCCTCTGCTGAGGATCGTGTGATGGTTTCTGGAAAATTATCTTCCAAATCTTTGTATGTTGATAGCAATCGTATCTGTGTATCACCCTCTCAAAATGAACTCTCCCTTAATTTGAAAAATATACCTCCATCAGCAAATGAAAGACTGTTGCAAGAAAAAATATCAGAGGCACTTCCACATTTCTTAAGGAAGCTTGTAAAAAGAGTTGAAATAAATCGAATGGACACTTTAGCTGTTGCAGAAAGTGATATCATTAAGATTAAAGACCAATTGTTTCAAAGCTTAAGTAGGTTCACTCCACCTAGTAAAGTAATGGTGGATGTAATGTCCCCAATAGCTACTTCCAGAAACTATGAAGCCTTTGCTTATTTCAGTTGTGCTGAAGATGGAAAAACTGCATATCAGCAATTAAATGATACGTTGAAGGTTAATAATATTCCGGTAACTATTTTGGAGACATTGCAGTCACAGGTCAAATGCAAAGAGTATGTTTATGATTTTCTACAGAGGGATATACACAGTGTTATCAAGCAACAGGAAGGAAGGGTTAAGGTAACAAAATTGTCTGATTCTTTCGAGGATCAAGTCATTATTGAATTTTCTTGTAGAAGTATTGAAAAACATTACATCATAATTAGAGAGCTTTTGAGACTGATACATGGCCGTAAAGTGGAATGCCATGGTATCAGAAAGTATTTTCATCTCTTCACTGATAGTGGTAAAAAAGTATTGGACAGAATCCAAGCTTGGACAAAAACTCTAATCGAATGTGATACTGAGAAAAAGATTGTTTTCATATATGGTCACAGTGAAATGTGTTTTAGGGCTGAAGCAGAAATTCATTCGTACATTGAAACAGCGAAGTTACTCAAGACTAAGAGGTATGATCTGAAAAGCTCAGATATACCACCAGGATTTTTGAAAGAACTTTATTTTAGGTATGGATGGGATTTGTATGGTTTGATCAAAAAATTTGATTTAAAAGCAGCAAAGGTTGATGCAGAATTTGGTAACCTTACAATTGAAGGAGAAGTTCTTAAAATTAAAAAAGTAATTAATTATTTACTTTTGCTTGGTCATAATGTATGTATGTGTGTTTTTTATATCTTTAGTTATGTTCTGTTGATTATATATTTTATTTGTAGAGCCTTATAATCAACAATACAGAGTTGTGATAGAAATATCTTTAAGAACACAAAATAATTTTTTTAAACAATATTGATTCATGTTATCAAAATATTTGGCTTAGTGTAAGTCAAAGGATGTATGGCGTGCAAAAAATTAGAACAAACACGTTGAATAACTTTTAATAGAATTATCAGATTTTAATGCACTAGGACTCAATCTTAATGGTTTGAGGGGGTGACCTCTTTAATATTTAGTTATTGCAAATTATATGTTAAGTTATAAAACCAGACCAAAAAATTTACTTTCCTTGAATTAATTTCCTTTTTTTTGACCAATTGTGATTTCATACCCCCAACATATAGAGGATAACGGCAAATCTAGGAAATATGGACCTAATAGTTTGATCAGGAGAGTAGTTATAAGCTTGGACCCCTCAATGTTAGTTTCATTTCTCTGTGCATTTTACCATGTCTCGGGAACTTTGTAAGTGAATTGAAATTTTTTTGCGAACAATTTTAAAATTTGTTTATTTGATAATAATTCCATTCAAAAAATTTTTTTTTAACAATTATTTATAAATTTTTAATTTAAATTTGATAATAATCAAAAAATTTCTAGGTGTGAGGTATAGAAATTTTTACATTTTTTTAGAGAATGTAATTTTATTTGGCAAAATACAAAATTTGAACGAAATCAGTTGAATAGTTACTGAAAAATGCAATTTTCAATATCTGATTTTTTTAAAATTCAATTTCCCAGGAACTATTCGTACGATTTTGTTTGAATGATATAATTTGCCATATGAAATTGCCTTCTTTAACATGATGTAAAAGTTTGTATACTTATTCATGTTACACAATAAGCAAACAATAAAAAGCTCAATAATAACAAGCCATGAAGTTTCTTATTGTTTTTATTTATTTCATTTTATCTGATTTTTTTTTTATGATTATAAATTTTTTTTTTTAAGGTACCGTATATTCCGGCATATAACGCGCACTTTTAATACAAAAATAACATTGGAATTTACGGATGTGCGGTATGTGCCGAATATAAAAAATTATAGATTAAAAAAATTTAAATATAAAAAAATACTTTTATTTTAAGGAAATAACATACCTTTACCTATATACTTTATTGATTTTCGTTATTACATAAATATATTCTTTTCTCAGAATCACATTATTACTCTTTCAAATCTACCTTCATATACATGTCAAATTCAGTTCTCTTATTTTTGCAAAAGAGGGAAAAAAACTTTTTATTTACGATCTTGAAAGACTAGATATTGCACATGTACAATCAAAATTTTTGTGCGCGTTACACGAAGAGTATATCTTAAAATTTAAAAAGTATTAGAAATTACGGGTGTGCGTTATAAGCCGGAATATACGGTAATAATTTTTACTGTCTTTAATTTTAAACATTTAAGTATATTTAATTTATAAGCAAAATTATTGCTCATTTAACTGATAAAAAGAATTTAGTGGCTAAAACAATGATATTTCCATTACAATTACTATCTATAATTGCTATCAACATGTCTTTCTAAATACATGGCATATAGCCCTTCACTCAAGAATGTTGTGCACCCTAGCTTAAAAATTTTTTGAGCAAGATGTGGTAAAAAAAAATCAGAGTAGAATTAGGTAACAATATGGGCCCAAACTTTTGACAGCTCTCCTGATGAAACTATTGGGACTATATTTCCCAGATTGCAGCTACTCCTTATATTTTGGTGGTCAGAAATCCAAATCTGTCTTAAAAAAACAAGAAAAAGGTATGTTAATTCTAAGTAAAAGCACGTTTTTATGCCTGATTNAGATAGGCAGAATTTTATACTTTTATGTATGGTGCGCAAAAAATTAGAACAAACACGGTGAATAACTTTTAATATAATTATCAGATTTTAATGCACTAGGACTCAATCTTAATGGTTTGAGGGGGTGGCCTCTATAATATTTAGTTATTGCAAATTATATTTTAAGTTATAAAACCAGACCCAAAAACTTACTTTCTCTGAATTAATTTCCTTTTTTTTGACCAATTGTGATTTCATACCCCCAACATATAGAGAGGATAACGGCAAATCTAGGAAATATGGTCCTAATAGTTTGATCAGGAGAGTAGTTATAAGCTTGGACCCCTCAATGTTAGTTTCATTTCTCTGTGTATTTTACCATGTCTCGGGAACTTTGTAAGTGAATTGAAATTTTCTTGCGAACAATTTTAAAATTTTTTTATTTGATAATTCCATTCAAAAAATAATTTTTAACAATTATTTATAAATTTTTAATTTAATTTAATAATAATAAAAAAATTTCTAGGTGTGAGGTATGGAAATTTTTACATTTTTTTAAAGAATGTAATTTTATTTGGCAAAATACAAAATTTTAACGAAATCAGTTGAATAGTTACTGAAAAATGCAATTTTCAATATCTGATTTTTTAAAAATTCAATTTCCCAGGAACTATTCGTACGATTTTGTTTGAATGATATAATTTGCCATATGAAATTGCCTTCTTTAACATGATGTAAAAGTTTGTATACTTATTCATGTTACACATTAAGCAAACAATAAAAAGCTCAATAATAACAAGCCATGAAGTTTCTTATTGTTTTTATTTATTTCATTTTATCTGATTTTTTTTTTATGATTATAAATTTTTTTTTTTTAAGGTACCGTATATTCCGGCATATAACGCGCACTTTTAATACAAAAATAACATTGGAATTTACGGATGTGCGGTATGTGCCGAATATAAAAAATTATAGATTAAAAAAATTTAAATATAAAAAAATACTTTTATTTTAAGGAAATAACATACCTTTACCTATATACTTTATTGATTTTCGTTGTTACATAAATATATTCTTTTCTCAGAATCACATTATTACTCTTTCAAATCTACCTTCATATACATGTCAAATTCAGTTCTCTTATTTTTGCAAAAGAGGGAAAAAAACTTTTTATTTACGATCTTGAAAGACTAGATATTGCACATGTACAATCAAAATTTTTGTGCGCGTTACACGAAGAGTATATCTTAAAATTTAAAAAGTATTAGAAATTACGGGTGTGCGTTATAAGCCGGAATATACGGTAATAATTTTTACTGTCTTTAATTTTAAACATTTAAGTATATTTAATTTATAAGCAAAATTATTGCTCATTTAACTGATAAAAAGAATTTAGTGGCTAAAACAATGATATTTCCATTACAATTACTATCTATAATTGCTATCAACATGTCTTTCTAAATACATGGCATATAGCCCTTCACTCAAGAATGTTGTGCACCCTAGCTTAAAAATTTTTTGAGCAAGATGTGGTAAAAAAAAATCAGAGTAGAATTAGGTAACAATATGGGCCCAAACTTTTGACAGCTCTCCTGATGAAACTATTGGGACTATATTTCCCAGATTGCAGCTACTCCTTATATTTTGGTGGTCAGAAATCCAAATCTGTCTTAAAAAAACAAGAAAAAGGTACGTTAATTCTAAGTAAAAGCACGTTTTTATGCCTGATTTCATAGCTTCAAATATTGTCTGCACTAATTCGTTGAAATATTTAGGGTCACTTCCTCGGATCATTTAGATTGAGGCCTAATATATGAAAATTTAATCATTAGATCAAACGTTATTCGGGTCTTTTTCTTTTTGTGTGCCCTGTACGTGGCTGCAAACTGATTTTGTTAATTTTACTGTTTCTTGTGATTTTAACCAAAATTCTCCTAGATTTTAGAAATTTTAATAAATACCTTGAAATTGGCAAAATTAAAAATAAAATATATATAATATGCTTTATTAAAAAAAGTTTTATTTTAACCCTTTCGCTACCACTGGGACATATATGTCCCGCAGGCAGTTTCAAATAACCCTATGGGCTAAATATGCTTTGTATTATTATGAATGCATGTCCCACTGGTATTCCTTGATATCACTGACAATTCAGTAATTTTTTCCTTTTTCTGAATTTTATCGATATTTGCATCGTAACTGAAATTTTTAAGTACTTATTTCATTTTTTTCTCAGAAAAAAAAATTGGTAGTGAAAGGGTTAAAGTGAGAAAATAAATTTTTTGACGAACGTATTTTATAAATTTCGGGCTTCTGAATTTTTTTTAACTGTCTGTCAAAAGATACTTTATTAAACTTTTCTTTTTCAATAAAAATATTAAAAGACTTTAGATAAAAAACTGTTCTTGATTGTTGTGTTTGAAGTTGCACAAATTTAAGTTAATTTTAACTCATTTCATACAGAAAGTATGAATGTAGAATTTTTTTAATGTTTAAATAAAACAGCTATAAGAAATCTCTACCCTTACGTAGAAAATATCTACCCTAACCATAAATTACATCTAATACTGAGATATTGACTTATGAAATAATTCTAATTGCAAAAAGCTGGCATGATAAATAGTTATATTTTCTATAAAATTACTAACTGCATAAAGAAGCATCACTTAACACTACATATGATTAATTAAATCAATTTCCATTATCAATTAGTTTTACAAAGTGTATACTAACGTATTGTTCTATTTTTGAATATCAAGGTTGAGGACCATTTAGAAGAAATTTGTTCCAAGCTTCATTCAAAAAAGACGAATGAAGGAGATATTGGGTTTGGTATTTGTGCTATTTGTCTAGATTTCATGAAATTTGATTATTATCGACTTGAAAACTGTGGTCATTCTTTCTGCAAATCCTGTCTACTTTTACAGCTAGAAAGTAAGATTATTCCTGTGGCATGTGCTCAAGTGGTATATTTTACTATCTTTCTTTCACTTTACATATATTTGTTTGAAAAGTAACACAGTATAAAATTTTTGACTCCAAACTTTTCACTGTGTCCTAATATAGAATTATTTTAATAACTTGAATCATTATTGGAGCAAAAATATATTGAGTTATGAAAAAAAATTTGACTGAGGAAAAATTAACCCTCCTAGTACTAGGATAAGGTCAATTTAACTAATCTAAATCTTATAGTTTTATTTTTTAATTAAAACTTTTTTTGCTCTTGATGTTTGCTGACATTTCTTTCAAGAAATTTTTTTAGGATAGTCTCTTCCATAATTTCGTCAGTTATTATATCATAATAAGTTTCCTGCTCTTTGCACATGGTCCACAGATCTTATTCAAATGATTTCAAAATTCATTCTTTTTAACTCTCAACACACCATGGCAGTATTTTATACTTTTTTTCTTTTGTTTTGAAGATATGATACTTAAACTTGTTAATTTAACCGTCTCACGGTATCTAGTAATTTATTTGTTATTCAAGTATTTCTGGATATTTTTTAATTATGATTATTTATTTAACTTTCATATTCACAGTGTATGAAAACAAAAAGATTACTACTTTGAATAAATAATTAACTATTCCTTAAATACAATAGACTCGTTAATTATTAAAATGATTTTAAAATTCATTCTTTTTAACTCACAACACACCATGTGCAGATAGGCAGAATTTTATACTTTTTTTCTTTTGTCTTGAAGATATGATACTTAAACATATTATTTTAACCGTCTTTCGGTATCTAGTAATTTATTTGCCATTCAAGTATTTCTGGATTTTTGTTTTAATTATGATTATCAATTTAACTTTCATAATCACAGTATGTGAAAACAAAAGATTGCTATACTTAGAATAAATAATTAACTATTCATTAAGTGCAATACATTCGTTACATTTCTAATCTTTCTAAATTTATTTTTTAAAAAAAATTCTTGTTTTTTTAGTTAAGATGTCCAGCAATTAATTCGCATAAGCATTGGGAGTTAAGAAATTTATCTTCACTGATTATTTTTGATACAAGAAAGGCTTCGATTTGCCAAACAAAAGGAACAGAAGCTAATCTAGTAATTAAACCACTGTCCAGAAAATTTGAAAACTCTTCGAAAATATAAACAAGAAGAGGCTATAAATTTTTTTGAGTCATTTATACCTTGCATCTGAAGACTAGAAGTCTGTGTCTAATGGCACCTTTAAGGGGTAAAAAAATTTCTAAGTTTTTGTAATAATCTAATAGCAAGTGTTGAGAGCTCATAGAGGAGACTACTTAAGATTTCTTGTAGTAATCATTAATATTCACTACTTTTTATTAAATTCTTTCTACCTTTTATACAAGTTAAGAGCATTTCTAGCTATTACATGGTGCATAGCGTTTTTAAAAATGCTTAAAGGTGCTTATTTTTATTTTCGTTTTTTAAAAAGCCCTTAAAGGTGCTTTTTTCATTGGGTGTTTTTAAAAAAGTGCTCAATTTTTTCGTTGATTTTTGCTGCGAATTATGCAAAAAGACATAGTTCATATTGTTCTATTCAACGTTTTCACAATTTGTTTAACCCCATTCTAATTTGGCGTATTGTCAGTCCATAGCGCATGAAAACGTTTTAAGTTTTTTTTTTTGACATGATGGTTAAAACGAGATAAAACCGATAATTATCAAACTTTTCCAACCATGCCACATGCCATTATTATGATATTTTTTTAAAGTGCTTAAAATTATTTTTGAGTGCTTTAAAAGTGCTATGCTTATTTTTTGTTGAATAATTTGGCTCTGCACCTTGTATTAATATTGTATTTTTTTTTGTTGCAGAAATGTAGAAAACCATTTTTTCTCATTGATATAAATAGAATTTTATCTTTTGGTGACAAAAATCTTAAACAAGAGTTTCATAATGCAGCTCTGCAGCATTATGTTCGTACTCATTTTGGAAAAGTCAGTTATTGTCCAACTCCTGAGTGTCGTTCTGTCTATAGAGTTTCAAGCAAATACGATGTTAGTTTTCATTGCCTTGGTTGCTCAAATGACATCTGCACATAGTAAGTTTTTGATTAATGTGGACATCTTTTAATTTGTTTATAATCCGATCAAGTATGTAAATTTTTTTTTGTTGATTTTAAAGACAGATCCTTATCTATTTCTTTATAAATTAAAATCAAAGCTTTTTTTCTGAATTCTTTATTTTTTTGTGATTTCTGATTGCTAATTTTAATGCAGTAGAAAAGTTTTGCTTTTAAAAAAAATTTAATAAATTTAAGCTTTTTTATTACATTTTTACTGATATACATATGTTCCATTTTGTATATTTATTTTACTACATTTGATATTGCACNAATTTATTTTACTACATTTTTTTTACAGCTGTCAAACTTTTTCCCACAAAGGAATGTCTTGCAAGGTTTATCAAAATTCGAAAGTTGATGAGGACTACTCGTTAAAGGTAAATTTTCCATGTTTTTAATGAAATTTTAGTATGCTTTTTTGTATTGCTTTTCTTAAAATTATATCAGATTTATTATTTAAAAGAAGTTGGGGTTGAATTTAAAAGATTTGGTAATAATGTAAATGCATTGAGTTACACTATTAGCCTTTAAAAACTTCTACGATAAATCAAAGGAATTTTCTTATCATTGAATAACAATTCTAATTTTCCATAATTGCTTTTCATTGAAATTTCCCTTTCCTTTTACCAAAGTAGTGGCAGGGTTTAATATTTCTTATTTTTTCTTGAGAATTCAACTTTTTGAACAAGATATGGTTAAAATTTAATTTTGAATATATGTGAGAAAGTAGACATAAAATGCCTCAGTTTTAACAATTTTATTTTTACAGAATAATGATTAGTGATCATAAACACATTGACTATGCACTTAATTTTTTGTATTAAATTTTATTTTATTTATTTATTTAATCTGTAATTTTTACTTGATCTTACTGTAATACTACAAATATTCTTTACTGATTAATATTTTAATTTACTTGACATATTAAGACTATACTTATCATCCTTATAAGATTATGACCCAAAAGGTCAGTTATTATACGATTGTTTTATAATTTTGTTTCTCATTTTTTATCTCATTGTTGTCAAAAACTTTCAGTAAATTTTTGTCTTTTTGTCCCTTTTATGTGGGAAGATAAAATGTAATTTTAAAAAATGCGGAAGCACTTTTGCAACTTTCAACTTAGGGATCCACTAACTTCTTTTGAGACAGAGCCACAGAAAAAAAAATAGCTTTTTGAGTCGGCAATTCAGTTTCCTTATTAATTAATAACTTTATTATTATTTTTTTTTGCATATTGAGAACAATATTTGTTTTAAAAATTAAGTGACAAAGAATAGAAAATTATGTTTAAAACGAATATGTATAATGTTTTTGAATTAAAAAAACTTTTGAAACTTTATATTATTTAATACAGTTTGAAAAACAGCAGATTTTTAATTCACTCTGTAAAAAATGTAAATTTAACTTTTTAATGTTTATAAATTACTTTTTATTTTTTTTAAAAAAAATCTTTAAACTACATTTGTTTTGAACGTGTTGTAGTTAAAAAAAAATTTCAAAAAATTTGCCTAATATTTTACAAGCCATGTATTCCTATTTTAGTTTAATTTTAGATTTTTTATATGTTATCTTCATATCTTTAATGATAATGATTAAAATTTATTAAATGAAAGTTGGAAACTCGTGATCTTTAAATAAAATCCTTTTTTTCTCCTAACAAATAGGAATTTGGAATTTTCAAAATTTAATTGCACACAGCAAACATTGTAAGGATGGTACTGTTAGTCTTTACTTTTGATAGCAAACTCAGTTTTGCTGACTTTTAAGCTTTTCATATCGATTTTTAAAATAAGAAAATATTTTTCATAAAATTTATTATTTAATTAGCACAACTATATTTTATAATTTATAAATGACCATAACAGTGTAGATTTTTATATTTTTGTTTTTCACATTTTATATATTTTCCATTCTTTTATTAGCAACTTTCATTTTCTGTTTCAAATCCTTTTTGTTTTCCTTTTTCACATGTAGCGAGTTTTGAGAATGGGCACATACCTTTGAGAGCTAGAAACATGTAAACTTCTACCACATTCATAAGTTTTTTTAAGCAAATATACTCTTCATGCTATCAAGTGTACCTATCTGCATCAGTTTCTGGAGTTTATTCATTTAATCTAGAGAAGAGTGTCATACCTTGATCTGCATTTTCTTTGGACCAGTGCAATTATTTGTGCCACTCTGTGAAAGAATTTTGAAATTAGTTTCAGTAGATATCAACAAAATTGCTGTTGATACCAATAGGTACTATCTGTTGTGTTGGTAACCATTTCAGGTTTTTCAGACTTGTGCTGGAGAACTTTATTTGATTTTTCTTGTTTGGTAACTTTCTTCTATAAATTTGATTAGGAAATAAAACCCTAGAGTGCTTGCATTTGAAAATAGAAGTACGATAGATAGGTACCAAAATATGTTGATAAAATAAAAAAATTTTTTGCATATATTTTTGTTAGGCTTAAGAAAATCAAAAAAGTGTGTGTTTGTATCTTGAAGCAGTTTCTGAATTGTCCTTGGAGCAGTCCAAGGTATGTGCAACAGGTGCAGTTTGCAAAAATTAATTTTTCCTCTGGACTATGCCATTATATATATATAAAAAAACTTATGTCCTTATTGTAAAACTATAAATTTTTCAAATATTCAGTTAAAATATTCCTTTTAATTACATTTATGATTAACTTGATTTGTTTCAGCTTGTGCTGGCTGCATGAAAAATAAGTTTTAATTGCATGAGTATCAAATTTCAGACAACTAATAAGTTTAAAAGAAAATTATTCTGAAAAATATCCAGCGTTTCAAGGTACATGTTGTACCTTAGATTTTTTTTCCTTACTTTAAAATGTATATTTTCTTTTCTGAAGTGTATGACAGAATACAATAAAAGAAATTATATTAACCTTTTCAGAGGCAGTGGGATAAAAACTGTCCTACTTATTTTTGAAAATAATGTAATTCGCTAAAATTTTAATAATTTTTATTTCTTAAACAATGCTATTTTTAATCAACCAATTTTTGTATTGAAAAATGTTAAGATAAAGTAAATTGCTTCATTGTGGATTTGCTTATGATGACAACAATTCTTTTGTCCCATTGTCACAAATCAATTTTAAATTGAAAATAAAAAGTTTCAAAATTTTGATAGGTTATATTTATAGTCAATAAGAGCAAAAGATGATTAAACTCATGCTCAAATGTACTGACTTCATCTTTAAACAAACAGGTTTTGGACAGTTTTGAACCTTTATTTACTCTTATTGACCTTAATACTTACTGATCAGAGCATGAATATGTTTTTCTTTCTCATTTAAATATTCAATTACTACTTCTAATGTGCAAAATATTTTTAATCAATTTTTGACAAGGTTTTCAAAAATTATATATTAAGTGTTATGTGACACTATAGGCATAAAAATTATTCTTGGGTTAACAGTGTTTTGATTAGTATTAATTTTTTTTTAAAATTCTGTGTAATTTTCAATTATGATTTCTTTAATAAATATTTGATTATTTCATTCAGACAAATAGAAAGGGTTTGTTAAATCTTGTTAGTTAAGTGTAGTTTCAATCTTTCTCTTAGTAAATTTTTTAAAATTGCTTTTGCTCAAAAGCAATTGCTTAAACCTTTATGTTTTAACTTTATTTTATAAGAGAAAGGAGGTAGTGGTGCTGTAGAATTGTATTAACAAAGATATACATTAAAAAAAATTAATAAATGTATCTCATAACAGTAGCCATTACCGAGTTTAGAGGTTACAAAAACTCGGCAGACCATCTTTTATAAAAATGCAAACTAAATTGAAATATCTGTGTTGAATTAGTTTGACCTAACTTTATTAAAAAAAATTTCAATATTTCAAAGATATTATATTCTAAACTACAAAGTCTTTGCTCATTTAACCCTTTATGACCATATAAGCAGCATGGCGCTTTTAATTTGTGGATCAAATACTGTATTATGCTGCATAGCATTTTTAAAAAGTACTTAAAGGTGCTTTTTTCGATTTCCATTTTTTGAAAGCCCTTAAAGGTGCATTTTTCATTGAGTGTTTTTGAAAAGTGCTTAGTTTTCCCTTTTCGATTCTTTACCATGTCGATTTTTGGAACATATTATGCTAAAGCATGCTTTTCACATTGTTCTATTCAACGTTTTTACCATTCATTCAACCACAATCCATTTCGGTGTACCTTCGATCCATAGCATATGAAAGAGCCAATCATTTTACATGTTTGATAAAATACTTGCAAGTCCGGATTTGCGTCTACTGAGCTGGGTTCGGTGAGATTATTGCACTCTCATGTGCAACTCTGCTGCATTTTGTTAGTTATTCTCAATTTCAGGCTTCATTTTCCACACTCTTGAAGTCAAACCGAAAAATCTCTCTATCTTTTTATGGTGACTAATATAATCAAGAAAAGAATTCTTTGTCAGAAACTAGTTATTTTATCATAATCATGTAATATCTTTGAAACTTATTTTGCATTTTGTTAATGTATATAGTGCTTAAAACTAGTTTTTGAGTGCTTAAAAAGTACTTAAAAGGTGCTTATTTTTTGTTGAAAGATATGTGTTTATGATGACTAAAATAATTTTATTATTAATTATAATTTATTATATAATTACTATTAATATTGCAATTAAGGTTTATAATTATGCCAGATTTGATGTAAACGTAAAATACTTCCAGACCGTCAAGGGTTTGATTTGTGATTTAACTTTATGTTCAGTTTTTTTTAATAATTCTCTTTTTAATGCTATTGAATTTCCAATGTGAACTATCGAAGGCAGCATGTCACATTAGTGTTGCAATTTCAGTAGACAGCTGTGTAATTTAGAAGTCATATGTAAAAAATTATTTTATAAATTTTATTCAGATATCGCAGGGAAAAAAAAGTGTTTTATAAAAGGAAATCACCAGTTTCTTATATCAAGAATATTGAAACCTAATTTTATTCTGGAGTCATAAGTAAAAAATATATTTTATAAATTTGATAGTCAAATGGGAAAAAGTGTAAGTTATATTTTATTGAATAGTTATAAAAGTAAAATGTATTTTGAAAGATTTATTCAGAATCTTAAGTATAAGTTTTAAAAGGGGTCTTTTGTTAAAAAATTTTTTTTTACATATGTTTTTATTGTTTCATTTTAGTAACACTCATTTATATTTATTGCAGGTATGGGTGAAAGAAAACAAATCATGTAAACTATGACCCAAGTGAAAAATAGCCATTGAAAAAAACTGAAGGCTGTATTCACATAGAATGTTTGAATTGCAAAAGCCCCACCTATGTTGGTTCTGTTTGAAAATATTCAAGTCTGATGAGCTTGTGTATATGATCATTTACCTTACTGTCGTACAATTCAGGCATAGTTAAGGTTACTTGAGCTTTGTCAAAAAACGTTTTTCATCTGTGATATACACAAAATCTATATTTATTAATTGTTTCTGTTTTTTTAAGAATTTAATCTCTTTTATAAATATTATTTTGCATTGTGTTATACTAAATTAATATTAGGAGTCTAAACTATTAAATAATGAGTTATAAAATCATATGAATCATTAGTTTAATTCATTATTTACACAAATGTCTGTTTTATGTTTATTCAATTTAGTTATTATTTTACAAAAGCTTCGGTTTGCTTTTAGTGTCATCTTGCTCTATTTGTTTATATTATAAAGTTTATTGTATTTATAAATTTTTTAAATATACTGATGATGTTTAATCTTGAGTTGAGTTGCATTCAAGTTGCATAAATTATTTTATTTTAAAAAATCCTCATTTTTCCTTATATGTATCATTTTTTACAAAAGAAAAATTATCATATTATTAGTTATACTATTTTAATTATACTTATATTAGTTATACCTTTTTTTTCTTCATTTTTCATCTAAGCTTACTTCTTGTCAATATTGTTCTGTTTTTAGTCATTGAATGTAAAGTTTTATGTAAGTTTTCATTCAGTTATAAGTTTATTCAGTTATAAATTAAAATGTTTTGAAAAAGTTTCATTTTCAAATTCTTGCCTTACATCTTTAAAATTGCATTGTAATATTTATTTTTATATTAATATCATATAATAAATAAATAACTTTGGAAAGATAATTTTTAATAAATCTAAATATAAAGTAAGACATATTTTTCTCTCTTTCTCCTTTAAAGAAAAGGGAAATTGATGCTTATTTCAATTAAAAGTTTAATATTTAGGCTGGAATATGAAAATTAATTTTAAGTTTACTAAATCTGTAGTTGGATAAAATCAATTTTTCATGCCGAAAATTCCTTTTAAAATAATTTATTCATGATTTAGGAAATAACTTTTAAATTTATGTATGTGAGTAACAAATTAAAGTATCAAATAAAGTAACAAATTATAAAGTAACAAATAAAAAACACAAGGAAATATTATAATGTGAACATTGTTAATTAACAAATTGTTAATAAACATTGTATAAAGTAACAAATAAAGAACACAAGGAAGTATTATAATGCGAACATTGTTTTTTTAAATAATGCTTGAGATTTGAAAATAATATATTTTGAGTAACTTAAAATTTTTTTTATGTATTTAATTTTTAACGATTTTACAAAACTCTTAGGTAAAAAAAACTGCTAGAATTTTTTTATTGCTGATTTTTATCTGTGCAAGAATTTCAAAATAATTAATTTTTTCCCTATACTCATATTGTCTTTGAACAAAAAACTCATATGTCATGAGAGAACAAACTTTTACATATATTTTTGAGAATAACAAAAAATTTTTAAATGAAAGAATATTTATAACTTTGAAATATTCTGTGTTGTAAAAATAAAATATTTTTATTTACATATTATAACCTTTTTTTTTTTACAATTTCCGAATATTTAATGCAACAATAATTTTTTTTTTTTTTATTTAACTAGCATTGTATTTTTTTTAAAATCAAATCTTTCATTATTCAATTTTAAATAACCTGTATTCAAAGCTAATATTTGAAATAAATTTTTAACTCAAGCAATTTGTATAGTGATTAAATAATTTATATTTTTGTTACCTGCATCCATTTATGTGAAAAAATGATTTATTACAATGCTATGTTTATATATTTTATAGTCAATTCAATCTGTTTTTTTTTTTTTATTATTAATTTTATTGTTTCATTAAGAATTTGCATTTCAATTGATTTCTAGTCTAATATTAAATTTTATTATATTAAAAAATTTAGCCATTGTAAAGTATTATAATTTTGATTTTATACTGTGGAAAATAAGTGCTTTCTCAGAGCAAGCAGTTTGTTTACTTATATTTTTGCTATTTTTTTGTGCAGTGTAAAACTTAATGTATAATATATATTGTAATGTTTATTGATTTTTGCTCAAAAAGTTGCTATACTTGTTTTTTGAAAAAAATTATTTTAACTATATATATATTAATGTTATAATTTTTATAATTCATAAATAAACTATATATTTTTTATGAGATGAGCTTATCAAAAGTTTCTTTTTACTATTAACTGAAGAATTAATAAAATTTATAGAAGTTGTTTAAATTGTAATTTTTAATAATGTTAAGCGTGTGTTTATATGTGTATTATATTCGGAAAGTGTTCCAATATCATTATTTTCAATGCTAATCCAATGACCAGTCTAATGAATGCAAGAAGAATGTGATTGTTCATTGAACCTATGACCAGTGTATTTTTCAACTTTTTACAGGTAAATTCATTAAGCATTTCTGAATTCATTATTAATGATTATTTTTTTAAATATTTATTAATGAAAGTGTAAAAACATTAAATATATCATGGTGGTACCTGTCACGATATGTATCAACACTGTTTTCATTAGTTTAATAGAAAATGATATTGATTGAACAAATTGAAAAAAATTGATGAAATTGAAAAATAAAAAATGATAACATTAAATAATCATTAGATTTTTTGCAAACTAGTACTGCTAATGATTTATCACCTGATCACATAATTTTGTTTAATAATTTTAATTTATTTAAATGATTAAAGTAAAGAAAAAGTTCAGTGATTAAGATAACTTGTTATGCTTTCTTAAAGAATTTAAATCAGAAAGACATTAAAAAAGTCTTTTTAAAGTATTTTAAAAATTGGAATTTTTTTTTTAACAATCACAAGCAGCACTTTATTCTGCACTAACTAATAGGTGATTTTCCTTTCGGAAAATAATTGTATAAAAAGGATTTTTTTCTTGCCACTCTTTTATTGCTAATTAATTTCAGTACTTCATCTTTTTTTTAAAAATTTTTCCAAAAAATAAGTAAATAATCTCTCGCACAAAATTGCTAAATGAGCCCAAAATGTTTCTAATCTTTTCACTATAAAGTTGATGCAGTAATGAATTGAAACAGGCTTACAAACAACAGCTATTTAAATATTACCTTGAATAGCATATTTTGCACGCTTTTGAAAAGTTAGAAATATAAAGGTATTAAAATTAACATTTGTATATGCAATAATCAATAGAAGATTCCTATAATGCAAACTTTGAAACGCAAGAATTTGCATTTTCTAGAATCGTAAGTTTAATATCGATCAATTCACATATCTAACAGAGCACCAATATTTTTTTTGAACTGATCTATCAAAATGCTTTAAAATAATTTTTAGTTACAAGTGCATAAAAAAATTCACAATTTACAGAAATTTTATTTTACATAGAGCACTGGTATTAATTACAAAAAAATATATCATTTTAGTTTGCTTAGCTTTTGAAAGTATAGCCTCTCCTTTGAACAAATAATCTAAAAAGTTAAAATGTTCTTGCTAAGTTGCTTAGCTGCAGACATTTCTTAGCTGTGGTTTTCATTGTTTACATCTAAGAAGTTAGTGTGGTTTACTGGAGAATCATGCTAATTGAATTTCTTTATACAGATCTTCACCTGTTTTTATTAGCTTGAAGTTATTAATGCAATGAATTTAGAAAAGTATTTTTGATACTATACTACTTATTAATAGATTTTTTTTTGTTGTTATTTTTAGAATTATAGAACCTTTAAACTAAAGAAACCATGGAAAAGCACATAAGTATTAGATTCATCGTTTTTGTTGCAAGTAAGTCAATATTTAATTGTATAAATTTACATTATATATATATAAATTATATATATATAAATATATAAATTAATTATATAAATTTACATTATATAAACTATAATTTCTAAAATAACTTAATAAAGATTAAATAACATTCAATGCTTGATGTATTTATTTAATAACAATGATTAAAAATCATTATTAAATCTTATAATTTTTTTTGGACTAAATCTTGAGAAATCTTTTTCTCAAAACGATGGTATTTTATCTAGTTGTCTTTCTTAGTAAGTTTTTAAAATATGTCAAATTTAGTATTTTCTATTGTTTGCATAACACCTTATCATAAAATTGTTTTCATTATAAAAATTTTCAGAATTTTTATACACTTTTCAATGTAACAGGTCATTTTGTCAAGAAAAAAAATTAGCCAATATTTTTGTAATATTTTTGATACATATACACTCTATAACAAAAAAATCGACGCACCAAGAAGGAGTTGTCCGATTAAAACGAAAATTGGTGGATAGGAAGACAATGTACAGAATAGTAAATGATTAAAATTTCAGAACAATTGAATAATTTATTGCAGAGTTACAGTAACAAGTTCAATAAGGTGTTGACCCACCTCTAGCCTGGATACAAGCTGCCACACGGCGTGGCATAGACCGATAAAGCTCCCGGATGGTCTCTTGCGGTATTTCCTGCCAAATTCGATCCAATTGTCGAACGAGGTCATCAACATTCCGTGCCAGATGCAATCGCCTTCCCATCATATCCCAGACATGCTCGATGGGAGAGAGATCTGGCAGGCCAAGGAAGAGTTTGACAAGCTTGCAGACAGTTCATAGCAACACGTGCTGTATGTGGTCTGGCATTGTCCTGCTGAAAAACCAAGCCAGGGTGCTGCAAAACGAACGGTAGCAAAACAGGTCTTAGGATGTTGCCGACGTACCTCTGTGCAGTATGTGTACCTCTAATGACGACCAAAGAGCTGTCAAAGGAAATGGCACCCCAGACCATAATGCCTTGTTGAGGGCCGGTGTGGCGTGCAATAGTGAAAGCAGGATACTCCCTCTGCCCTGTGCGTCTCCAAACACGTCTTCGATGATCGTCAGGACACAGTTGGAATTGGGATTCGTCGCTAAAGACTATACGTCCCCAGTCGGCATCATTCCAGCCATATCTGTTCAAAACATTCATGCATACGAAATTTCAAAGCAATATTGCTTCTTGGTGCGTCAATTTTTTTGTTATAGAGTGTATATAAAAGGTCTTAAATAAACACAGAATAGATTTTCCAGCAATGTAGAAAAATGAAATGAATAAATGTTGAAAAATCGTCGCTGTTAAAGTTTTCTTAAAGGTAAGTTCTCCTAGGTTATGATTGCTATTTTGAAACACTAGTCAATTGTGCATTACTCATTCAGATAGCATCTGTAGTCTTGACTAACTAATGAAACATTCTAATAGGAAAAGTACTTTTTATTTTACAAAGAAGGTAGAATTGGGGTTGTCAAAGCAGTATGATAATGAATACAATATTAGATTGTTCATAAACAATCTAATGATTGGTTAAAATATCTTAGTAAATTAATAAAATTTAAAAAAAAGAGTGAGTGCTTGAGAACATTATCTTGGTCAAAATTCTTTTAGATCAAGAGGCAAGAATTGCATAGTTATGGTACACATAAATTTGTAGCTATGATACAAGAAAATGCAAGGTATTCACAACATATAAATGGATTAAGTTTAAAATAAAATATGCTAAGTGTAAGTTGAAAGGGTGAGTGTGAGTTGATAAAGGGGAGAATGTATTAATATACATATACAATTTCAGAAATATACATATACACCTGTACATACATGAAGAAATGTGGCTTAAGTTAAGGATAAAGTACATGAAATGCTGTTAAGCTTTTAGCAAGAAGAATATTTCTGTTATAAAGCTGAGTATGATCAAAGAGTATTAATGAAGGAAAGAGATTAAATAGAATTATAGTCGATGAAAATACTTAGGATTTATGTGTATCGAATATAATTATATGTATTTTAAAATATAGAAATATATGTTATGAAAATATTTAAATTCTCACTCTTTGCTGCATGATTTTAGGAAAGAGAAAAACTTGAATGCAATTTAAATTTTTATTAGATTATATATTAAAACTTGTTAAAATGTGTTCAATGAAATGCTTATTATGGCTTTTAAACATTAATCGTTTTAGTAAAAATATATATTTGCTTTGATTGAATTAAATTTTGTAAGAAATTAAATTTAGCTTAGGCTTAATAATGTATTGTTACTCTTCGACTTTTCCGCCAAGTTTAAAACTTAAGATATGTTACTTCTAACTAAAGTTATTTTAATATTGTACTAAGCAGCCACTATGTTAGGACTATCCCCTCAATATCTCATCCTTTATACAATCTTGATTTCCCTTAACATAGATTTAACAAGATGCTGATGGGCAGTTGGAGAAATTCAAATTTTATGCCAACACCTAACGGAGGGGGTTTCGAAATTCGATTATTTTTACCGACAAGTATGGAGCAATGTTTATGTTAAAAAAAAACAACTTATTTTTCTTTCATTTTAAAGTTAAAATTTACAAACATGTAATACAAAAAATTTGAAAATTTTTTAAATTTCTAGTTTAAGTAAAATTTGGGCAAAGAAAAAGTTCAAATTTTTTTTCTCATTAAATTTAAGAATTTTTCGAAATTTTATGAAATGTTTTTTTTTTAAATAAATTTTTCGACATAAATTTTATTTATACAAAAGTGCATCTATTATTTGAATTAAATTCTATAATGCTTAAAATTAGTTTACTGCAGTCCAAGAACAAGGAGGGAGATATTACTACTTCATTATGTAAGTATTGAAGGGAGTATGAAAATTAGCCTTTTTTTCTGACTAGGGAAAACGCATAAGTACCAAAAAACATGCTTACCTAACCTAACATTTGAACAGCCCCTTAGTGGCATCTAAGACTATGCTTGACATATTTTCCAATAGTATGAGACAGGATGGTTTTGGATGGCCCTTTTTATTTTGTCACACAAATGCTTAACAGTATGGAGATTTAGAAGACTTACATAACAAACTAAAGTTTCCAACATGTTTTTCAAACTTATCATTTGCAATATCAACAATATCTTAGGATGAATTATTTTATCGAAAGTACCTCTGGCCTTTAGTATAAATCTTCATCATTACAGAATGTACTTGGTCAGCAACAATGTTTAGATATGATGTTCTCATAATAAAGGTCTCAAAACATATTAGTAGTACTATACTAGTTTTATAGTAGCAACAAAATGATGCAATAGCATAAATCTGTCAGATGGGCGTAATAAATTTGCCACTCAGTGTTCAGGCCAAATGGAGGCCATAAGATAAATGCTTTGGTCTGTGGTACTCATATTATTCAAAAGGCATTTTAAGTAAGTGGTTTTTGGTTTTGTATTTTAAAGAGGTAAAAAACACAATGATTGTATAGAACTTAAAAATTAAGTTTCATGAAATAGTATAGTTATTTCAATTTTTCTTTAAATCAAAGTTAAATCTATTAAAGTCGTTAAACTGTTTTGATATTAGTTATTTAGCTATTAAGACGATGACAAATGGAGAACTAAGCAGTAATTAACAAAAGTCATGTTACATTTTAATTGTTGGTATATGCTACATAAATGATGGCAACATAGACTCGATTAGTTTCACTTATACGATCACAAACAATTCTCTTTGATTTTGCTGTATATTTTATGTGTAATACTCAGAATATCTGATTCAAAAACAAATATAAATAAATATATATATATATATATACATATATATAAATTTTATAGTCAACTTAGACACAAATAGTAATTTAGAATTAATGGAGGGTAATTCGGGTAAAAAAAAACTGCAGTAATTAAGTTTTTATAATTACTTGCATAATTTGACTGAGTGCATAAGATAGGTTGATGTCTAACACTTATGAATAATAGACATTGATATTGCTTGTTAATGTTTTTTTGCACAATTTTTAAAGGTTTTTTTTGCAAAAACTTTGTTGACTTTACACTAAATTATTATATTTATTCTAAATTTTTAAGTAAAATTATTATAGAATCAGGATTTTGTGATACTTGGACAGTTAGACTCCCTTTTATACTTATAGTTAAAAATTTGTAAAAATGAAATGAAATATCTACATGATAAGGGTCTCAAACTGATGCTTAAATAGGGGGGGGGGGTCAAAATCTGAAAAAAATGTTTAATACTGTGTTTGTTTAATCCTGATACCCTGCATACTTTTACCCATAAATATTGAAATTAAATAGATTTGTTCATTCTGTTATTACCTTATTTTATAAAATTTACATATTGGTAAGACTTTTGCTTTTGTTTGTTCTCTTGTAATATTTTAAACACCTTAATAAACAATGTGATTATTTTGAAATTCTTCTTTTGTAACTTGAATGAAACTTCAACCGATCGTGATAAATATTTTATAACATCAAGTAAAATATTTGTAACTTTTTTCTTAAAATTAAGTATAATAGTTATTTCAATTTGAATTAAAATAAAAAATTTTAAAATCGAATTTGTTTGGAGGATAACTCTTTAAATGATTAAATGATTTTACATAATTATTCGAAACATTTATGAGCCTTTTTATGCATGAAATACATTTTTTATTAATTAGTTTATATTTTAATTACATTTTCTAAAAAATTTGATTGTATTGATTTTAAAAAAATGGAATGCCTATATTGATAAAATAATTGTTTCTAATTAAATTAATAATATATTAATTTTTCTAATTAAATTGAAAAATGTAAAACTTAAAATTTAGGTTTGTTTGAATAACATCTCATTAACTGAAAAGTTGTTTTATTTTGATTATTTAAAGCAGTGATTCTCAACCACTGTGCCGCGGCACTTTTGTGTGCCGCCAAATTCTTAAAATGTGCCGCCAAATATTAGAAATGATACAATAAAAATTATAATGAGTAAAGTTTAAATTAAAGAAAAGTGTATATATATATAGATATATATATATACTTTTTATAATTTTTCCACGCTTTAACAGCGTGAACATCTTTGTCGGCAATTGTATTGTCTCTGACAATCTTAAAATAAGATGGAAGTGTTTAAATTGTATATGACACACAATTTTAAAAAATATTGTAAGAGCTAATCATTAAAGTAAGCTATGCAATTAAAAAACAAATTAACGAAGGATAACTAAAAAAGCAAACATATAAAAAAACAAATTAGCAAAGAATAACTAACAAAAATTAAGCTAACTATAATTAGCAAAAAAACTAGTTAACAAAAAATCACAAAAAATAACAGTTAATAATTATAGAAAACAAGCTAACAATAAATAACTAGCAAAAAAATTAATAACTGTTACTAATTAATAAAACATTGCTGGAAAGAAATAATTAATCCCTTAATAAATGTGCTTTTGTAGTGCATATTATTTTATTTCACATTCAAAATTATTATCACAAACTATTTAACACAGTATAAAATAGGTAATTAAACAACTTTTAATCTAATTTTTTTCATTGTGTGCCGTCAAATTTCAAAATCGTTAAAAGTGTGCCGCAACAAAAAAAGGTTGAGAATCACTGATTTAAAGTATTTATGACCCTTTTAAATATATTTATCTAATGAGTAGACTGATTTTGAAGAAGATATATTAGGAAATAAAAATAGGTTTGTTCACAAAATAAAAAAAATTTATAAATTTTGTTAACTTAAGACCATATTGCATTCAGATGATTTTTATAGTTATTATTTTTTTAATAATAATCATGTTTAAAAAATAAAATTATTCCTACTTCAATATAAAAATATGAATTTTTCACTTGGTGGATATGTTTATTTTTGTTTTTATTTTTCAATTAAGGACCATTAGAATGCTACAGCTTTATAACAGCATTTCTTTTTTTTTTCTTTCCAGTTTGAATTCAGTTCAGATATATGTTCCACGATGTTTGGTATGAGTAATTTTACAAGAAAGTTCAAAAGTAGACCTTAACAGAACCAGTAGCTTTGAACAAAGTTCGCTCCTTAAGGTTGAACTCTTTTGGCTTTCTGATTTATTTGCTTCATTTTTCATTCACCAAACTGAGCACTTCTTCTTTGGATTCATCCGACTGCCCATTGGGCAACTGTAAGTCTTAGCAAAATCATATGAGTTTGAAAGTGGGCCCAGAACCCTAAAAATAAAGAAGTTGAAATAAATACGAGAACTAAAGTAAGTTTTTTCTTTTTATATTTTCAATTCTAATCTAAAAAGAATATTAATTTTTTTAAATCCTATGTATATGTTATTATTATTCATAATTATAGTTCATGATTGTATTTATTTAGTAAATTGAAGTAAATATAGAAACTAAAAAAACTGCTCGCTTTTAATATTTCAAATTTTAATCTAAAATAAATACATGCTTTTAAAATTTTATGTATCTTATGTACTTTATAATGTGCTCATAACTAATTAAATAGTGTTTAAAAGTTTATTTAATTTTTCAAACTAATGTAGGAGCTTAAATAATTTGTTTCTTATGCAAATTTTTTTACTGAAGTATGTTAATTAATATTTTTTCTTAACTTAGTGAGAATTTTCAGCCCTTCAAGTTTTTATTTCCAGGAAAACTGCTCAGAGTTCAAATTCATCATTCAATTTTAAATGCTGAATAATACAAAGATCAACTTCTTATCTTTCAGAAACTTCTTATCTCAAAAGAATGAAGAAGGAAACAGACATGCCTAAGAAAATCATGATAATAGCAAAAGAAAAAGACCAAAACTAAAATAACTGGATCAGGTGGAAGAAAATAAAAAAACTGGATAAAGAAATTTGGAGCGAGAATGATGTGCGAAGTCAACAAGGGCTGTAGAGTTAGATAAGAGGGTTAAAGAGTGAACAGATTGTTTAAACACTGAAACCTCAAGGAAATATCACTTCTATGTAACAATCTCCTCTGTTTACGAACACTTTTAGGGGCACGGAATTTTTTTCATAGACTTTATATTGAAGAAAACCTTTAAGAGACACCATCAAAACCTTCTCCCTGTGACCGGGCACCAAGTGCGGAAAAAATCGAATATTGAAACACGAAGAAATATCAAAACAAAAAACATTAACCAAGCAAATAAGAAGATTTAAATGTATTCGAAACATGTAAGTGACTCTTATGTAGTTTTTTTTTAAAAAAATTTGCCGATTTTTTAAAGAGATTGACAAAAGACGATTTATTTTTAGAGTTGAAAGTTAAATCAGAAAAAAGTTATTAAAAAAAATAAGCATCTCTCATAAAAAAAATTCCCATCAAACCTCTTCTTAAATTTTTATGATATAAAATTAAATACAAACTTAAAAAACATAATTGTTCATTTATTTGAAGTAGTTCTATCATTCGTAATTGGTAATTTTGTTTTTACACATAAGGTTACCACCAGTTAAGGTTATTTTTATTGACACTAAATTTCATTCATCAGTTCCTTTTTTTATGACGCACAAGTTGCATTTTCGCACCAAGAAAATAACACTTACTGAAACTAAATTGCTTGCAAAAAAATCATGTTCCTTTGATGTAATTTTAAAACCAGTGAATGTAACCCCTAGGAACGACCAACATTCATTAACGACCATTTACTGTGGAACAGAGTGATCGCTTCCAAGAGGTTTCTCTGTAATTCCTTAGAATCAATCAAGCATTTATCAAAGTGTAAACGAATAATGTTTTGTTATTTCTCCATAGAAACAACATTTTCTGCTTTAAAAACGGTGACTGATATGATTGGAGATCTGTTATAGAGACATCTGTTGGGTTATTTGAACTTGGTATTTTCAATTAAATTTTTTTCCTTTCAGATTTTTTTTATCTCTCAGTAGCTATCTGGAATGCAAATTTTGAATATAACATTTGCTTCTGTATGAAAAATCAAGAGCTTACCTAATAGGGCCTGGACTATGAACTGAAGATCTAACCTTACTCAAGGCGTCTTCGGGTCTCATAGACCCACACCAAATCTACAAGTAATTTTATTCTCTTTAAAAAAAATATTGCAATGATTTGATATTTGTTTAAACATGATAAATTTTTTGTGGTCGTATTAAGTTTATACATAGTTATCATAGTGGTCAAGATAAATTTTCGTTGGATGAATATAATATGCTGGATAATGAAGAGAAAATATAATTATTTCTTTAAAGGAAAAACGCTGTAACACTTAAACACAAATTGTAAAACATGAAATTTGCATATCTTCAAAGCTTATCGACTTAAGTGAACTTTTTCAATACCATAAGATCGGTAGGGTAATGAAAAATTGTGAAGGACTAGGTTTTGATCCCCGACAGCAGCTTACGCCCCTCTCAGCTTCTGATCATTGGGTAGCAGTTTCTAACACAGTCGGTGCTGACCACATAGCCACCATACCACCGTTGGTCACAAAATTGTAAAAACTTAACCTCCATAGCACCCAGACCCTCAATGGGCTGTTGTAGGAATGCTTTACTTTCTATAAGATCTGTATTGTTCATTGCTGTCGCTGCTGAGATTAGACATGTGACTGCAAAGGGTTGATACTTTCATTAATAAAGTATTTTTATTTTATAACCGTCTTTGAACAGTGAACCCAATATTTTGGGGTTACGACTACTAATGTCCAACTTTGTAGCCTTGTAATTTTGAACCGAATTCAGAAGACAAGAGAACTGCTGGATCAAGTAATGGAAGAACTTTTGCCTTCGTGGAGGACTTTTTGATGGAAGGCGAATGCTGTATCCCTTGATCCATCATGGCTCTAATAGTAAAGTTATTAAAAAATTATAATCTAGTATGCTAGGAGCATTAGTTATTGAGCCTATTGTTTTAGATTTCTCAAATGTTTGGAGGATTCAACGACCATAAATACGTTCAGCTTTACATAATTTATTTTATTAATTACGTTTTATTTTAAATTCAGTTCCAAACCAGAAGAAAAATGTATAAATAAACATATAGCACTCAATAGAGACAACGTTTCATATCCTATCTATGTCACGTACGCAAGCTCGAGCTCTTAAGTTTTTTTTATTTATTTTTAAAGTTATTTTTTTAACAACTGCCTTAGACACAGTTTTTAAATTTTTAAAACAATTATATAGCGTAATATGTAGACTTGTGAACAATAACTTTTCACATTCTTTCACGTACGCATGTCCAAGCAGGTTCCCAATCGTGGAACTACGCTTTCAATTTTAGGCTAAAAAGCGTTATATTTTAAAGTCTCTAATATTTTTTGTCGTGAGATTGATTGATCAAAACGGCTGAATACTTACTTGTGCATAGTTGAGAAAAAACAGCTGGTCGTGCGTTAGGTTCAACCCAGGAAGTAGAGGTTCTTCCCCATGTCGTGATACATACTTTTTATAAGCCTAAAATAAAATTTAGAATTAATTGTACGCTTGAAAATATTTTCTTGTTTTTAATATATTAGTTTTATTTTTTAAGAAGTTTCAATCTTAAAAATATTATGAACATTGCTATTGTTTTAAATGTAATTGAGGACAAATTTTTTTAATACCACTGAATTTTAAATATCCTTTCCATCCAAAACCATAGACTCTCAATCTGTTTTGCTAAAAAGCTGGCAATAATGATTTAAAAAAATTAATAAATTAAAAAAGGAGCCAAATTGAGAGGGAAGGAAATACTTTCAACATGGCTAGGCTACCATTGGGTTGTCTTGTCAATATATTGGACATGATCTATTTGCTGATAGATCATATCGCCGACACGAGTACACCGTAGTAATCTTGTCTGCGAAATGAGCTGTCGGAAATATTATCAGTCGGTGGAATGATTGTCCGCAATATGAACAAAACTCTGACGTATTAGGACGTCACTTACAATATATAGAGTGTTCTCTAACGACTGTCCTTTATATATATGTTTTAGAATTCTTTAACCCCTTCCTTCTCGCTCCCGTGAAAATGACTGGGTGAGGTTTCGCCTTCTCCCATGATATTCCCGGTCTGGAGTGCTCAGTAGTAACGCGCCAATAAGAATGAAACTAATTCATTTCTTTTGCCCGGGAAACATTTTATTTCTCATTTTACTCACCAGATGGCAGTACCAGTAATTGTAGATAGTTAGTTTATTTTTAACTAGATGTCAGCACTAATCAAATAAGTGTATAATAAACGGGTATAAAAAAATAGGCACTTTTAGGATCGTTTTCTTGAAAATTAACCAATCGTTAAGGGGTTAAAAACAAAATAAGAAACAAACTGCGCATGTACGGTTTTATTTAAAATTTGGCACTATTTAAATATTTTAAGATCAAAATAAATTTGATTTAAAATATGCATAATAAGCCATTTCTTTAGCTTGCAGTTGGTTTATTACGAAAGAGTTGTTACCAGTTTTATTTAAAAGTATCGTAACTATGAATAGTTGTATCCAAATAAATGAAAAAAACTGGTTGTACACGAATATTTTAATTAAGTATCCATTTCCTCTCTAACATATTAAGTACCTATCAATTTAATTTTGATAAGGTACTGGGGTTTGTTTATACTCCTTAATAAAACTTTATGTAATTAATGTATTATAGTCGATAACGCAGAAATATCTTACTTTTACAAAACAAATGTTAAAAATGAAACACTTGCATTACCACTTTTTAGAAAAAGATCTATCTTTTTAAATAAGTGCTAGGCATAAATCGGTTATATGACTTTTTTTTTAGCGTTTTTGAAATGTTTAATTAAAATTAATAAATCTTAGTCTTCTTTAATATTTTTTGCTAGAGATGTTTTCCAGTAAAAGCAAAATATATGCTTCAATTTAATATAGATTCTTGGTTTACTAAATTTGACTTAAAAATGATTTTTAAGCTATTTGATTTTGTTCTTAACTCTCTAACATTCAGGATTAAATTAATGAGTATAGGACGCAGTTTAAATTTAAATATGTTATATCACTAAAATTTGAAAAATCAGGTGATTTTTTGAAAATATTTAGGAAATTGCAAAACTTTTAAGTAAATTTTTACGGATGTATCGGAAAGTTTTAATTTTTGACTATTTCGAAAAATAACATGTACAGTGTGCCCCTCCCCCCCCCCAAAAAAAAAAGGAAACGGACCCCTCTGAATAACTTTTGATCTAATGATCTGATCTTCACATTCTAAAACTCTTAATGTTTTGAGGGGTGACTTCAAATATACTAATTAATTAGTACAGACGATATTTTGAATTACGAAATCAGACACGAAAACGTACTTTCTCTGAATAAACATACCTTTTTTTCCAACGGATTCAGACACCATTCAAATTTCAGACACCAAAATATGGTCCCCTTAATGTCAATTTTGCGTATTTTGCCATATCTCGAGAAATTTTTAAGCGAATTGAAAAATGTTTGCGCACAATTATAAATTTCGTTCATCTAAGGATAATCACATGAAAGAAGTAAATTTTAGTACATTATTATTTTATTAAATAATAGTCAAAAAATGTTAAAATTGTATGGTATACAATTTTTAACATCATTTTAAAGTAGGTAATTTTAAATGGCAAAATAAAAAAATTGAACGAAATCGGTTCTATAGAAAACGAATTTTAAAATTCAAGGAGCTATTCAACCAATTTCGCTCAAATTTTGAAATTTGCCATGTAAAATTACTTTAAAATGATGTAAAAAATTGTATGCTTTGTAGTTCAAATGTTTTTCTATTGTTCTTTATAAAAATATAAAAAAATAATAAATATTCACTAAAATTTACTTTTTGCATGAAATTATCTTTGGATAAACGAATTCTACAATACCAGATTGGGGCTAACCCTACATTTTAGGTTTAAGAAATCAGAATCCATTGAGAGAAAAAAAAGATACTTTTATTCAGAGATATTACGTTTTTGTATCTGGTTAATAAATGAAATCTGGCAAAATAAATAAAATATCGTCTTACAAATTGATACTTACAACTTAAAATATTGTCTGCACTAATTAATAAGCATATTTAAAGTCACCCCCTCAAATCATTAAAAATGAGTCCCGGAACGTGAAGATCATATCATTAGATCAAAAGTTATTCAAGATGGTTCAGTTTTTTTTGTTGTTGATAAAATCTTACCCTATAAGCTTGTTTAAGTCCCCCATTATCAGCAATATTTTCTCCTTGGGTCATTTTTCCATTGATCTGAAAATATAAACAAATTCGCATTTTGTAAATAGTACAACATCATAGCACAGCTTTGAAGAATAATAAATACATATTTACTAATAAATTTTTGGCTTAGATAACTTAATTTATGAATTTCTTTGTGAAACTCGACAGTTTTTAGAGTATTATTTATTATAATATAATAAATTATTATCTTTATGTTATAACTTGATTTTTTTCAATTTGTTTTATTAAATTTTTGTTTTAAAGATAAAACTAACTAAACATTTAAATAGTATTTTCGTTTAAGAATTTTTTTCCAAGTTACTAGTTTTATAATTAAGCTGAAACATTGAAATTCGAATAAGCATTGAAGTTAAAACAAAGGATACATATTTACTGAATCTGGTCTATAATATTATACTTTTAAGCTTGATAAATTTGTTATGAAGCCAAAGAAAAGGTGGATTAATTAAGAAAGTTGTGTTATATACTCGCATCACGTCTGCAGTTTAAAATTCGAAATAAATAACGGATAAAAGCACAGTTATATGAATAATTGCCAAAGTCTGATGATGGTTTCGATAATCGAACAAGTATCGTTAAAAGATTGAAGTTAATCTATAATATTTCTTCAAAATAAGCTCATTTTATTTTATATTATAACCGTCGTTTAACAGCCGACCCAATTTTGGGTTTACGACTACTAATGTTCAACTCAGTAGCCTTAAAATTTTGAACCAATCCGGAAGACAAGAAAACTCCTGGATCAGTATCCTCAGAGGTATGATTCGTTATGGGAACATGGAGGACTTTGTGACTCGACAGATTCAACGTGCATCAGTTACCATTTACTACACGGGGCGTCTTCGGCCGACAGATATCGGGGGACCGAACCCACGCCCTCTTGGACATGGGCCCAGTGCCCTACCAACCAGGCTATCCCAGCCCTAAAATACACTCATTATCATAAAAGTTATTGCACCTAGAAAGAGTTGTCAAAGTGAAATGAAATTTTACATACGTAAGTGCAACGTTAATATTCCCAATCGCTACACTCGAATACGCTATCTGGGAAGAAGACCGGATCCATGTCGTCCTCTTCTCAGTTGTATAGGAATCTACGACGATATTTTCCCCTTTCTTAATATATTTCGTATTTAACGGTCAAAAATATTTTTTAAAATTTTCATGACGCTTTCTTGTAAAACTACTATGTTCAATGTAGTTTTCAATTCCTATATAATTTTTTACTGAATTTTTTTTAATCTATTTGAAAAGCAAGACAAACTAACGTACTTCATCTCCTATGACTCTCCACACGCAAATGGTGAAAGCATGTTAAGTGTTGCCATAGGTAGAGAGTTCTGCTCTACGCCACCTGTAGCCCATTTCGATCGCCAATAAGTGCTTAAAGAATCGAAGCAAAATGATAATTTATCATATGATTTCTAGCACGAATGCAGGAGTTAATACGGTTGCGGTATCTCGTTCCGCTTAAAAACATTGCTAAATGGACTAAGCTCGAAGGCTGTCTAAGTTGCCAACCCAAATGGTCTTATATATGCTCATTCGATGACAAATCTGCGAATCGAGCTGTCCAAGGAAAGGTGATAGTGATGCAGACATTCCTGTGACACCCTGCGCCTGAGCATTATTTTGTTAAAAAAATGGCTCCTGAGACCCCTGCCGTGAGTGATAACATGTGTGGCTGAAGAGTGTTACAAACGTACCGCTGGGTTGTCTCGGCACTGTAGATTAATATTACGGGTGATCGTATGCAATGGCACTTTATATTATCACATCAGCTGTACAGGCGGCAGCACAGCCAGGATCGAAATTCCCTCACCATTGCCCGAGTTTCCAGTGGTATCGCTCTTGACGGCATTAGGCTACAGATTGTCTTCTCTGATGAATCCAGATTTAATTTGGACAGTAATGACCGTTGTGTACGTGGTGCAGATGGTATAGGGTCTCCCCTACGATTTTCCCTAATATGGATTTACGGTGTTATTGCAAGGCACACGGGAGCAATTTTTTTACGAGAGAATGCTTGTTCGCTCACAGCAAGGGTATCACACATATTCCTTCCCCACATTACCACCTTTTCCTGGCCTATTCGATCCCCAGATTTGTTACCGATCGAGCATATCTTGGCACAGTAAGTTGGACAACCTCCGAGTTCTGTCGATTTAGCGATGTTTTTAGAGCAAGACAGGACATCCTAAGAAACTTGTATGCATCAAATATCCTACCTTATAGCGTTAGAAGTGGCCTAAGAAGGTACTAATACCTCCATTCCTTTGCATTTTTAGCCTGCAATAAATGATCATCTTGCTTTAATTTTTTAATCACTTTTCACTGTAAAATTTCGTTTCATTCTAAGAACTTTTTGCAGCTGCACTAACTTTAATGGCAATGAGAGTATTGTTGTGTAAATGATATTTTATTTACTTACGTTATGTCCTATATCTTCTAAAACATAACTGGAGTACTGGTCGATAATACACTGTGCTCTTTCTCGGAATCGCCGAACAGTAGCTTCATTCCACCACTGTTTCAAGTTACCTTCTTTGTCGAACTGGCGTCCTGAAAAATATTTAAGTTAGTTTGTCATTGAATCTCTTAATATTTAAAGCGACTTAAATTTATATTTCAACTACTGACATTTAATATCAATCAATTAACTATTGGCATTAAATGTCAATAGTTAATTGATTGATAAACATTTAAATTATTGATACTCAATGAGCATTGATTGATATTTTAACTATTGATACTGACTGCAGGGATGCTACGGGCGACTAAAAATGTAAAAATTGGTGAATGACAAAAAACAAAAATCTATTAAAAGAAATTAAGATTTCCAATTTTTTCTAGTATATTACTTTTTGTTTACTATTGGAAGAGAATGTAAATAATATTTAAGCTTTAAATATGAATAAATTGCAATACAAATGCATGGCGACAGTTACAATTGAATAATTAAATTGAATTTTTACCACTTCTCACTGTAACTGAAACGTTAGTTGATATTTGGATTATTAATAATAAACGAAGTACACTAGGTTGCACAAGCTCTTTACTGTCTGTACTTCCGGGCTACTGTTTCCGGTGCATTTTGAAGTCATTTGGTTCGCGACTTAATCATTGTGCTTTGAGACTATCTTGAGTTGTATTATTTGTATACGTATATTTGTTATCTAATTTATTATTTGTGTAAAAAAAAAATCTTTATTTGAAGACCTGTCATTTCAAGACGTAAAATTCGTCATTCGAAAAAAAAAAGAAAAGAATTGTTATAAAACACTTCTTACCTTGTAAACAATATACCAACTTCGAAGTCTAAACCTAATTATTAATTTGTAAAATGAACTTAATCTCTCTGCTCGAACAATATGCTAACACTAACGTATAATCGTGCACGGCTTGTAACAAGAACAATGAGTAAGAAACAAAAAGAGGCCTAATTGGGACTGCCAGAAAAGGGAGTTCTTTCTAAATCTAGTAACCATGTTACCTTTTTTAACAATACATCGATAAATAACTAAAACAAATTTGCATTTCAAACTCACCAGAATTACTTAATATCTTGTGAAATGTAACAGATTTGAGCACAGAAATTAAACAATTCATTTCTTTTATTAAAAACAAAATTATCTGTTTGAAAATATCGTCTGACAGAATAAGCTGTAGTAAGCAGCTGTATACTTTCTAACCGGAAGTAGAGCAGTTCAAGAGCTCGAGATAGTCCTTATTTACATTTACATTGAAAACACCATCCATATACTCTGATAGAGGTAAACATTGTTACCTGAACTATTAAAATTAGCTGAAGGATAATTTCTTGATAAATAAATGAAACATAAATAACATTTCAACTTTTGATATCTAATAAAACGTTAATTCGATTTTGAACAATTTTTATTTAATAAAACATTGACTGATATTTAGACTATTGATATTTAATAAGACTAATATTGATATTAATTGGCATTTGAGCTATTGACACTTAAGGGTTATTAATAGCTGTTTGAACTATTGAACTCACTGTAACATTTATTGTTATTTGAATTAATAATTATTAAATATTAATCAATATTCAATGAATGTTCACATTTGTTAGACAGCGGAGCAATAGTTTCCTGATAATTAATGAAACAAAAATCAAACTAAACGATTGATATTAGAACGTTAATTGTTATATAAACTTGAGGCATAGTTTGATATTTGAACTGTTGATATAAATGAAATATTAATTGGTGTTTGAACTTTTGATAATTTAGGGACACTTATATTTATACAATTGACTTTCATTAAAACGTTAATTGATATTTAATCAATAACTTATTTAATAAAGCACTTGATATTTAATGAATATCGATAATAAATTTAATAGTCTGTAGAAGACAACTTTTCGAAGAATTATACTTAAAAAAAAAGGCAAATTCTCTATTTGTAAAGAATAATTCATTTATAAAGAATAATACATTTACAAAAGGATAAATTCGAATTTACGTCTATCAATGTTCAACTACGTAGTCTTGTAATTTTGAACCTAACTCGGAAGAGAAGGAAATTTCAGGATCAAGCATTTTGACAAACTGGCCTTCGGGGTGGATGTTTTGATTGAACTAACCCTCACTATTCCGTTACACAGAGCAAAAAATAACGAAACCCTCTTACTGTTAGCCCGACGGCAAGGGGATTCTAACCCATGATCTGCCTAAAACAGAGGATATTTTGCGTTCGCATTGTAGTCGGTGCGAGCCGGAAGCAGAATTTGTATCAACTAGCCACAGCTGGGATTCGAACCTGTGATCTCCTCATTGAAAGACGAATGCTCTTTCTCCAGAATCACCGCGGCTCAAGATATAGTTATAAATGTTTATTGATCGGTACTAATTATTAAGACAACGAACATGAATTCAAAAATATATTCTCTTTATAAAAACTCAACATTCAGCGCATTCAAAAGCGTAGCAAATAACACAATAAGAAAAAAAGAGGATATACGATACAATATGGAAAGAGAATCAGAAATATTAATGGTGAAGGGAGGGATCAAAAGTTCAATCCCCTAACGTTCTATTTTTATATTTTTGGATCATATGTTTTCGGTTGTATTTCCGAATTATATATTTTTTATTATCAGGTATAATATTTCAGCGTAATATATAGTTATAATAACTTTAACTTTTCATCCTGTTATAGATGTATCTTTTAACTTAGTTAAGTGATTCTCAGGTTCTTTTTTACCTTTATCATCGAAACCATGTGTCATTTCATGTCCAATCACCACTCCGATTCCACCATAGTTTAATGATCTAAAAATAATTTGAAATAATTTAAGTTAAATGACAAGAACTAAAAAATTAAATTAACTTATAATTTTTTTAATACATTTTTTGATACGCAGCCAAGATGGCATTTATAATATAAACAAAATTGTCAAAACAGAAACATGATGTGCAGGAAAAATTTAATAACTCAAAAGTAATGTAATATATTTTAAGCTACGATGCTGTGAGAGTAAAAATATATTTTTTCGTTGTTGTTAAAATGTAGAAATGCTGAAAAAACGCATTTTGTGCGTTTGTTCGTGACGGTTTAGCAAAATTTAAATAATTCAAATATAATGTTGTGAAACATAGGTTGTTATAATGCTGAAACAATAAAAGCAATTATTTTTTTCATGAAAGTTTTACAATGTAACGCTTCTTAATATAGTGACTTGTCACTAGCTAAAAATTGTAGGAAATTGCATTATATACATTGTTCCAAAAAAAAAAAAGAAAAAAAAAACCCTGACCACCCAGAATAACTTTTGATCTAATAATTGGATCTTCATGGTGGAGAGGGTAACTTCAAATATGCTAATTAATTAGAGCATACGATTTTTTAAGTTACAAAATCAGACACAATAACGTTCTTTCTCAAATTAAACATACCTTTTTTTTCAACGAACTCTTATTTCTGCCCCCCAAAATATAGGGGGTCACTCTGAGAAATATGGTCCCCATAGTTTGATCAGGAGAGCTATCCAAAGTTTGAACCTTTTAATGTTAATTTTACTTTTTGCGTATTTCGCCATTACTTTTTAAGCGAATTGAGAATTTTTTGCACACAAATAATAAATTGGTTAATCCAAAGATAATTCCATGCAAAAAATAAATTTCTGTATATATTTATTATTTAATTTAATTTAATTGCCACATTCTTTAAAATGATGTAAAAAATTGCATACTTTTAAGTTCGAAATTGTCCTAAGATAATTCCATTCGAAAAATACATTTTAGTAAATATTTATTATTTTATTTTAGTAAAAAGAATTCTGAATTGTAAGGTATACGATTTTTTACATAATTTTAAAATAAGTAGTTTTTCATAGCAGATATATTCGTAAAACTAATTACAAAATTTTTGAAAAAATTTGTCAACTTGATGTTAGAAACTAACGCAAATACCACTACGTATTACCGTGATTTCTAATATTAAAAATAAGCTTAAATACATAGTGTACGCCAATGACTTTTGAACAGTTTATTACAGTTGAATCAAAATAAGTCAAGTCGTAACAGAGGGACAAGAGGGCGGGAAGTTTTTAATTTCTATCAACATTTACTCAATATTATTATTTTTATTCTGTTATTATTGTATGTAGTCATTCAAAATGAATATGATTTTTTTTACTATATACAAGTTTATTATATTGATTTAAGTTACAATTTTTTTCTTTTGTGCAGGAACAAAATTTAATTCATATATTCCAATCTTAAAACACAGCGAAATATGAAAGAAAAAAAATGGATAAATATGACAACCAAAGCTGACGTCATTAGGGGGTACCAGTTTCGGAAGCCATAAAAGCAAAACCTTTTCTATCGAAAGAGCACGACAAAAGTCTAAAATTACTCTCTCTGTATCCCAAAGGTTTTGCCAAAGTTCAGGAAAAGATTTTTTAATGCTTTTAAAATTTTAAATTCTTTTCTAAATTTCCAATCTTAAAGTCACATTTCAAAACGAATAGATAAAAGACCTTCGGTCCTGGGTATACCAAGCTCCTTTAATCAGAAGGATTTGAATTTTTAATTCAAAAGTGAAAGCTAAGAAATTTTTCCAGGTGTGTGCGATCCATGTATAAGATATTAAGGATTTAATATAGCTAATTTATTGTTTTTATAAAGGATTTTACGGTGTTTCAACGCAACGGTTTGTGGAAATAAAAAAATGGTTTGTTTTTATCAATGTAATATATATTGCAATTGTATATAAATATGTATTAACTCCTTCCTTCTCGCTCTCGTGAAAATGACGGTGTGAGATTTCACCCTCTATTTCTCGCTCCCGTGAAATTTCCGGGCTGGAGTGTTCAGTAGTAACGCGCCAATAAGAATACAGCAAATTCATTTTTTTCCCCTCGGAAAACACTTTATTTCTCATTTTACACACCAGATGGCAGTACCAAGATAGTTTTAAGGTAATTGTAGATAGTTAGTTTATTTTAAACTAGATGTCAGCACTAATCAAATACATGTATTTGGCAAAATAGGCACTTTTATGGCCGTTTTCTTGAAAATTAAAGGTCAAATTTTTTTTGACAGAAGAAATGTAAATAGAATGATTTGTTTAAAACTCAAATAGTAAAAATATCACATTCAAATCCAAATAAATATTTACTTGGGAAAATGATGACTATAAAATAGAGGTTGAAGAATTCCAGCAGGAAAGACTATGTCATTTTTGTTTGGATTGTAGAAGGCATTGACCACAGCAGGCTCCGTTGTCCACCTGTTGACAAAAAACGTGTCATTAATTAACGTTGAGTCATTAATTAATGTAAAACAAGCTTAATGGTCTTTTAAAGTTGTTCATTATACAAGCCCCAAACAAAAGAGTTAAAAAAAATATTTGATGGTAATTGGAATATTTCATTTCTACCTTTTTTAAAGTTAGCTCTACCATTTTTTATATGAGTTAATGTTTTAAAGTTCTACCTTAAGACCATTTTGTACTCGAAAGTACTATTTTAAAGTCCNACAAGCCCCAAACAAAAGAGTTTAAAAAAAAATATTTGATGGTAATTGGAATATTTCATTTCTACCTTTTTTAAAGTTAGCTCTACCATTTTTTATGAGTTAATGTTTTAAAGTTCTACCTTAGGACCATTTTGTACTGGAAAGTACTATTTTAAAGTCCAAGCCTAAAATGTGAACAGTATTAAAATTAGTTCATTACATTTTTATTTCTTGATTCTAAAATATCACTTTTAAATATACAGATCTATATATTTAAAAGTGATATTTCATTCAGTTTTGGGACATCAGGATCAATTATTTCATCAGCTCAATTATTTCTACTTTTTATCCAGGAAAAAAAAACAGTCCGGTATTTTGTATGACTGTTAATATGAAGTAGTAGGCACTAATATCTTACTCCTCCTAATAAAAATTTAGATATATGTATTTAATTTTCTGTATCATAAATGTTATAATTTCATATGCAAATTTTTTTTTCCGGGGCAATAAATAAATTTCTTAGTTCTATAGTTCTTAGCTAAAATTTAATTTAATACTATATTGTAGTGATTCTTTTTAAAGAATAAAATGGTAATTACTACGTTACATTCTCAGTAATAATAAAATTAGCTGCTATGATATACATAGCTGTCTGTATTAAGTTTACTTCTGTATTAAGAATTTCTGTATTGGGAATTATGTTGTTAGGAATGTCTTTACTTCTTCAGAAACGTTGCATAATTGTGCCCGATTCGTCTTTTTCGAACTATTCAAAATAGTTTCTCACCTGTCCTTGTTGACAGGCTGTCGAAGTTTTTTCAGGTTCTTACTAGCCTCAAACTCAAATACGTTCAAGATGTTCACAAGGAATAAATCATCATGAATAGTCAGCTGCAAAAAACACACATAAATTTTATAAAGGGATGAAAATGAGTAGACTAATAGAAATAAAAAATTTTAATGCAGCAAAAAAAAAAAAAAAAACTCATCACATCCATATCACACTTTATAAATTTAATAAAAAGAATACGTACAATAACGGAAATTTTTGACTATTGTCTAATTCAAACTAAGAGGTCGAAGATGTTCTACTGAGACCATCTGCATTTTTGGTCTTAGGGCCAGCTCTATGCACAATTTTAAAATGAAACGATTGTAGTGCTAAAGCCTTGTGTATAATCTGACATTTGATCTAGCATTTCTTTGAAGCTAGGTTAGAGGGTGCTGATTTGTCTGAATGGTAAACTTCTGCCGTCAGGAGAATGTCGTAACTTTTTGACGGCAAAGATTATACTGACATATTCTTTTCTCGTAAAGTCTTCCTTTTTTCCGATTCACTCAAATATACCATGGGATGTTAATGGCTTTCAGTATTTAATTATGTTAGTACCACACTTATACTCATTTCCGAAGCGTCTGCTTGCAATATAAATTCTTGTTCACAGTTAGGAGAGAAGAGTACAGGTTATCTTGTTATTTTTCATTTAGTTTCTTAAACCAATTAACAATTTAAATTTAATTGATTTGTTAGGAATCAAGTAGTTTTGCTTGCCAGGTAAAAAAATAGGAAGACAAATTTAAGACAAAGCTTAGAATAATTTTCTTTAAACAAAATACTTAAGCTTGCAAACGATTTCAATTTAGAAAATGGTATGTTACATTTTCTGTTCATAGTGTGCTGGTTTCTCTATTTTTGCTATAACTTTGCAAGTTTTTTGAGTATTATCTTATATTTGGTGTCAAACTGCTCAGAATAAAACTCATAACCTGTATTTTTTTTTCTTTCAAAGAATAAAAAGAAGAAAGAAAAAAAAACTTAAAATTTTGTTATAAAAAACCTTTGAAAATTATTTGATTTTTTAAGCACAGTTTTAAAAATTATAAAGTGAATTAAATAACTAAAACAGATGTTTAATTAAAATGCATTGTAAATTTTTACCCCTTCATATTCTTTGGACAGTTCAATTGGCTTTGTGAGAAGATCCGGATAGCCTATTCTTTCGTTCATGGCATTTGCCTATAAGAATAACAAAACGAAATGAGGAAACTAAAGATAATATATAAAGATGTAGATAATACATAAAGATATAGATAATATATAAAGATAAGATTGGACAGAAAAATTGCAATATTGGAAATAAAATGAAGGTAGTAGTTTGTTTGCATAAATTCCAACTTTTACTTTTTCTAACAATGATTCTTTTATAAGATGTATAAAATGTATGTTAATATAGGATTCTTATAATATAAGAAGGGCATAATAATATTATGCTACACTCTTTCAAAAGAGGGCATTTTTACTTTAAATTGTTCTTTATTTTTTCTATATAATTACTTAACAAGTTTCCGAAACTTCCAGAATGCATAGAAACAAGTGAATATCAGTATAAAAAAATGTGTTTTCTTTATCCAAAAACGCTTACCTCACTAATTTGAAAAGTTGTCTTATTCATTTTTTAAATTGCCCCAAGCCTTCCTTCGTTCCAATAAAACGCAAGAAATTAATATCTAATTAAACTTTAAAGATAATAAAATATTTTCAGTTTTAATTTCTCTTTTATATTAAATGTATAAGACCCACAACAGATTTAGAACTAAATATAACCACTTAAACTGCTAAAAAAAGGAGAAAAGTGTTATAGCTCTTTTACCACTTTTTAACAGGACTCAGCGATCACCGTTTCACGAAGATAAACGAATTATTGTTAAATTGACAGGAACTCACAGAGCTGTTTAATAATATTTTAGTTAAATCTTTATTTTATAATTATAATATTTTCAAAACCAAAACGAAATGAGCAAATTCATCCACATATTATATAATATGCTGAAAAGCATCCTCAATAAATAAAACTCGTGGCGATTCCTCGAAAAGAATTATAAAAATTTTTTATCAGCCTGATGGTAAATTTGGAATTTTAACTGGTAAATTTGGATCAGCCAGCATATGATTAAGTTTACTAGCTTTTTTTTTGGTATATAAAGTATCTTACTTTTTCCCTAGCAACTTCACGAGTATCTTTGTCCATCCAAGCATTTTCTTCTAGCAGTTCATTAAAAGCTTCCCTGATATTCAGAATCATTTCTTGAGCCTAGAATTACACAAAATATTCAAAACATTATTTGCTGTTAAAATTTTTAACTTTACATAGAAGTGAAAATGATTATTATGATATTTGAGTAGTATATATGTTGCCGGCATTGTATAGAATGCCGGATGTTTTTAGGCCAAGTATGAAATGTGAGAATTATTACATACTTTCCCTAGGCATTGTATAAAATACCTAGGCATTCTATAGAATGACAAAAGCTATGTAGGCAAAGTATGAAAAAAACATACTGATGAGGTTATTATGTAAATAATGTTCATTTCTCAAAAATAAAAATGATATTATGAAAAAATAATGAGAGTGCAATTAAAAAAAATTTATTCAAAATGCGAAAGAAAAATGAAAGTTGTACAAAACATAATTTATGTCTTTCTTATTATGGGAAACAAAATGTTCACATAAAAAAATCACATTTATGTCACAATTATTTTCAGTTTAGAAACAAATATTGCACAAAATATCCATTTCGTCACCTTTATACAAGGCCACAAGGCCTAACCTACACCTAACAAGGCCACAGAAGACTTTATACTTTGCCTGTATTTGCCATGCCATGCCATCCTTTTGCCTATAGAATGCCTAGGAAATGTGTGAAATATAAATCGTTTCATACATTGCCTGCTAGTTTTAGGCATTATATACAATGCCTAGGCATTCTATAGAATGCCGGATTTCTATAGAGTGCCGGAATATATATATGTTTGAAATTACAAGCATATATATATATATGCTTGTAATTAGAGCGTCAGAAAAAAATATATAAAAGGGACATCGGTGTCCCATCTGCGTCAAAGGGTTAACGTAAGGAAATAGATCACGAGTTCCCTATATAAAACATGTTATTAACCTAATTAATTCAAATACTTTGAAAAGAGGAAGTAATTTTAAATATGTTTACCGTTTCTTTGCTTTTAGGATCAAAGTTATCACGAATAAATAGGGCTCCAACCGCCATCCCCATCTTTTTGTTGACGAGATCAACGCATTGGTTCCACCTTTCTCTTTCAGCTGAAATTCCCAAAAGAACTTTCTTGAATTCTGTCCTCTTTTGGCTATATTCACCGTCCAGAAAAGGCAGCATGTGTTTGATCATCCTCCAGATGGCATAGTTGTGGACGGTCCTACTCGAATATGTTATACAAAACTTTATAAACATCGCATAAAGTTAGACAAAGAAATAGGTTGGATACAAAACTTTATAAACATTACATAAAGTTAGACAAAGAAATAGGTTGGATACAAAACTTTATAAACATCACATAAAGTTAGACAAAGAAATAGTTTGGATACAAAACTTGATAAACATCACATAAAGTTAGACAAAGAAATAGGTTGGATACAAAACTTATAAACATCACATAAAGTTAGACAAATTGAAGAATACTGAGAATCTATTGAAGAATACTGAGTTATATTGCTAAAGCTGTAATGTAAAGCTTGACAATATTCTAGCAATTTTCGCTTAAGACATTTTAATGCCCTAAGCTTGATAACATTTTATATTTGATGCCTAAAACAATTCGAGATTCTACGTTTGATGCTTGAAACGTTTTGGTCCCATATCTACGTTTGACAACATTCTTATGTTTGATGTTTAAAAAATTTCAATATCCTACTCTTAATGTCTTAGACATTTTGATATCTTAGACCCTAAGTGTGACAAAATCCTTACATGTAATGTTAAAAACAATTCGATACCAAACTTTTGGTATTAGTTTCGTTTTCTAAAACATTTTGATACCCTGTGTTTCACAAAATCTTTACATTTAATGTTAAAAACAATTAGATACCAAACATTTGAAATTATGTTCGTTTTCTAAAACATTTTGATATACTGTGTTTGGCAAAATCCTTACATTTAATGTTAAAAACAATTAGATACCAAACGTTTGACATTGTGTTCGATTTCTAAAACATGAGTTTGACAACGTTCTTACTCTTAATGCCTAATAATTTTTTCCACCGTTCTCATGAGAAAAATATTAAAAAATAAAACTGGAGCTAAACGATATCATTTAAGCTAATAGTACTTCCTTTAATTTTCAACTAATCGGTTGATTCTTTGTTAAATCTATTTATTTAACAATCTCACAAAAATTATTTTAAATTTAGTGCAAAATATATATGCTAAAATGTTCCAATAATTAAAATAAATACTTACCTTCTGTTCACTTGTGAGATAATTTGTCCCATCTCTTGTAGATAAGGTAATGCGTATACCACAACAGGCTCTTGATCATCAACTTTAGTAGGTAAGAATGTATTCAAGTAGTAAACCCAATCAAACTGTTGAAAATAGGTTAAAGTGAAAATCATACTTTTTCAAACAAAAACGGTGAAAGTTATAACTTTTTTCATACTAAAATATACTATTTATGTTTTTTTTTCTAAAGTTATCCATATTAAATAATTTAGAACGAAAAGGTTAACGTTTTTTTTTTTTTGGTTTCACGAATTTTATTTGAAATTTGATTAAATAATTAATTTATTACCTTTTGCACTTGAGGACTCTGGGCAGAGCTTTTTTAAATTTTTCATTTGATCCTTTTAGTTTTTCAACTTATATTAAAGTGGGCTATATGTCAAAAAATATTTACATAAAATTTTTTTTAATGAAATGCGCAAAAAAAATATTGAATAAATTTTAATTTTAGTGATTGGATTTTCAGATAATAGGACTCAATCTTAATAATTGAAGGTCTAACCTTAAAATTAAATGAAATTTGATAATTCAGAATTATTTGATCAAATCCAATTTTTGTATTTTTTTCCATTCAAAATTATATTCTTGATGTTAAAATTTGCAGATCTTACATTTCAAAATTGTTTCGACTGTTTTATTAAATAAAATAATTAAAAAATTTAAAACAGTTCTTAAAATATTTTTTGCTTAGAGTTTTTCTTTCTTTCTAGATACCCGTATTTTATAATTGTGTGTACAAATGTTTAGATTCGCTTAAAAACTGCCTCGAGATAATGCAAAATATATAAAGAATAAAATTAACATTAAAAGGTCTTAAAGTTTCGACTTATTTGAGGGACAAAAATCGGAATTCTACCAAAAAAGGTTTTAGTACGTTTTGAGTCTTATTCTTAAGGTATCGTGTGCTCTAATTAATTGGCCTTTTTTAAGCTATGCCATCGAAACATAAAATCGAGCCATAGTACGTGAAAATAAGATTATTAGATAAAATGTTATTCATCGTTTTTTTCTTCTTCTGTGCATTCTTTTGTTTGTTTACATCAAATGAATATTTCATTCTGTTATCTATTCCTTTAAAGTACTGTTTTTTATACTTTTATCCAAATATAAACATATTTATGGTAGACCGAACTACCTTATTTCTGCAAAATAAATCCTAATAGAATACGTTTGATTCGTCATTTTTTCTTTTTTTAAAAAAGCGAGCAGTTCTTCGGTACAAATAGATTAAAAATGTCGTATTAATTTTAATTCCTCATTCCACTACTCTAAACATTTATGTGTTATCCTGAAAAATTTAATTCCTACTATAATTAACGCAACTTATTTATCATCACTTTAAAATTTAATGGGCACCTGATAATCCTGATTCCAAAATAATGAAAATGTACAAAAAAATAATTGAAGGTTTTTACTTTGTATTTTAGGATCAATTCAAACAGTACCGGTTTAAATTTTGAATTTTTCTAACCAAAAATTTCGTTTTTTAGTACTATTGTAAAACCTTATTATTCAAGCATTTTTCTATTATTGTTAAATTAGATAAATACAAACAACAATTTAAAAAGAATATTTTGAATAACTGAGTTATTTTTTTGTAATTTCGTGCTAAAATCTCCCACCTCATAGCAAAATAAATAGAATTTAATAATGATATTTTAATAACTTGAAACTTTTGTATTTGTGTGAAGAAAAATAGCTTACTATTCGAAATTTTTTTCTCTCCATATAATGGCTACCTTAAATATTTGGACGACGCCCGGTGGCTGAGCGGTGGCGCTTCGCGCTGTCGTGCCACAGGTCGTCCCTGGTTCGATCCTCGGGCCGGGCAAGGTAGATTCAGCCTTTCATCCCTTCAGTGGGTCGATTAATGAGTACCGAGCATGCTTGGGAACTAAACACTGGGGGTTCCGCGTTCGGCTGACCACCAGACCGGAACATCTGCTCCTGCACCCCAGAGCACAAGGTCGAGAAAACTGAGATGGGCACAGTAGGCCTTGGCCCTCTATGGGCTGTCGCGCCACTGAGTTTAGTTTAAATATTTTGACACTTAAAAATTCGAATGTATCGAAACACAGATACAATGTATCTTTCATTAGAGAAAATAAGTTTTGTCTTATATTTTGTTGTTAAATTTGTTAGTTATTAGTATTATATGCATAATTTTTAATGTGTGCGTAGCATACAAAAATCCAAAATTATTTCAAAAGTTATCCTGATACATTTTTTTTATTCTTTACACTAGAACATCGCTCACTCTCTTTCATTTCGCACTGCTTCGATCGAAAAATATGAAATAGAAAGATCGAAAAATATAAAAATGTATATCGAAGTTACTTGAAATGTTATTTAAAATGTAAACATTATTATTTATTACTCAAGATCGTATAAAAGGCTAAATATGCAGATAACAGAAATTTTTAAATACCATTTCGAAAGGAAATACTACAAATGTTTACTTATATATTATTAACAAATTAATTTTAATATTGTATGTTTTTTTGAATGTTTAGTAAATTTTCTAAAATTAAAACTATTTCTCAGAAATAAAAACTATAATATGCCACTCTTCTTTTATTAAAAAAATACATATATAAATGTAACTTTCTCCCATCAACAACAAAGGTTACAATACCGCTATCTACGCCTAGCATTTTTAGCATATCTAGGTAAAAAGTTGCCGTTCATAATTTTTTTTCTAATTTTCGGTTAATGTCATGCAGTTTTACTAATTTGTTTTGTAAGTCTGCTAAAGAGAGTCTAAATTACTCACTTTAGAACTACAGAGTTAATATACTTCCCTTGTAAATGTGTAACAACATGTCTTCCATAAACCGCTAAGTTTAACTCTATATCGCTTACAGTTTAAAAGTTGTTAATTTTTTTTAGTAATATTTGGCCAATAAAGCTAATTTTCTCAGTTCACAATATGTCCCTTAAAATCTTTATTCACTCGGTTCTATAATTTTATTGACTGGGAAATTCCTGCTTTATTTATTGACTAAGACTATTTTAAGATTTTTGTCCAAGACTATTTTAGTCTAGGACAAAAATCTTGGTTTGTGACATACAATGTTTCTTTCACAAAGAAGTTATTTCATCATTGTTCGGGTATTCTGCTTTAAAAAAAAGGTCTCCAGAATAGGTACTTTTTATGTTAACTCATTTAATAGAGTTTGAGTCAATTGTATGTAATGAGTGCAATTATTGGCTAAGTTTTGAAATGGTGCAGAAATACTATTTTAATATTTAACACAATATCAAAGGTGAATAAGCATTAAAAGTTTTTCTTTAAATAGTTAAGTATTGTTTTAATGTCATTGGATAGAAATTTTAAAACTTAAAATAGTAATCCATGTTGAATACTAACTTCAGGCACGATTTCAGATAGCTCTTGTAATGACATTTTGTTGTATATTGCTCCAGTGTCATGTCTATCGGCTTCAGGAGTAGAAGACTGGAATAGACAAGATTGGGGAAGTGAAGAACATGTGATTAACATTGTTTATTGTTCATTGGCATGTTACATGTTACTCTTCAATAAGAATTTTATTCTTTAAAATGCACTGATGGTATTTAAGTTTTTTAAAATTTGAAGAACAATATATATATATATCAGGGCTCGAAAAAACTCAGAAATTTTACCCGTCCCCGAGGACGGCTTGTCAAACAATGTACCCGTCCTCCTTTGAAACTAACCCGTCGCTTCTAAATAAATAAAAATATAATTTTCTCTTATTTATTACTAACATTTATATAAATTGCACAATGAATTAATAGTTACTAAGATTACAAATACTAGGATTACAGTATACAGTAATAAAAGAAAAACTAGGTTACTAATAGTAAAACCTAGTATTTCTTTTATGAAATAATTTATTTCTTTAATGAAATAATTTATATAATAAAGGTCAAGTTATTTGGAATGTCAATTCATCCGAGAGTACTGCGTTTTTTAAATGAATCAAATATGACGTTTGCCAGTTCCACAATCAAGCCAATGATTTACAGAGGTTTCTGCACAAGAGTCTGAAAGAGGTTTTCCATTTAGGTAGATGTTCATAATTGCGTTTAACGCTTCTTGTTTAAGACCAGTAAGCAATGTGTTTTTTTTTGTTTTNTCGATCAAGATATCTATAATGACGAATTCTACCTTAGTTGAACTTCAATCCTCATATAATTCATTCATGTTCACAAGTGTTTCATAAAAGTTAATTAAAGAAAAATATTTTTTTAAATTTCTTATACTTAAGGACAGTTTGTCTAATCATGAGTTATTGAATGATTACAATCAATTTATCGATCAATGTAATTGTAATTTACTACATTATCTTTGTTTGATGCTTTAAAACATTATATTAATATTTTTTTTGCTTTTTTTTAGTACAAATTTCTACATTATTATGAGTAAAGGTAAAATGTTAGCAATGAGCAGAGATGTCGAATAGATACTCTGAGAAAAGAAGGTTTAAGCATTAGAAAAATTGGTAGGCGGTTAAAATTATCAAAAACAGCAGTTTTCCAAGCATTGAAATCTATTCAAGTGACCAAAAGTATTGAAAAAGCATCCCGAAAACCACGTCCTCGCAAAACTACCGAACGAGAAGATCGAATTATTCATCGAATTTCTGAAGCTGATCGTCACAAAACCGCCCCGGACATCAGAAAAGAATTCGCTGAATTAACAGGCAAGCACGTAAGCAATAATACCATCAAACGGCGTTTAAATGAGTTTCGGCTTATGGGTCGCGTATGTAGGAAAAAACCGTTGATGTCAAAGAAGAATATAGCAGCTCGATTAGCTTTTGCAAAAAGACACCGAAACTGGACATCGGCTGACTGGAATCGAGTTATATTTACAGACGAATCGAAGTTCAACAGAATGGGCTCAGATGGCAATAGTTAT